AGCGCCGAATGTGTTGTTGACAGGCAACATCCAGATGGCGGGCCAAAGCCAGTCGCCCTCTGGCATTGTAGCTACAACTTCGACACGACCGTATTTGATGGTTGCACCTTTGAGGGTGTTGATGCGGCCGGATTTGACTGGAGGGACAATGGTGCCGTTAGTGACGTTGGTGGCAGCGTTGCAGTCGTAGTATTGGGTCGAAGTGCAGTCCGGGAGGGTCAGATTGTTGTTTGTGGTGAGGAGGGTCTCGTCTTGAAGGGTAGGCTTGATGATGAGCTTGCCGTTCTCGATCATGACATTTTCTTCCGTGCCGGTAGTTTGTTCGAATTCGCCGTTTCTAAGAACACTGTCAGCAAGCTAAAAAGAAGGTGCTGAGCTTTAGACATGGCAGCGTACCCAAAGCCTCCGAGGTTCACTTCCTTGGTCCAGACATCGGTATTAAAGCCCTTGCTCCAATCCTCGTCGAGCACGAGTGTGTAAGTGTGATTGACAATGGTGCTGAGACCGTTGTAGACAAGGTACCCAGCGACGACAAAGCCCAAAGCAAGCCCGATCAAAGGAATGATGGTGACCCATTTCTCCCTGGGGTCCTTGGTTGCCTTCCAGGGATGGTCGACCTCGCCCTTCTTCACTCGCCGAGAGCGAAAGTATTTTTGATTTTGCTTTTGTTGATGGATATGAATGGCCGAAGAATTCTTCGAGGTGCCCAAAGGTGTTGCGTTGAAAGGGTTCCTTGGGGCGGGATTGATGCTGTCACTGCCAGTGTTGCTTGCGGTCTCGAGAGAGCGACGTCGGTATGGGGTCTGCTGTGGTGTCTGATCTGGTGAGTAGATGCTGTTTCCCGAGCTTGGGAGGCCCCCGTCGAAAGGGTCTTGGTTACGGCGGTGCATCTCCATGATGAACGAGTGTGGGTTGACGAATGAAAGAATAGGAAGATGTGAAGTTCTGTAGACAAACGAGACAGAGGTACCCAAGGAAAGAAGCTCGCTTGGAGGGGGAATGAAGGATTTAAGAGATGAGCAAGATAAAGTAGGGCAGGACAGGGAAGGGGAGATATGGGAGCATGGCGAGGCTAGGATGTATCAAACACTGGGCTGAGATGGTGGATATGGAATACGACTTGTCTTGGAAAAGATTGACAGATACTGGCAGACTACCGATCACCCATAGGCTCGTGGACCTCCATTGAGCAAGACTCTGGGCACGATCTAGGCCTGATTGGTCGGCAGTCTGGGCGGATCTGTGCTTGTTGGCTTTGGTCGGCAGCACTTGATGTCGATCGTTGCCCGCCTGTGGCTACCTGTAACGCTCGAAGGGGATGAAAGGGGATGTGAGAGCATCCGAAAAGCGTAATCGACTAAACTGCGTTTCAGCCAGGCAAAAGACAGCCTGGATGAAGTGGAAAGCAATATGACGTTTTCAAATTTCACAAGCGTTATGATAGCCGCTTGGTAATTTACCGCTAATGCGGGACAGGGATCAAGCGTCGCTTAGCGTCATCTACTTCGGGATGAAAGCAAACGGTGAAACCGGTACTTTAAAAATACTGTAAAGTACTTTCTTTGGCTTATCGATTCTTCTGGTCCGCATCATCGAGGCAAATTCAGACTTCAGAGGCAATTCAATTCATTGGTCTCAAAATTCACCTGCACGTACACTACTACTCAAGCTATCTACTACCTTTCCACATTCCCACATGGTACGTACTCGATTGACGTGGCATGTCCCCGATGTTGCTGTGGTACCGTTACTACGAGGTACCTCGAGCCTTGGGAAGCATGCACAAGTGAACCACCATGCAGGGACTACATCAACTCGTATTTTGTAATTCTCCCACTCCCACCGAGTCCGCCAAATTTGTGGCCTGCGAAAAAAGCTCTCGGTCGTCGGCGACAAAGTCCGCGAAAAATAATGCCATCCTGGTTTTCGTTGGGCAGGATGCACGCAAGCGTGTGCCTCTTCCTTTCAAGTGCGCAACCGAGCCTATGATCCGCTGGCGGCGAACTCCTACCGTTGGTCGTCTCATGTAGGGTCTCTGATTGTGTCTCTCCTTCCATGACTTCACAACGTACTCTGGCAAGCGGATGGATTGAACTGGCCGCGATAAAACCGAAGTGGCGTCCATTCATCATTGCCGCCAGATTCTGCTGACCCTGGTCCGCACGGCCAGCAAATTCTCCGGTGGGTGCGACCCGACTTTCTCCACTGCATGATTTTCGCAATAGATTCTGCAGGTCTGCAGCTTGCTACTGCAAATACGAGGATCAACCCCGCTTTTACTTGCATGAAGCAGGGTTTGGAGAATCGCTGCGAATCGCCTGGCTGCTTTAACCGGTACTCGTGAACTTCATCCAAAGTGCGCCCTTTGATTCGATGCCCTCTGATTCGATGCCCCTCAATTCTTTCACACGCCTGACAAGACTCCACGGTGTCTACATCCCCTTCGAGTTATCGTATGTCTGGGCGAATTTCGCCAACGCTGCGACTTATCTGGCTGGATCTGTCGCATGAGATGGCTCACAGAGCATAGGCGCACAGTACATATTCCATACATTCTCTGTACCACTGAATACGTTTCATGTTTCCAGATGACGGTGAGTGTTGCGGTCTTGTATTCTCTACCTCGCTGCTTCGTCGCATTCTTCAGTGAGGGACCCACCGCTCCAGCCGCTGTCGACTGATTGGTCGATCGTCCTCTCTGCTAATGTGTTAACTGGACGAAACGGTTCAGAATGCCCAGAGCCTTTCATTCGTACATGGAATCTAGCCCTATGGGATGTCTGGCGCTGTGTACATGCACATCTGCAACCGCAACTTCGACGCCATGCACAAGCAGCCATTTGCATTTCGCTATCGTCTCGCAATATGAGTCCTTTGAGGCTAGATTGTCGGACGAGTAACGCCGATAAGCGCTGCATAAAGAGCTGGGTTGGTAACAACGGTCGGCTGCACTTGCACGAGCGCGAGCGCTCACCTGCACTGTCAATTTCCCAAAAAAATTGCAGGCAACATGGCAGCTGCGCTTGTCTTCGATGGCGGGTAGAGTAGGGCCTTTCTATCGGTTCCGATACTTTCCGCTTTTGAGCAAGCTGTTGCGGGATGAAATCTCCCTTACCTGAGAACTAAGCAGGATGTTCCAACAAGATTCCTTCGAGAAGGTTCCTGCTGTGGCTACACTCTATGCTCTGCGACAGCTAAACTATTCAGTATTTGTCGTCCACGATGATTCTCATCTACAACTGCGAAAGCTTCGAGAAACCCGCATTCAGGCATCCCGACATGCCGCCGCTCATGCCAATGTTGTGGTTTCCTATGTTTGGTGATTTCTACCAATGGCTCACATCCTCATACTCCCTTGCAGTGGCTGAAGAGCCAAATCGATGGTTTCTTCCACTGTCCCGCCTGGTTTTCGATTCAACCAGCGACAGTGAGCGGCAAGTTGGTGTCTCCCCTCCCATCTTCGTCGTCAAGGTTCTGGCTGGCTCGGCTGCAGTTGCGTGGTTGATAAATCTAGGGCTATCCTGCAACCCACACGCCTCCCCACACACACCGGGGATCCCTCCACGCCCCATCCCCGCGAACCGGCTTTCCACGGGCCACGAGGCTCTAGACCTCATTGATCATTCTCGTGGCGCAATGGCATACAGGCTACCGGTTAGGATGGATGTTTTTATCTTGTCGTGGCAGCCCGAAGAAGCTTTAATCATCATTAACGGGGCTAGAAACTCCATACTCCTACCACGCTCAAGCGGCGGCGCACGATGTGGCAGGTAAAAACATGCCGTGCTAGAGTCTTCCGAGACGCACTGATACAAAAGAATCGTACATAAGGTTCGTACATAGCAGTAACAAATACCTTTTTTCTTCACAAAACGCATCCTGATGACGCCACCAATCCCATCATTTCCAATCTCGCATTCAAACAAGTATCCCGCACCGTCTTGCTCGCTTACCCAGTCAATCAGTAACTCCCGTCGCAAAGGAACTCCCTGAGGTCCAGCTCAATGTCAACGAGACCCGACCCATCATCCATCCCGCTTCCAGCACCGCCTTACTACTAGCTTCAGATTCGCAACCTATAGATATTTCGCCTCCGCCGCTAGATCCTAGCCCGAGTCTAGATAGCTAGTGTCGGCGACCGGCCAAGCTGTTTCCAGCAAAATTCGAAGGCCGCCACATTAGCGTCAACTAGCGAGGTGGCAGATAGCACGTCTGAAGCTGCCCTTGCTCGGCTCGCTCTCTGCAAAATAAAATGCACAGAGGCGAAATTTTGGAGTCAGATCATTCTAACGGTTTAATACGCGCTCATACTTTTGGTAGAACAGATATATAGCTCGTCGAGTAGAATCCTTCATGAATCAGAATTTCTGTCATCAAGGCTCTCGTTGTCGAGTCATCAAAGGTGGTAGAAAATACATTTCTTCGGGATTCCCGGGCCCCTCCCTCCCTCAGCGCAGTGCGGTCCCATTTTCATTAACACCCGATCCACCCACCAACGATCCATCAAAGCTTCCAGACCCCGTCCCCTTCGACGGGCTCACGGCTCGGCATGGGGTGTGTATATCCAGCATACATATGCGACTGCGTAGGAGTGAAGGCCCAAACACTCAGCATGTACCGAGTATCTGTTGTAGCTTAGGGTACTCCCAGACGCGCTCTGCACATATGTCCCTTGTCCAGCCCTAACTCCCCTAGCCCCGGCGCGCCTCCCGGGGGGCGACTGCGTCGAGCGCCTCTGAAACCCTTCTGGACTTCAGCATCTGCACGGCATACGGTATGCAACGACCTCTATCGGGGATAAAATCCGGATATTTTCCCTTTGTTAGGGATGGTGGTGGGTTGGAAACCCTCTTTGTTTCCTGGCCGAAAAATTCGTCACGCCCTTCTACCTGTGTGGGGTCTTTCCGAGGAGATATTTCGGCAATTGCTCGGGCCTCACCCGCGCGGAACCTTTCTCCACGCCTACTTTACCGAACTGTAACCCACCCCTTGGACACAGCATGTCTCAAAAACGTATCCTCGTCATAGCAGACTCTGATAGTTCTGGTGTAAGGTAAGCATCCCTTGAGCTCCCGATGCTGCTGCTGCTTGTTGCTGAAGCACCACCGCATTGGACAGCGGCCTCGAAGCCGATCAGAAAGTCATCGCCGCTCACGGATGCTATGCCGTCACCGCGACGACTGCTTTGACAGCGCATGGTCCTGGGGACGTTCTTGAAACGTGTAGTCCATCCGTGGCATTTGTGAAGGCGGCGATTGACGGCTGCTTCGATGGTGGTGGGGTGGAGGTCGTCAAAATTGGTATTGATCCCTTGTCTTGAAAGCTGTCTGTAGCGAGAATCTGATACTGTTTCTCGCCTAGGCTTTTTGGCTTCGGCAGAAATTGTCCAGATCGTAGTCGACGCTTTGAGACGCCATGGCCCGAGATTCGTGGTCGTCGATCCCGTACGATGGCTAGCTTCTACGCCTTTCTGTCAGCCTCGGGCTTACACGAGTGTAGGTCGTGGTGTCTATGAGCGGAACGCAGCTCCTGTCAGATGAGGCAGTGCATATTATCCACACGCAGTTACTCCCGCTGACCACCGTATTGACGCTAAGCATTTCAGAGGCAGTACTGCTATTGGATAAGGCGGGAGCCCTTCACCAACCGGATATCCGCAATCTGGACGACCTCACTCCGTCTTGCTAAAGCACTACATAGTCTCGGACCGGATTTTGTTTTGTTGAAAGGGGGCCAACTGCCTCTGACTGCGAATCTCGACGTCCCGAAACACGACTCTGATAAGCAGGTTATTGTAGACGTTCTCTACGATGGAACGGATGTCAGCCTCATCAAGACGGCATATGTCGGTGCGAGTCTTCCGCTGGGGGTTGAATATGCTTTTGCTTGTATGTTGTCGACTTCAGAGACTATGAGCACCCCAAATATTGATTTCCTCAGCTGCAATCGCTTCGAATCTCGTCCTCGGGGACGCCGTGCCGTTGGCCACTCGGAAGGCGTGCCGATATGTCGAGGCTGGGATTAGCAAGGGAAAGGGCCTGATCGACTACTTCCACTCTACATATACTCTTCCGTTCTCTCCGTACGCTCTTTTCCCTTTCACCACTGGTAGCTGGCTTCCTCGCTTGATGTTGACAGATGTTAATTAGGAGATACTTCATCGAATACCTCCTGAACCGCGAGGATGTGAAACCCGTGTGGCATGCTCACGTCCACCATGATTTCGTGAAGCGCATTGGCGATGGGACGTTGCCCGTTGAGAAGTTCAAGGGGTATCTCGCCCAGGATTACCTATTCCTGGTGCAATTCGCAAGAGCCAAAGCTCTCAGCGCGTACAAGACGAATTCGATGGAAGACATTGCTGCGGTATGTGTATCCTTTGCTCCACCACGATTCCAATTCTGAAATGACAGCCCTAATCTCAATCCAGGGCGCAGAAGAAATCCTCCATATCCAACGCGAAATGTCCCTCCACCTAGACTACTGCGCCGAATTCGGACTCTCGAAGAAAGAGGTTGAGAAACAGGAAGAACATCAAGGTAATCAACCATTCCTCTCTTGACTCTGTCAACAAAAGCATGGACGAGCTCATGTTCCACAGCTTGCACAGCCTACACCCGCTACGTCCTCGACATAGCGCACTCCGAAAGCTGGTTCGCGCTACAAATGGCTTTCGCGCCTTGCCTTCTGGGCTACGGCATCATCGCAAGAAGGTTGTGGGACGACCCGGAAACCGTGAAAGAGCAGGGCAATCGGTACTGGAAGTGGATACAGAATTATGTGGCGGATGACTATCGGGCGGCGGTTGAAGCAGGGGAAGGTGCATATACCTATCTGATAGAGTGCTGTGTTGTTCATCATTCGGCCGAGGCTAATGGGTGAGTGATTGGCAGCGATATTGGAACAGCATGCCTCGCTGCAGTCACCGAGCCAGATTGAGTCGCTGGTGAAGATATTCATACATGCTACTAAGGTCTGTGGATGTGCTTTTCTGATACGCCTGGCTGGTTGATTGCTAATTGTTGAAGCAGATGGAGACGGGCTTCTGGGACATGGGTAACGAGTAGTAGACCTTCATACGGCATACTTTATACGCTGATGCCCGCATTACTACGGTAGGAAGTCCATGTTTGCAGCAGGAAGAGATTGAACATGTGTAGAGAGTAGACCTGAAACTTGGTGCTGATAGGTGATCTGTGAATATTGCTGGGCTTTGGGCTAAGACGACTCAACTGCTTCGTTTCAAGGGGGCCGTGAGGTTTGAATTACCACATCTCTGGCAACAGCGAATTTGAGGGAGACTATCGGCACATCTGCGGTTAACCCTATAGCAAGTGTGCTACTACTTAGTAGACTTGTAGCACTACGTCTATTCAACAACAACAGCATCATTGCTGAGGGAATTTGACCAGACTGGGTCTCAAAGTGGCTAGCGTCTTGGCGATATGTCAGCCTGCATTGGCCTCGCAACATGGGCAAGGCTGAGCAGGCGGAGCAGGTTGAGGCCACCGCGCACCCCCGATATCTATCCTGTTCATTCCTCTTCACACTCCACACGACTTTATCGCCTTTGAGGGAAATTCTCTTTTATCTTCTTCTCACTCTCTACAGGGGTGGAATAGCAGCAGGCATGTCTTTTGGCTACGGTGTCGGTGATATCATAGAGGTCTCGACTCTGGCACGTACTATTTGGGGCAGGTTTCGCGACGCTTCCGATCAATTCAATGCCATCCAAACAGAGTATACCTTGACTGTCACTAGTTCAGGAATAGACTGACTAATCAAGTCCAGCGTCTTTGGTCTTCACCGCGTCCTCGATGACATTGCGAACAACCTCTCTGGAATCCAGCTTACTGATAAGCAGGCCAACGATCTCTCAGTCCTGATTGCAGGTTGTCGTGGCGTCCTCCATGACACTGAGAAGCTGATACGGAAGAACGAGAGCTTGGGTACCGAGTCTTCTGGCGTGAGCTCCAGGACTCAGAAGGCTTTGAGAAAGTTGAAATGGGACTCTGCTACCGTCAATGAGCTGCGAGATCGCATGATCTCTAGCACAACGTTTCTGAATGCCTTCAACACTAGTCTTGCAAGGTGAGTGTTATCTGCTAAAAGAAAACTGCATCTTGATATATCCGATATCGCGAATATGAAAAGTTCTGTATCAGCTCACTCTTACCCAGTCAAGCGTCCCGAGCGACAAACCAAAAGATCGACTCTATAATTGAAAACACTCAATATCTAAGACTAAGCCAGAACCAACAAGAGCGGAACGAGGTGTTGCAATGGCTCTCACCTCTCAACTTTGCCCCACAGCAAAGTGACTTATCTAATAGGCGGCAAAAAGAGACAGGTTCATGGCTTTTAGGGTCTCATGAATTCCAAGAATGGGTGAGCAAAGAGGGACAGACTCTGGTCTGCCAAGGGATGCCAGGTGCTGGTTAGTAGTCTTGACAGTGCCAAGATCTCGCAAAAAAACGTTGAGACTGACAAAACGTTGAGACTGACTATCAGCAGGCAAGACTATGTTAGCATCGCTTGTCATAGATCGCCTGCAGCAATTTTCCGGTGAGGAGAACGTTGTAACCGCCTACATATATTGCGACTACAAAAGACAAGATGAACAGACACCCATCAACCTTACAGCAAGCGTAACAAAGCAGCTGCTCCAGCACCAAGATTTGATTCCGGAAAACATTTTAAAGATGTACCAGCACCACCAAAAATTGGAGACTCGACCTACATTTGAAGAGGTGTTAGAGATGACAGGATCCTCGATGGCACGTTTGTCGCGGGTTTATGTTATATTGGATGCCCTCGATGAGTTAGGGAACGCTGGTCAAGTTCGTCAGACCTTAATCGGATGCCTACGTCCTCTGCAGGATCTTCATCACTTCAATCTGATGACGACGTCGCGTTACATCCCTTCTCTGGCTCTGGACTTCCACCATCCTCTATGTATGGATGTTCGGGCCAGCCCAGAAGATGTACGGAGATACGTGGAGGGGCACACTTCGGATCTGCCAAAATGTGTGAGGGAGAATTTGGGCTTACAGGAGGACATAGCGACTGCTATAGTTGACTCGGTCGAGGGAATGTAAGTTGCTGGCTTGCCATCTGCGTGCGAGTTCTGCTGATGGATTGAGCAAGGTTTCTTCTGGCTCAGCTACACATGGACTCGCTTAAGGACAAAACAAGCTCTAAGCTGATCAAGAAAGCGCTGGAAATACTGCCAAAAGGATCGAACGCTCTCGATCTGGCCTACGATGGAGCAATGCAGAGAATTGAGAACCAAATGGAAGGTTTCAGACTTCTTGCCAAACAGCTACTGGGTTGGCTTACCTATTCGGAGAGGCTGATGACTGTAAAAGAAGTACAACATGCCTTGGCAATCGAGCCTGGGACGCCAGAGTTTGATGAAGATAATCTGGGCGACATCGAGGAAGTTCTGGGTTTCTGTGCCGGCTTGATTATCGTCGACGAAGAAACGCAGATCATCAGACTGGTCCACTACACCACCCAGGAATACTTCAGGCGAAACGGTGACAGAGTCCTAGCCTTTGCCAAGCAGGACATTGCGATAGGCTGTCTTACCTATTTGCTTTACGAGAATTTTAAAGATGGCTGGGCCAACGAAGTAGGACAAAAAGAGTTTGCCGAAGGAAACAGAGCCGAAGATGCCCTCAGAAACAGAGAAAAGGAAAAGGAAGAGGACTATACAAAATCTGTAGAAGCTCGGTTGCAGAAATATCCTTTTCTCGAATACGCCGCGAGATACTGGGCAACTCATGCAAGATTGTGTAAGGAGCAGAACGTCAAAATACTCATGATGAGCTTCGCCAAAGATGATTGTAGAGTCTCGAGTGCCGGCCAAGTGCTATTGGTGCTAGACGAACGATCTACTATCTTGCGTCTCGTTAGACATATGAATGGGACTATGTCGCGCAGCCCACTTTCTGCAATGCACATTATCGCATATTTCGGTTATGAAGGAATGATCTCAGAGCTTCTGAATCACGGTTTCGAGGCAGATGCCGAGGACTCTACTCGCCGGACACCGTTGTGGTGGGCGGCATCACAAGGACATCACGGCGTGGTGGAATTGTTACTGTCACAGAGCCATGTCAATGTGAACAACCGCGGCCATTCGCGTCTAGGTTATACTGAGACACCACTGGGCATTGCTGCAAAAGCGGGCAAAGATGAAACAGTGAAGCTTTTGATTGAGCGTGAAGACGTGGACGTGAACTTGCCACGTCCCGATGGTGAATCTCCGCTATCATCAGCCGCACGAGAAGGACATAGTACAGTTGTTGAACTGCTACTGACACGAAGAGATATTGAAGTAAATTCAAGATGCAATGCAGGCGGGACGCCCTTGTGGTTTGCAGCTTCGTTTGGGAGAGCGGATGTAGTCACACAGCTGCTCAAACACAAGAACGTCCAGATCAATTCGAAGGATATTCAGGGAGACACACCTCTCGCAAGCGCTGCATCCTCCGGTCACAAGGGCATAGTAGAGATGTTACTAGGTCGTTCCGACATTGAAGTGAACACGCAAGACAGACGGGGGTTGACTCCGCTCTTGCATGCGGTACGTGCAGGCTACGAAGCAGTGGTGAAGCTCCTGCTATCTCATTCCGACATCGACGTAAACGCGAAAGAGATTCGGGGAATATCTCCCCTTGCAATTGCGGTCATGGTTGGTCGAACAGCGGTTGTGAAGCTCTTGTGCGCACATCCCGATGTTGATTTAGACCGGGATGTGCTTGCTCTGGTAAAGGAAAGTGGGCCACGGGATTGGTTGTCACAGGCGGACAATGATGCCCTGGCGCTAGTGCGAGAGGAATGTTTGGGAATCCTACGTACAGCCATCGAGGCACGCTCGCGAAACGGGCCCCAAAATCCGGAGGTTGTGCCCTCATGAGATCAACCCGTTCGCTCTTACCAGATCGTGACTTGGCGACTTCGATGTCGCTGTCGGAAAAGGCTTGGCTGGCGGGGTACCAAGTTCATGATATGTTGCTGTGGATTTGGAGGGGAATGACTCATTGTGTGGAGCATGTTGGTGTTTGAGGGGGAAGACACGTAGGCGGAGGAGTTCAGGAGGGTGCAGTGGAAGGGAAATGGGGTCTATGTCGACGGGAGCTGTGTGGATTGTATCTCTTAAGTGGATAAACGGTTGGCGTTCGGTTTTGATTTTTAGACATAACGAATTCAATCTGAAAGATGTGACTTTAGGCGTCTTCGAGACGGCTCATCGGCCACATTCCACTCAAGCAACCTCGAAGTATATATGAAGAACCATCACTAGCACGAATTGAACCACCGCGCTCCACGCAGCTTCTCCGGTGAGGATCCATCCTGAAATCTCATTTTAGGAACCCTTCCATATCCATCTCACGAGCCATTGCGCATCTACTTTTCAAGCTTCACCAACAGTCACCGATTCCACTTCACACGGGTCCAAGAAATGTTGCCTTCTCATTATGAAGTCCATCCTTCTTCAAAATTGGCTCAATGAGCTTTTCAGCGAGTTTGTGCTTTCCTTTCGTAGTAGTCTCCTGAGTATCACGATGGCTTAGGGTGCCATAATCCGAACATTGTACTCCCGCGCCATACTCCCTGGACAGAAACGAATAATAGCACTCTAGATGGCTTCTTCGTCAAGGATCTCTTTGGTCAGTCCGTACCAGCAATCCTCCATTCCGATCCATACAAGCCTTCATTTCCGTGCTAAGAACCCTTCCATCTTTGCATCGGTGACCTTAAAAGCAGCCGTCCTATCTTAGCCGAGGAATTGCTCTGTCGTGTTACAAAGTTGCTCATCTTTTCAAATTCGACGCATGATTTCCTCTGCCTTGTTAAGATCTTCCTTTTCGGTAGTCAGTATTTGGTCTTCAGTAATGAGGCTCCGCGGTATGAAAGTCTGCACATCAACTACTACCTTCTTCAACGATGATGGCTGGTTGAACATGCAGTCGTCAATCTTCCAGTGTGGTAGCTTCTCTCTGTCGGCACAATCTTCGAGGTTCAGCTCGAGGCTTGTGAGGCAACCGAGTCCCGTTCAGATGAGACGGCTGGCCGAGAGAAAACCCGGAGAGAATGTGCCGCCGAAGCGGCCGTGGAGCTCTACTTTGGTCATGGCCTGGATGGCGCGCAGTCTGTTGTCGATTGAGCGATGTACGTACGCTTGATTTGGGGCGATGAGCTCGAAGTAAGCGGCAAAAGCGGCGAAAGCCAAGAACATGAATGTGTTGCTGTGGTATAGGAAGGAGCGCTCCTCGTCGCAGATCTGTCGGCAAGTCTTCCAAAGCCTCGAGTCTTGCACACGGCACGGATGGATGGATCATGACACATTGCGAACTGGTCTTCAGAGGTAACGTTGGTAGCAATTTGCTGCTTGCCAGTCCGCATGTCATGTAAGATAGCTGTGGTTGACGATCGGCGTGATTGGCTTCAGAGCTTGCGCAACGCATATGAGAGAAGTTTCCCGTGCCCCAGCAATGTGACTGTGGAACGTACTCATGGAGGTAGATTTTTAGGAGGCATCCAGCAGAACCGTGATCACTGCAAGGAATGATACTTCTCGGAATGAAGTCTTCAAGGTCGCTTTTGATCTGAACTCTCTGGTTGTCACCAACAATGAGCTCGTAGATCTTCCGCCGAATATAAATAGGCATGTCCAAAAAGTGACAAGGCGGGAAAGGTTTGACGTAAGAACTTGTACAGATAGTCGTTAATTTTGACTCGTGCAAACCTTGCAACAGGGTAATGTTCACGATATCTCTACCGTTAAAGCCTTCTGGGGTGAGGTATGGTATTGAAAATCAACCTCCATTTGCCGTAGGACACGAAAGGGGGCGTCGGTGAGCGTTCAGTTGCTGTAACAAGCCTTGGTTGCATCAATGTCGCCGTTGGAGCTGCCACTCTCAGAGCTGTGATTACCACAAGAGCGGTAGGCAACAGTAGTGTTATTGGTAGCAAAATACATCGAATTCTCATCAGCAAAGGAGGTCGTTGTCTGCTGTATCCCCTCTGTGCCACACATGACCACTAGTTGAGAATGCTATTCTGTCACTCGAATGGAAATGAGCGGCGTGTTTCTTTGACCAATCACAAATCTTCATAAGTGAAGTGTTTGATGCCAAGACCTCAATGCCATTGAACGTTTCCTTCGCATTCTCACCACTCACTCCTCAAATCATTGCCTTCAAAGCTCATCTGCCTATTTGTAAAATATCTCTTTGGACTTTCGGGCATCCATCAAAGTGAAACCGACTCACTTTGGCCACCCGGGGCTTGACCATTGTGAGATCCAGCAAGGCAAGTTGAGCTCATCACTTCTTTCCCCTCGCATCCTTCAGGAAACAGGGCATTCCCTCCTAAATTTTCTTCTTACTAGCCTCTTCAGCCTCACAAATTGCTCGTCTCATACAAAGGCGACCTTCGAACAGACGTTTCATTTTGCCAGACTTACTTCGCATCAAACAAGACTCAAATCTTCGAGCCGTCAACTACATTGGTTCAGACTTCACGTCACATTCAGATATTTGTGGTCCCATAAGCCTCAGCCTTGGGGCGATTGACTATGGCTACCAGAAATGTCACCAAGGCCAGGGGTGAGGCCATTGACTACTCTGACCCGGAAGTAGTCAGAGCGAGGGATCAAATGGCTGCGGTCATGCGAGAAATGAACTTCAAGCCTCCTTGTGAGTGCAGCCACTGCCTTCGTCAGTACAGGACACTCGATCAGCAAGATCTCATCCCTTTCGTTTACCTCGGCCATGTAAAGGACGCTGTCTCGCTTGCCAAAAGCTACTCCCGCTCTATTGAAGTCGATCGCGCGTTTCTCCGTCGAAAGATCTCGGAATCTGGGCTATCCATTCTCAACAGATGGCGCGCGGGAGTTGGAAAGCGCAAAGCGTTCTTAGAGAAGGCCAAGCCAGATTTGTATCGAAACCGTAACCCACTCGTCGACATCCCATCACGCGTGGAGCAGCTAAGGCACCAGAGAGAGTATCGCATGGGTTACATGTTGCCGTACCTCAATGTGGATGACTTGTCAGGAGACCCTACGAAACTCCTCGGCCTCCTAACTCACCGGACCAACTGCCTTCCAGAAGAGTGGGTGCCATTTGATTATGCAATGCTGTGGTCGGGATGGAAACAGTGCACTCTTGCAGAGAAGTCCGCCGATGGGTGCATCGTGATGCATGGTGACCAGTTTGGCCAATGGTCCACGTTCGACTCCATTGCGGTGCATCGCAATGATGCATGTGGGGCGCCTAGAGCTTTGATGATCCTAGAGTCACAGCAAACTCTGTTGAAGTTCTTGCGTGATTTGACTACGGTCATTCTAGACGGCGCAAAACCTTCGAAGTCACTAAAAACGCCCGCCAAAGTCATCTCCACAGATCCTGCTACGGATGCTATCGCCCCTCGTGGCCTCGAGGTCTGCACGGAATGGTCGCAGTTTCTGAACGCCGACCAGAAGAAAGATCAGCCCTGGCTGTCATTCGGAGCAATGTTTTCCAACCAACCCTACTCTGCTGCCCCCGCTTTCAACATTGACACAATGATTGACATAGCTGAAAATCAGGCAGATGAAGCACAAGACGAGCTATGGCTTCTGCAAACAGACTTAGAGTACTTTTATAAGCGCTCCAGATACCACGAAGCAACATGGTTCGACAAGATAGAGAAGGGACCGCATCGGCCAAACCTCACAGCGAAGGAGAAGTTTGATAATATTGGCTTCATCATGACACTCAAAGTTATTCTCCAAGCTAGGGATTGGCAATGGCTATTAGAGGAATGCCAGAACGTTAAGCGGGAACTGCAAAGGAGTGGATCAGAGATTGGTCCTGGGAAACCTCTGCCCAAGGAATATGAGAGAGCGCTCGGTAGCTTAGAGATGATGCTGCGGAGATCCTTGCCCTATCATCAGCTAAACCTGAAAAGACATCTGATAAGGTCTCCAGATTTCTCGAAGGTTTTCAAGGTCACAGGTACTGCCCAGCAGCAACTTTTGGGAACCGCTTTGATTCTCGAACTCAGAGACTACACTACCCTCCATCGAGACGATCGCATCGGCTGGTGCCTCTATCAGCTGACGTCGAATTTCGATGAGCGACATGTTTTCGAACCTTCGGCGGTATTGCAATATCTTGACGACTTTCTCGACAGTTGTCCCCGCCGAGAAGCCGAGAGAATAGACCAGGAGCTTCAAAGATGCATATCCGAATTGGCAGCTATCACACGTATGATGAAGCTACTCGATCTTCACAGACCCTCTTTCCGTTTGCCCAGTCCAGACATTCTCCAAGAAACCCGAGGAGCATGGCAGGTCTTGAACAAGCTGGTCATCATGCTGTCGGCAGAAATGGGACTCGGTTCTTTCATCAACCCTCTGAACCAATTTCGCATGCCGACTGGCAGGAAAGACGAGAACTGGCTAGCTCGGCGCGACATCGCGCATTCGGCACTAAAAAGTCTATGGGCAAAAGCAAGAAGTATATACCAGACAATGTTAGAGACAAATGGTATACCACAAGAATGTATAGATCCTCAGCTGGAGTGGATGAGACAGTCTGGTTCGGAGGAAAATGCTGCTCAGTCAGACAGTGAGAGACGCATGGTCTTGGACCGCCTCAAGGCCGCAAGGGAGCGAGCTTCAGCTAGGAAAGCGGCACCTCAACAAGAAGAATGCAGATCTTTCGGCACACAGCAAGAGGTCGAGGCGAAGGACCGATTGCCACAACCCGTGAAGACCAAGACCAAAACCCGACGAGGCCATGCTTCAGAATCCGGCAGCCTATCTGAAGACAACGAAAGTGCTGTTGAAGAGACGCCACCTGTGTTGTACAAGCTAAAGCCAGCCTCAACCGCAGAGAAGGTGGTTCGCCTGATGTTCCCAGACCCTAACGAGGATATGACGAAGGAGAAGTCCAGTGCCGACTGGATTCACTTTGTGGCAGCGATGACGACTTTGGGCTTTCGAGCGGAGCATCGCGGAGGCTCTACGTTCGAGTTCAGGGGGGAGATTATGCTGCCGGATACCACATTGGCTCCACAGAAAAGAAGCTTCACCGTCCACAGACCTCATCCAGATACCGAAATGGGACCGATAATCTTCCAGAGTTTAGGAAGACGGTGCAACAGAAGATTCGGCTGGCAACGTGCAAATTTTGCTACCGACGAGAGTGGTGCTGGGCAGGGTACTTAAGAAGTCAGGTCAGACTGAAGACTCGAGGTCAGGCTTGGATCAAAAGGCTCGCGTCTAGCGACCAGAAAGTGGATAGAGCGTCAAGGGCCTGGGCTGGTAGACTTAGGTTGATGAATGCTTAGATAGACAGATCATGAGGAAAGGCTCTTCGCATCTCATACTTCCCCCTCGGATGATTTGATTGCGGTACACGACCAATAATGTTGAACTCGGCGATGTATATTGCTTTTGCCTCGAAGTTGGCTACAGAATCAATACCTCGCGGTCAATTACGACATTTCGAGCAAGTAGTCGAAGAACATGTCGATGCAAGACGCGCTCCAGCTGAACCATAGTTGTGTCACTGTCTGGGAATTGAAAAGGTTTCTGATTCAGTAGTATATCCATGGCATCAATCATTGATTGACGGCCTGACTCGCTGCAGCCACGCTCCTTAAATGGTGAACAACTACAAATAAGCCGAAGTAGAGTCAAAGTAGAGTGTGTAGTTACCCGCCCAGATAATCGATTCGGTTCTTCGTTCTCAACCGTGCGAATAGATCGGCTGGATGGCAGATCGGAGCGACTACTTTCAACCTCTATATATCATATTCATTCTCGAGTTACAACTACAGTTGGTATATCCCGTATGCCCTTCCCGTACCGGCCTAGCCATCCATGATAATCCTGACCTGTGACGGACACACGAAACTCATGCCAGACGTGGTAAACCTCGGCCTGCTTCCATTGTTGCAGATGCAGGTATTGACCCGTTTTGGGTTCTTGCCTGATTGGTAGACTTCCCCGCTGTGTGATAGTCAGCCAGGAGACTTTGGGAGAAATTCGAGCGAGAGGATCTACTGGACAGAGCTGCGTGCACTTAAAGCCGTACGACGTTAGAGTTGGGGTTGTGGATAGCGCGGCAGTAACGCTAGTAATGAATCCATCGGTGTTGCTCATTATTCCATTAGGCGGTAGGGCTAAGGAAGTGGTCCTTGGTGATACTATGGTCGTTGATGAGCTTGTAGGACTCTTAGGTGCAGTGTTAGAAAGTAAAGTCGTGGTTATGGAAGGGGTCCAGCATGGTGTCGATTGTGTTGTGTAGGCACAGTCCGCAACACTGCTGGAGCCGGAGCTTGTTGGCGAGTGAGTGAGCAGCGTGATGAATGTCAACGAGGTTAGAACCCTACGCTTCATGGCTACAGTTCCCCAACGAGGAGCAAAAAACAACGCCATCAATGCCATAATTTGAATCCATGTACGCTGATCAACCTTGTTCTGCATCCTCGAGATTCGCATATGGACTCACTCATCGGCATTGCACAAAATACGCTGAAGAAGCGCAAGATGAGCTCTGCATACTCCGGACATAATTGGAGTACCTCCACAAGGGTACCCAAAATGACTAGAGAAGTCTCAGGGTTGAAACCTTGACCATCAAGCGCCAAAGGAAATCGGATAGTGTCGCTTATCTAACGATCATCGGATTAATGCTGCAGGCTAAGGGCTCACTGCACCTGTTAGACGACTGCCAGATAGTGAAATAAGAGCTTCGAGTCCGGGCTTAGATATCCGTCCCCTGCAAAGAATCTTCCGCCAGGTTATGAAAATGCTTTGGACTCTTTGCTGATAATGTTGATCAGAGCCTTTATCATCAAAGAACCACATCAATAAGGCTCTTTTTGAGATCTCCAGTATTCCAGCTATGCTTCAAGTTCCTCAAAAATGGGACAATTTTTTGCCTTTGACTTCAATGGTTACGCATCGGTATCCTAAGACTAGTTGTTCCGATGTTTCTGTCGATTGACGAAGGAAGCTGAGGATCTGGCTCCCTTTGACCATGCATTTGTACTTCAACATCTGGACGGACATCCGGCATCCCGTCCACGCAGCGAATCAAAAAGACACGACTTGAATATATGTTGTTAAACTACTGATTTGCTTGATCTCAAGCGGAGGCTGAATCTTCTCAACTTACATCGACCTAAGGCTGTCGGACGAGTCCAGATGTGCTCCTCTGGAAGCGATCAGTACGGCAGTCTTGAGTTAGTACGCTTCGAGATACCTCATACATCCTGTACACGGACATGGGATTGGTATTTTTCCTCAAACTTTGCGTACATGCATCAAGCCCATGGGCAGGAGGAGTAACGGTTAACGAGTCCGCGCACTGTACGCTCTATCGAACTTCTAGGTCAAGGCAAGTGTGGAGACCTTGAACGACTTCGAGAAGGAATGGATCTCCCAGAAAACCATCGAGCCCCAAATACAAATATTGCAACAGTTTGAGTCACCAAAGAAAGTTTCTCAGCTGAGCCTTGAGCGGCAAGAGCTCCTAGGACGACTGACAGCTGCTGAAGTCAGGGCTATAACGAAGTAACTTAGGTCTCTGGCGAAACCGGAAGGTCATCCTTTCACCCAATCTCGGAACCCTCGGAAAGCAAGTTATGGTCCCAGAATCTCGGAAAAACAATGAAGAACCGCCCTCAGCCAGCACCGCACACGAACCGAACCCGCATGATGAATGACAAGGACGCCAACAAGGACCGCCTCTTTATACACACTGAAGACATACTCGCTTGCAAACAAGCTCAAATTCCCTCATTCCCGGACCGCAACACAGACACAGCGAAAAAAACAACCGAATTCCCCACAGCATCCACCAGCCCCATCTCCAGCGCCGAAGATTGCGCAGGCCCCACTATCGCGCGTGGAAACGTGCAGCTCCGCTCGCCACAAGATGGAACCGCCGCCGTTGGAATCGCAGATGGAGACTGGCAGGGTCGGGAACGGGAATGCAGGTTCAGACCGACAGGAGCGAGGGGCCGGTTGGTGTAAATGGCGGAGGTGGTAAAGGGTGGCAAGCTGGGAAAAGGGGCCACGGCTTCACGTCTTGCTCCGATAGATTATGGGGCGCGCCCGGAAGAAAGAAATTTAAATCCAGAACGGAGAACGGGACACCGGACTCAAACAAATGTAGCATTGGAGTGCAACATGCCATTCCACGAACCATGACGCAGCAACAAGCTCGTACAGCATACACTGCTCCTCACGCACTCCTCCTTTCAAAAGATCCGCCATCTCTACCTCTGCCTCTGCCTACGAACCAGCCAATCCCCTCGCCGCTCCCTCAGCATCCGATGAAAAAGTACAGAGGAAAGAAGAAAGAAAGGAGAAATCCCCACATCAGAGCACACACATATGCACAAGTAAAACACCATCACCATCACCACCAGCACCAGCAAACCACACAACCTCACCCCCTCCCCGACCCCCAACGCCGACGCTGTATTCACGAACCCAAAAGATTCCCCATCCGATATATCCATTTCAACCAGATTTACGGCACCGGTACTACATCTCCACGTTCAAGACGAAATCATGATTCCAGAGCTGGTGAAACGCACTCTCGGGAAGAAGTCAGGGGGTGGAAGAGAGGGAGCGATTAGGTAGATAGATAGGGATAACCATTCATGGTTTATTAATCGAGAACAGCTTGAATGAATCCATTTTTCGGTACCATTATCATCATCATCATCATCAAACTTCACTCATTCATTCACGATTGCAAGTGCAACAAAAAGAAACACAAACACATGCACACGCACGCACGAACGAACGAACGAAATAGTCCTCACATTCTACACATCCCCACACATCCCCACACATCCCCACACATCCCCACACATCCCCACACATCCCCATCCCCACACATACACACACAACCCCACATAACCCCGCAACATCATCTTCCCCAACCAGCATCCCAACCCCACGTATCCAACCCCTCCCTAGACCCGTAAAAAAAGAAAGAAAGAAAGTAAAAGATGAGGGAAAAAACACACACTCCCCTCAAGGGCAGAAAACCGTCTCATCCGATGAGCACGCACACGACGCCGTCTCTCCCTTGGCTATTGCTGATTTCGCTGGAAGGAAGGGAGGGAGGAGGGGAGAGGAAGGAAGGGGAGGGAGGGGAAAGTCAGGGAGTGGTGTCAAGTCAAGTCAAGTCAAGTCAAGTCAAGTCAAGTCAAGTCAAGTCAGACTCAAGTCAAGTCAAGTCAAACCAACCCAACCCAAGCCAAGCCTTAGTTGTCCCATTCATGACCACGCATCCACGCATCAATCAATGCCCGCATAGGGGCCCACATAGAGTGTATATAGTGGTTGCGCCGTCCCACGCCGAGGATAGCAAGCCTACAACATAAACAGGCCTACACAGCAAGCCCGAACAGGCATAATTCCTCGTACTCGTACCCCAGCGCAAGAAAACTCCCCTAGACCTGGAGTTGGAATGATAGCCGGCCATGTACAAGTGTGGATGGGTGGGTGGGACAAAAAAGTATCTATGCAATGGCTCCGAAAGAGACGAGATCGAGTTGAAGAGCCATTGACGGGTGCGAAACAGGTGGCTATATAGGTAGCTCGTACTGGACACCTGTCTCCTTCCTTACCCCTTGCGGGGGTACCGACAGGGCCATGAAACATGAAACAGGGGCATGTCATGTGACCGACTGACCCCCAGTCCCACTGTGGCGACAAGCCAAGCCAAGTTAAGCTAAGCCAAGAAAAGTAAAGAAAAGGAAAGGAAAGGGGGAAAAGACAATAAAAGAAAAGTAAAGAAAAGGAAAGGAAAGGGGAAAAAAGACAAGAAAGGAAAAGCTAAGAAAAGAGCTTAAGACGAAAGAAAAGTAAAGAAAAGAAAGATAAAGAAAAGAAAGACAAGCCAAACGAAATTTATATCCATTCTATATACACACACATATAAACCCAAAAGAGCAAAAGTGAGAATATCATCGCTTACAAGAAACGCTGCAACACACACACACACACACACACGCAATATACAATCCTACACCACCATATGCCGAAACCAGCACCGAGCCAAGCCAAGCGAGAGTATCAAAGCTTAAGAAACGGGGCAAAACACAAGAAAGGCAAAAATAAAATAACAAAAGATAAGAAAGGAAAAGGTAAGAAAAGAAAAGAAAAGTAAAGAAAAGGAAAGGGGGAAAAGATAAGAAAAGGAAAGAAAAGAAAAGGGGGAAAAGAGAAGAAAAGATAAGATAAGAAAAGGGGAAAAAAGACAAGAACGGAAAGCAAAGAAAAGAAAGATAAAGAAAAGAAAGACAAGCCAAACGAAATTTATATCCATTCTATATACACACACATATAAACCCAAAAGAGCCAAAAGTGAGAGTATCATCGCTTCAGAAACGCGGCAATACACACACACACACACATATACAATCCTACACCGCCAGAGCCGGGACCAGCACCGATCCAAGCCAGGCAACGTAAACCTCGCCACGGATACCTGGCATAGAAGTATGTAATCCGAGTTGCCCCAAACATTTATCCATCTGTACCATGGAATCGCGCAATTCGACGCTCGAGCTCTGAGAGGCATTGCTCTGCGAACGATGCCTGTCCGGTCTTCTCTCCTTACGACTGAGCCCCTCTCCCGTCTCCGAGACGGGAATCCCCCCTCTCAGTCATTTTCACTGAATTGATTAATATGCACGGTTTTCATAATGCGGTCCTTATCATCCATGCCGGAATCGTGGATCGGCATGCCCCAAACGGGCGCGTCGGTCCTCCTGCCCCCGACGACGTTGGTGTCGAAGCCGCCGTTCGCGTGGGCCAGCTCGACGTCCCCGTCGCCCATGCTCTTGGTGCCCCAGCCGCCATTGCCCCCGCCGGCGATCCTCTCCTCGCTCTCGCTGCGGATGTAGCCGTCGTGGTCGAGGCCGTGGTGGGCGGTGCGGCGCCGGGAGGTGATGCCCTGGTTCGAGGAGAGGTGGAAGCGGTTCGAGGAGTCGGGGCCGGCGGAGGATTTGAAGGCGCCGAGGCCGAAGACGCGGGAGATGAGGGGCCAGAGGTGGGGGATATTGGCGACGATGACGGCGGTGGAGGTTTCGCCGGCGTACCAGTTGAGGTAGATGAGGGAGCCGTAGCCGGCGGTGAAGTTGTAGTAGCGGTTGAGGATGGCGCAGAGGATGACGAGGGTACCGAGGGAGAAGATGCCGAAGAGGACGATTTTTCTGGAGGAGAGGTTAGTGGAGGGATGTTTCGAATTGGATGGTTGTTTGCGGACCTTTTGAGGGGCAGTTGTGCCTTGATGAGCAATGGGATGGGTAGGGAGAGGATTAACAGATCGGATGTGATGTTGAATACGGCGTCGTCAATGAGATGGTTGTAGTAACTCGCACATTGCGCTGTGGCGTTGAAAAGACAGTTAGTCAGCTGCTGGTTCATTCTCCAGGGGGAAATTAGTGGAAACAACAGATACTCACAGTTGGGAACAGGGACCTTCCAGTACCAATTCACAGGCCGACACCAGACACCCAAGAAAAGGATCATCACAATGATGTAGCCGAGCAGGGTATACGCTGCAACGTATTTGACCGCACGATGATATCTCGGCAGTCCCTTACTACGTCGTTCTTAGGTTAGCCGTCTTTCATTTTTCGTTCACGTCCATTTCCCAAGCTTCTCGTGTGTCTTCCAATGGTCCTTCACAATCCACCAGGAGCATTACAGGCAGGCGTATGTGGGGTGCGACTCACGTCATGTGGTTATACAAGATTAGCAGGCAAGCTTTGCAACCCCAGACCGTTGACAACTTTGTCATTTCCGTAGCGAACGTCCACTTGCAGCCGTAGATTGCGTTCTGGATTTCAGCGGGTGTGATAGTTGCGAGGAAGGACGGAGGTAGGTAGGCATTGAGATTCACGGCCGTCTGGTTGATCCCGACTATCACTATGGTATAGCAACACTGTCCTCGTTGATCGTATGGTCAGCCTTATATCGACGACCAGAGCTTTGCTGCGTGAGGAGTTTTTACTGTGCTCGGGTATGGTGGTTGAGTAGGATGATGGTAAACAGGCGTCTTGAATCACGGGGCAAATGAATTGGGGGGGGAGGAGAAGGAATAGGAACGTACGACGACAAAGTACATTATATAGTCATCGATTTGCAGCTTCTTGAAAGATCCAAGCAGAATCCTTCGAGACAAGCTGGAGGCATGTCAGTCAATTAGCCTGTGCGAGAGGAGAGAGAGCCTTGTAGGTGGTTTTCACTTACGTTCTGCCAATGACGACCAGAATAGCAATTGTATAGAGGGTCCATGACTCGATGGCCAGCGATTGTGCTTCGCTCATCCCCATGATGTAGTGGGATGTTGAATTTCGTGCCCTCGCCTGGCGAGTCACACGAGCTACGATGGTGGAGTGCAGACGACGTGAACAGAGCACTTGGTGTCAAGGCTGACGGCGGAGAGTGTACCAAAGGTGCATCGAATGTTGGAAGATTGGAAGTTCGGAGAAGTGAAGACGAATTTGTCCCGAAGATGGTGCGCCGGTACTTGTTTATTATCAGCCTCGGCCGCTCCCCTTTACCGTACCTTATCTGACCGTTGTGACATGTGAAGTGATTCGAAAATGGAGAATTGTGCTCAAGAGAATTGCACGTACCTTACGCTAGGAAAGATGGATGGGATGGCACAGAGGACAAAGTGACTGTGACTGCTTGGGCAGCAGCGATGATTGGAAGCTAAGCATACGAGATCGGGAGCCAGCCTCTCTTCCCCGGACCGATCCCAGCAAGTCTCCATGGCCATTGCCCAAAAGGGATAGAGCAGTGTTGGGAAGTAAGGATGAGAAAAGAACGGTTTGAATGTTATCCCACGTACCGTATATTAAGTCTGGCAAGAGCTGCCGAGCGTTGATCAACACACCGAGTTGGATAGAACTGGTGGGTAGAACTGGTGGGTGGAGCATTGACATTCCTACTCCCTGCAATCATGTAAGAGGGTCAAGTGAATTCCCGATGCGTGCAGGTGCATATGCAGAATGTCAAGGAAAAAGGAAAAGGAAAAGGAAGAGAAGAAGGGCACAATGGGTGGGCGATTATTGGTTAGGGAAAGCAGAGGGACGGTAAGTAGGCCAGATCCATCCCGTTCCCAGAGTCCCAAAAGTTTGGCCTCGGGATTTCCAAGCGGGGAATATGCTTGCAAAGTATCTTTCGCGTAACAAAGTCAATATCGCCCAACCCCTGATTGGGCGTTTTTTCCCTTGCTTTCTTCTTCTTGCGTTCCAATTCCAAGGCACTTTATCAAGTTGTGCCGTGACGGCGCATGCGGTCTGTGTTAGCGAGTCTGTGATGACATGTGATGGTCTCGCACAAGTTCACACTTCCCAGTCCCAGAATTGAGCTCATGGCTCTTGGAGGCTTCGGCAGCGATATCGGAGCAATAATTGACGATGAATATCCGTATCAAAATGGGAGTCAAATAATGAACTGAGTTTGGGTAAAATGCATGACTACTATTATTCGTCTACTCGTATTATGATTGGAGGAAAAGCAAGACTATCAAGACTATCTTTACTCCTTCGCCTCTTCTCTTCGACCGGCTGAATAGCTACAAGTTAGGCTGACAGCGGTCCGAAGCATCGGATCATACTTGATCCTCTTCCATGTACAATCCCTCAATATCCCTCCCACCTGCCCCCATGCTAGCCACCTGCTAGGCCACATGTACTAGATCAGCCAAGCGAGCAGACGAGCAGGCCATTGGGTGGCGTGAAGAATTGGCGTGACAATGGCGTTTTGGACCCCACTACACCGGACTGCTGCGGCTCCGCTTCCCCGTTTGCGCTTTCCTTGAACGGGGTTTAGCGTAAAGTAAAATCCAGCGAGGTTTGTGTGAGGCCTGGACTTTTCAGCGCGGGACAGGCCCAAGCTCGACCAGTCCTCGGCCTCTCGAGTAGAAGATCGGAGTGCCCCTGACTAGTGTCGTATAGCGTGGGGTTTATCAACATCGTCTCTTGGCACTCGCGAATTTTCACGTTTCGCTTTCATCCTTTCTTCCCTCCTTTCCTTTTTCCACTTTATCCAACAGATCTTTGATGAGAGTCGATGAGAAGACTAGGTAAGAGTCGATGAGAGGACCGGTGGACTAGGTAGATAAGGACAGTCATCAATCGGGCCAATTGGCCTTCATCTGATCGCGTTGATCTTCATCTCTTCCAAACCTTTTCGTTCAAAGGGCCTGGACATTCCCCAGGGCCCCCAAATCATTTCTCGGGGTCCCAAGTTCTGGCAAACACGAGGACGATTACGAACTGCTGATGAATTGGACCTTCCTCAGGCATCAAACCAACAACAGTGCGTGAACTTGTTCATGCGCCCATGGCAAGGAGTTCAAACTGCCATGTGGCCAAATCATCTCAAGCACGTGGTAAGGTATAGCAAGAAGTACCTAAGCTGGTGATTGAGTGAAGAGATGGTCAGGCCTGGATGGCTTTTCGTACCTCTGACTTTGGAGATGAGTTTGAAATGGTGAAGCTCGTGTGAAACTCACCGGCTGCTGTGAAAGTCTGATTTTGCGTGATCCCTAATGCCTCCGGGATCTAGACCCTGAAGGTGACGCGGGAATTGCGTTCGGTGGACGGTACAGCAAGCGGAAAGGCAAGTAAGGAAGGTAAATAAGGTAAGGTTATGCATTAATCAGAATAAGGCCTAGTCCTGAAGTCGATTACGACTTGCATGAGTTAGATTCGACTTGCGAGTTGCGACTTAACCATGTGTTGGATGACGCTAGATATGCATCTAATACCCCACTAATCCCCCCACTAATCATCTAATGCACAGCAGGTTGGAAGCTTCAGGTGTAAGCCAACTCCAAGCCAACGGAAAGAGAGGCACGCCAATGCCAACGAGATATGATCCGGCATGGCCCATTATTACTAAGTAGGTACTGCTGATCCGTGCATGAAGCCATGAACCATCCCGTGCTCGCCGCCGAGTGGGCACATTTGGATCTACTGTAAACGAGACCCATGGCTCGCCTTTTCCCGAGCTGAGCTACAGCCATGCATTATCCTACCGTCATGCATGTAACACTTGCGTACTACCTTCTACCCCATCTATTAATCTTCCGGTTCCCCACCCCCCAATATCGCCCACTTCGATTGATCTCGTCGCAGTTGCGACAGATACTTCAACGACAAGTATCATCGCCTCCCCGACTGCCATCATGACTCTCGCCAACAATCCCCTCAACCATCCCGCCGCGCATCAGATACCTGAAAACGACGTGGAGAAGCGTGGCGAATTGAACGATAAAGATGCCGACATCAACGTGTCCTCGTTCACCGGCAGTAATTCCGAAGACAATACTACTCACACCTCCCATTCCTCTCTCGGTCCTCACGACATACCACCCACTCCCGTCGTCCTCAGAGGCAGGCTGAAAAGATGGAACGACAAGATCGAAGCTTTCGCCGGTCTCGAGGCGCGAGGCATCACTCGCGTGCTACCAGAGGAAAAACATGACATATCACTCATGGGATACGCCCAGATGTGCATCCTGTGGTTCAGCGTAAATGTCACGGTGAACAACCTAGCCGTCGGCTTCCTTGGCCCACTGGCCTTTAATCTGGGTTGGGTGGACAGTGTCTTACTGACCGTATTTGGTTGCGCGCTGGGATCCGTGCCAACTTCATACACGAGTACATGGGGTGCTGAAAGTGGTAATCGGACACTGGTATGCTTGCCCTGAGACATACGACTGGGCCAGTTAAAGCAATGACTCTTTACTGATGGGCATCCTAGATTGTGGCTCGATATGTAATGGGATACTGGCCAGCGAAGCTAATCGCCATCCTTAATGCCATCTTGATGATCGGATACGGCGTCATCAGTTGCATTATCGCCGGACAGATGCTCTCGGCCGTCAACGGTGGGCACATGACCATCATCGTGGGCATCATCATCGCCGCTCTCATCATCGGCGTCGTCGCCATCTTCGGCATGGCTGTCCTGCACGTATACGAAAGGTACATACAAACATCCTTCCCGAACCCCCACCCCCGGCCCCCAATCATAGCTAACCTCATCCCCTTCATCAGATGGGCTTTCATCCCCCAAGTCATCGCCCTCTTCGTCCTCATCGGCGCCGCCGGTCCCCACTTCAACACCGCTCTCCAATCCAGCGCCCCCATCACCGGCACCGCCGGCGAAATCACCGCCAACCGCCTCTCATTCTTCGCCCTCCAGTACTCCGTCCCCGTCGGCTGGGCGGCCGCCGGCTCGGATTTCTACGTCTACTACCCCACCCACACGAGCAAAAGGCTCACCTTCCTCATGACCTGGCTCGGCCTGGCCTCGTCCTTCATCTTCGTCAACATCATCGGCGTCGGCCTCGGCTGCGGCGTCGCCATCACCCCGGCCTGGCAGACCGCCTACGCCACGTCCTCGGGCGCCCTCCTCCTCGCCGGCTACGGCGGCCTCGGCGGCTTCGGCAGCTTCTGCACCGTCATCCTCGCCCTCTCCGCCATCCAGAACAACATCCCCGGCACCTACGCCGCCGCCATCGACATGCAGATCCTCGGCCGCTACTTCAAGGCCGTCCCGCGCTGGCTCTGGGTCGTGGCCGTCGTCATCGTCGAGTTCGTCTGCGGCGTCGCGGGCCGCGACCACCTCTTCGACATCTTCGAAAACTTCCTCGCCCTCATGGGCTACTGGATCTCCATCTTCGTCACCATTATGCTCGAGGAGCACATCCTGTTCCGCCGCCTCCGCGGCGTCCCCTTCGACTGGTCCGCCTGGGAGGACCGGAAGCGCCTCCCGCTCGGCGTCGCCGCCCTCGTCGCCTTCCTCATCGGCTGGGCCGGCGCCATCATCGGCATGTACCAGGCGTGGTACGCGGGGCCCGTGGCGAAGCACGTCGGCGGCTACGGAGGCGATATCGGCACCTGGGTCGCCATTGCGTTTACGTGCGTGACGTTTCCGCCGATGCGCTGGTTGGAGTTGAAGCTTGTGGGGCGGTGATGAGGGGGAGCGAGCGGATCCGCGGGCCGTGCGGGGTGTGCGTGTCCGGATGTGATGGATCGCCCGTCCGTCTGTCTATATAATCCGACGGATTGCCGACCAGCCATCCATCCTTTTTCGACGAAATGAGAAGTGGTGATGTTTATCTAAGGTACTTATCATCTATCCCGGCGCTAGGCGGGCTGAATAGAACGGTTTCGGTTTGGGGTCTGGTCTTGACTGTCCCGCAAGTACTTTGGAGTAGGTACGTAAGTAGGTAAATAAATACCGTAGAGACGTATGTCAGACGCAAAAGCTATGCATCCAACTTTATCTATCTATCTATCTATCTATCTATTTATTTATTTCCCCTTGGCCCCCATCCCCCCCACACTATCCTCCCCATCACCCCCCCCCACACCCACACCCACACCCACACCATCCTTTCTACTGTACCCCCCACCCCTGCGCACGCCCCCCCCTTTTTTTTTTGCCCTATCCTAACACCACCATCCCATCCCATCCCATCCCACCACCCTATTCCCATTCCCAATGCTCCATCCATCCATCCACCCTATCCCTCCATCCACCACCATCCCATCCTACCCATCACCACCATCCCATCCCAGCCCATCCCATCCCATCCCATCCCATCCCATCCCACCAACCTATCCCACCACCACCACTCATCCCATCCCACCATCCATCCCATCCCCCACCACCATCCCATCCCACCACCACCACCACTATTCCCAATGCTCCATCCATCCACCCTATCCTTTCAACCCCCACCCCTCGCACCCCCTTTGCCCTATCCCACCACCACCACCATCCCATCCCACCACCTATATCCCAAATAAATGCTCCATTCACCCATCCATCCATCCACCCACCCATCCATCCATCCACCCACATCGCACGGGATTATGTATTGAAAAATATCAAAACCCGAATCCGTTGCTAGTGGTGCTTCTAATGCTTCTGCTGGAAAGAAGGAAGGAAGGAAGGTTTCATAGGCTGTTTGTTACATTGATGGGTGAGGGAGTGGGGGGAGTGATGGATGGATGGATGGATGGAAGGGGTGGGGGGGAGTGGAGGGGAAGTGGAGGGGGGAAGTGGAGGGGGGATTTTGTTTGGGAGCGGGAGGATTCTGGGGTAGGGTATTGGTTTTGGTGTTATTGTTGGGAGGAGGGTGGGGGTGGGGGATGGGGATGGGAGGGATGCCTTGATTGGTACATGTGGTGTGTATGTATATGACAGCTCATATATTTAATATATGGACGTTGAACTCTGGGAGCTGTACATTTGCATGGCTGAAATACTTTCGTAAATATACCTCACTATATAGCCAAGTCTCCTGTACATCTACTTGTATATTTCTTTCTTCCTCTCTCCCATTTCTTCCTCTCCCCCATATCTTCCTCTCTATCGTCCCTTCCAATCATCCCCGATGATCGCCGCTCCCTTCTCGCCAATCGCATAGATGGTGGCCTGCGGATGCGCGCTGATATGCAGTGGCATGATACTCGCATCACATACTCTCAACCCTTTCGTGCCGTAGACCCTCAGTCTGCTATCAACGACATATCCATCTTCTTTTCTTCTTCCCCCCATGGCACAAGTGCCTATAGGATGCCAGTCCGTGATCGTAGAGTTGCGGACCCAGTCCGCGAAATTGTAGTTTGGGTCTGTAGGATCTGAAGGAGGGTAGACACGGGAGACGATGATGTCTGAGAGCGGAGGGGTGGAACAGATTTTATCGGCGTAGGCTTGGGACGCCACCATCATCTTGAAATCGACTTCCCCGCCTTTGCCATCGTAATATCTTGGATCGATGACGGGTTTCTCCGTGGCGGTTGCTTTGGAGCCGTTCTTTTGCTGGGTAGGAGGAATGTGTATGCTCCCCTTTGAAAACGGGTATTGTAGCATCTGCAGCATCGTCGCGTACTTCTTTCCCGGCAGGGATTTAAAGTACGGACTGTAATTGCTGACGTCGAAGTTCCATTCGATTTGACCCAGATTCTTATCGGCCAAGAGTCTGTTAACGAGGATGCGGTCGCTGGGCTTTGATTTGGGGCTAGATTGGGAGAGCAAGGAGTTGCCCAGAGAGGAAAGCTCTTCGTGAGAGACAAAGTGGGAGAAGGGTAGGTAGGCGACAGAGGAGGGGATTGCGGTACGGGGGCCGGATTGCGAGAGGGCGTATTCTTTATCTGCTGCTTCAGCCAACTTTGGATCGGCACGCAGGTCTTCAGGTGTGACGATTGAAGGGGCGATTTCAAAGATCATGGCGGTCACTATTAAATGTGTCAGCATATTCTATCGATGATCGAACGGGCGGCCCGAGAGAGTTACTCATGTGCTCCTGTAAATTCTCCCCAACGGCTGTATTATCAACTTTGACGTCGATACCCGCAACCTCAAGAACTTCTGGGTTGCCAATCCCGGATAGCTCCAGGAGCTGCGGCGACTGCACGCTCCCAGCGCAGATGACCACTTCTCCTTCAGTCCTAATGATATGCTCTTCACCATCATGTGTGAACCGCACACCCTTTGCAGCCCACGCTTGCCCTTCCTTCTCCAGAACCACTTCTTGCACAAACGCCTCTGTCAACAGGTGCAAATTCTTCCTGCCACTGTTGGGTCTGTAGTATGCAGTTGCTGAGTAGCTTCTTTCCCGCTTATCTGGCGTCACGCCTGTAAGTGAGGTCCAAACACCAACGTTCGAGCCGGAGAAATGACTGCTGTTGGTCTCGATACCCAGTTTGTGAAGGGTAGCGTGCCAGTGCTGGTGGGAGGCTCCGTATGTGACTGAATACGTTGTTTGTAGAGGGCCTGCGGTACCATGTTGCTCGGGGTCAAAAATCGATTTGTGTTTGGACTGGTGTTCGGAGTCTGGTTGGTGGAATGTCTCGCTCTTTTTAAAGTAGGGTCTACTTGATCGTCAATCCCACATGCAGGTTATGCCTATGGCCATAAAAGACTCACAGCAGCCCTTCCCAACCCCACCCCTCCGCTCCCAGTTCCTCCCAAGCATCATAGTCCTCCTTGCACCCCCTGTTCCACGTCATGAAATTCAATGCACTTGTCCCTCCCAGCACTCTCCCTCTCGGCCACGGCAAGCTCCTGCCATTCAATCCAGGCTGTGGTGTAGATTCAAACTGCCAATCGTAGTCCGAGCCCAACGTCTCTCCAAAGCGACCTGGCACGTTGATCTTCGGGTCGTCGAAAGCTGCGGACCCAGCTTCTAAGACGCCGACGGTGATATCTGGGTTTTCGGAGAGGCGGGCTGCGACAACGAGACCGGCTGTACCGCCGCCGATGACGAGGTGGGTGTATTTGTGGGAGAGGAAGGAGGTGAGACTGGGGTGGTCGTCTGTGCTGCCCATTTTTGCTGACAGGAAGGCTGTGTCCGGGCGTACTGCAGTCTCCAATTCAATTCTCAACTGGCAAGAAGGGAATGACACCAGATGGCGATAGGATCAAAAGGAGCAAGAGAGGATCGGCCAATTGGCCAAAGGTTTGAAAGAAGCATCATGAAATAAACATACGCCAACAACCCCACATGGCTCAATCCACCGACCAGCGTGGGAGCGGGGACAAAATAATACTAGTACTCTATGTTTGATGGAGCCGAAGTGGTCTGGAAGCCAAGGATCCAGTGGGGTATCTGTGGGCCCTGGAACCGCGCTATCTGCAGGCTAGTCCCGCCTAGAAGTCAGACCCTGGAGAATATGAAATGCCACTTCACCGCCTGGATGTCAACATCAGATTAGGGCAATACTCTTTGGGAGAGATGGTTTCAAAACAGCCACGCGTACTCTACCCTTGTCGACAGCGAGGTCGCTTCATTGAAGATGGTGTTAAAGTCTTGAATTACTCCACTCGCTCCCTGTCGTGAACGCTCCCTTCCTTGCGCGCCCTGAGATGGATCAAGCGCAGCTTGACCCCGAAGCCCACGACTGGGGAAGGTTGGTATAGCTCTCCAGACCTCTCGTGGTCCTGGCATCGGCGATGTAGAAATCACGCAGGTAAGACAGGGTCCTACCCACGGCCCCGATTATTCTTGTTTTTCTTTCCTCTGACAGCCCCATTAGGTCGAAGAACCCACCCTCTCCCCCTCGGGACGTCCACACAACACTGCACCTTCCGCTGCGCATGCCGCAAATTCCACAATGGCTGCTCTACCTCTTGCCACTGCGCTGGCGACTGACAATGCAAGAACCAATTGTATGATCTGGCCCGTACTCTTCGGAGTCGATTCGGATCTGGAGACGCATCTACGCGCCACGCCTTGCTTTACAAGATACTTGGCTAGGAAGAAGGGGTCGGATCTTTAATTGGATTGGATATAGATACTGCGGCGGAAAGTCATAAGCCTGAAGGGGATTGATGGAGACGACATATAGATGGGCGGAGTATATCACGAGGCGAGGTTTGATGATAGAGTTCGTGCTTGGAAAGATCGCCGGGTAGCTGGCTTGCAGAAGGAGGCGGAGAGGACTGCATATATACGGACGATATTCGAGTACGGATTGTGAACGGAAGACGACAGTGATGATCGACAGTGATGGTTGTAGAAGGTTCTTCTACTCTTTCTGCAGGGATGGCTGGGAGCAGGATAGCAGTATGTGACAGTGTCGGGCTTGTGGAGATTATAATAGTTGGCTTTGTGGGGGGGTTTTTGAGCACTTCGATCATCTTCGTCAGGAGGGCCGAGGTGTCCCAGATTCATACGATTCGAGGGAGAGGTAGGACATGTGACAACCTTCCTTCTATGACGTGTTTATCCAGGCTTCGTTGCAGACATCCTGCAATCTAAGTTCATCATCTCGGCTCTAGATGCTCTATCGATTGCTCTAGTCGAAAGCACGAGCCTGTCGACCTTCTTTTGAAACCTCGCGTCAAACATCCTCGGTTCGACTTCATGTTCAAAGCATCCTGCGTAGCAATCTCTCTCGTCGGCAGCGAAAATTCGCGCGCTGTCGATCAAACCTCGAATTGAATCTTCTTTCAATACCTCTCAACGGCATTGGGCTCTTCTCGGTATTGGGATGTGGGTTACGGATGTTGATGCTTCTCTTCTGTGGCGTGTAGGGACTGTCAGGGACTATGGTATCTCCTAGACTCGGCCGCTCTGGGCCTTCTTGCCTCTGCTTGCCTCTGCCGGCCTTCCTTCCTCGACCATTGCGCGGCTGACCTTCGATGGCTTCTCAGCGTAATGCTGGCTTTTCCCTCGTTGCAGCCTGTATTACTCCTAATAATGAAAATTCGATTCTTCCCGCCCGAGATCTGACTAGCCGTTTCATCGGCGTCATCTTTAAGATTCTCCTTATCATCCTCAAAAGCAATGGGTTTTTGCGGTCGATGTCCAAATAAGGACACGTCCTGAATACAAGCAACGTCGTCTCTTTACTGGAGAGCTAGATGAGGACTCGAAGAGAGACAGTCGACTCCTTTCTTTTGCCTTGCTAACCCACCATTGCATGGCCACGCTGAGGCCGCCCGTCTTTCAACCATCACGTTATTACGACCGATCATACATGGTTCACCTCTTTATCTATATCGTCGTTACATGAATCTTAATTAGCAAAAAATATGGCGGCCTAAAGAAACGGCGCGTATGCGTTAACTTACAAATACCGGATGAAGTTCCTGAGTACAAGATATGTCAACAGATCATCCAATAGGCCCGTCTAGAGACACACGGCAAACCGGGGGAAATTCAAAAAGCTGATCGGGATTTCTCAACCCTAATCGACCAAAATCTTGAGAAGTTGTATTCGACTTGATGGTCTTTTCAAAAGATTGCACGCTATTGACCCTTCGGAGAATTCCGCAAGTACGCAATCTATCGATCCTCTGCCTTAGAAGCATGTATACGATCGAGCACCGAGGAAACCCCAGAAGCATACAGGATACCCATGCTTAATGCCTCAAGGGCTGGGCGACGAAGACCCTTTCGTCATGTCAAGTCTAGTCTGCTTCCGTCCAACTGCCCTTTTTTCTTTCCAATTTCAGTCCTTGCGGGACATGGTCTCTTGAGAGGCCTCGCGTTGGTGTTCAGGCGGAGATCATGTTCCTTCAACATAGATTCCGTTTCTTCTCCACACCTCTCAGCGACGGCCAAAAAAGCTTCATCAGCAAGCTCTCGGTTCTCCACGATCTCGTTTCGGGAGGACACCCGACATCTCGTTCAAATCCGGTAACCCTCTTCGAGAGAGAAATCGCCGAAACGGCTCCACTACTTGAGATAACTTCCACGACCTTGGATCAGCGGCACAGATTCTAAAAACGCTGAGATCAGGCTTCTGGAAACCCAAAGTCGCCGGATGCTCAGTGGTCACATGCAGGTGGAACACGAGATGGCGCGCCTCGTCCTGTGGAAGATCTTGCGGACATCTACATTGGAGGAGGTCCAGACTGCGATATCCGCGCCGTGCTCGGGATTGATACTTCGTATCGTGAAGGATCGGCAACAGTTTTCTCTTTCGAGCATCCTATTTGCAACCGGATACACAATAGTCGACACGGGTCAGGCTCCGATGCACTCTACCAATTTTGAGGAGAAAAAAAGGCCGAACGGATCCAGATCTTACAGGATTGCAGATGGCACCTTTGTGGACCTGCGCGTGGATGGGCCGCAGGTCCGAATCGGACCGAGATCGGAATAGTCCTCGCGGGAAATCTTGGGCTTCGAGATGTCAGACCGGTTGAGACACTCTGGCACTTGCCAGCTGATCTGCGTTGTGAGTACGGCTTGCTATCTAAGACTAGGCATAGCGCATATGAAAGCATCAGGCGTATCTACTCAGGGGCTACAGTTGCAGACGTCATCATCGTGCAGATACTGCACTGAAAACTATTCTCCTAGACTCTCGCTCGCTCCATTCACAGACTGAAATCCTTCAAGCTCGCCCAAAGGAAGGCGTCTCTCGTTCAAGCATGACACTCCGTCTCAAACTCAGAGACCTCCATGACCAACTTTCCGCGGTTCTCCCACGTGTGGACTCCAATGTTCTCCTCCTCCTCATTTTCTTCTTCAGCAATACCGACTGCTCCCTTGGCACCGCGCTCCTTGACCTTCGCTTTCACAGGCCATCTCCCACCGTCGGCGTGATCGTGCGTAATCTGCGAACCCGAGCCATCGGGCCTCCCCTGGACTTGAGACAATGTAGGGGAGGGTACCATGATTCCCTCGTCAGAACCTGCTTTTGCCCGCTCTAGAAGAGATTTCAGTCTCCACTTCGAAGTTTTGCTACTCGCAGCAGACGCACCCTTCTCGGCCGACGTGGAGGGGTGATGATAATGTCGGTCAGCACCTATAACGTTCTGGGGTCCTCCCCCAGCTACCGCCATGAGCTGGTTCAGGACCAGGAACTCCAGCTTCAACTTCAGAATGTAGCTGAAAGTCTGGATCGGATGGCTGATGCCCGTTTGGTTGAGGAATACCAAGACCACGGTCAAGATGTCTAGGCAGACAGCAATCACGTTGACACAAATGAGGTCAGTCATGACGCGGCGCTGTCTGAGGCCCGACATAAGATTGAGTACCCTGGCTAAGGACCAAATGTAGATGCCGTTGAGGATGCATTCGGCAAAGGTAAAGCCGAGCTGGGTGAACCGATCGACTATGGCCTCTCTGGGCGAGTAGATGGCAGAGAGGCGGGGGTTATAGGGGTTGAATGCTTGCCAGACTAGAGGCCAGGTTGGAATGATCGTCAGGGATGCAACGGCTATGATCATGATGAGTACCCATCGTTGGAGCTTGCGACTCTGATTGACCAGATGGAGTCTTGAATAGAGGACCAGAAGCTGTGCGGGAGCGTATATGGTCCAGCCCCCCAAGAGAAAGAGCGTGTACAGCGGCCACAGGGGCTCGGGGTTGGGGACAAAGTATTTCAATACGACCCCAATGGAGTCGATCAAACAGCCGCAGGTTCCGAGCAACATACACCAGTAGTAGAGACCCTTCTTCCTCTTGAATATCCGGTAGATGCTGAGGTTGTTGTCGACGAAAAGGTAGAATACTATGGCGACGAAGCCGCTTGCTGCTAATTCTTCACCTGGTCTTAAGAGGTTTGTTAGGTACGATTATACAAGGTGGATCAAACTTGATCGTACCTCCATTTCGCAGAGGCCGATTCCGCAAGATCGTATGCCGAGGGGGAAGGCATTGCGTAGGTTCGAGATACGTGAAAATTTGAGAAATTCACGACAAAAGCGCGGGTTCATCGGAGAACTTCGACAAGCTCGGTCTCGAAAACCGCAGAAGGGAAATCCTTAGGCCTTCTTATGTGCTGGAATCTTCGCCCCAGAAACGGAAGCGACCACTTCAGTAATTGAGGATGTGAAAGGGATTTCTTGACGTTCCGTAAGCCAATCCTACAGCACACGGATCCGACTGCTTCATTGGTCAAGATTGCGAGGCACAGCCTCAGCACTGGATGAGAGATGCCTGAATTGACCACCGATCACTTCGCTCTCAATCCGTGCCTTTTGTTGGTGACATCAAAGTTCCCAAGGTTGAGCTTAGCTAGGGATCCTCTCAAGGGCCGTCCCAGCCGACACGCATGAAGATCCTCCATGAAACATAATGCAAAGGCTTGGATATGGTCTGCCACCTGCGCAGTTCATACTCGATCTATAATGTACAATACAAATCCTCCTCCGATGTCCGACGCGCGGACAGGAGCAGTATGAACAGTTTCCTTCTCGGTAGAGCTCGGCTCGTGTCTAGCTTATGCGCAGCTTACGTCAGATGATAAGGCAGAGTCATATCGGCCGCGGACTTGCATTGAGGACTGCGAGAGAAGGGTTTTCCGTTCCAGGGCGCTGTGCTCCTTCGGAGTGCCGTAATACTCATGCAGCAGTAAAAGTGGGCGCAGGGAAGGGTCATAACTAGGTTCAGCAGGAGCATTACACCCGATGGTCCGTCCCCAGTTTCTGGACGGACAGTCCGCACGGTCCATTCTAGACCATCCGAGCATCTCTTAGACGGACCATAGACAGTCCAAGGCATGCGGACGGAGGGTCCGAATTAAGTGTCTGATAATTTGGGATCACATTCAAGGCTTTCGATTGAAAATGGAACTCTTAGTCAGCTTCTTGGCAGCAATCAAGCGCACTAATTAAGCTCTTGCAAGTGATATACTAACCGCTTTGATGTCAGCTTCTTCGACTATTAGGACTGAAGGTCCAAATTGAACCTGGACGGTCTAAGGTCTTTGGATGGACCATTTGGACCATCGGGAGCATTGAGCTGCAGGAGAGGCAGACTCATCTTGGCCGCAAGCGGCACTCACTGGTGGAGAGTTTCAGAGCTAGCGAAGTTCTTCGAAGTTCTTGAGCATGTGAAATTCACGTGTGGACGAGTTCATGCCATGAAAAGATGATTGGGGTTAGATTCAAATGATGGTGATGAGATACCCTAGATTTCCAAGTCCTCATATGCCTGGGCGTCACACGGCTGTGGTCTCCCCCATTGAGAGGCGAATGCGTAGCTGCCAAGCGTGGCATACACTTCCCAAGGGTCGGCATCTCTTTCTCGTTGAAGGATTTGAGCGACGACTTCAGCATTTCGAACGTAGAAGTGGCTGCTTATGTAATGTAACTGTTCGATGACCCATGGCCAAACGCCTGGAACGGCCTTTGATCTTCCCGTGACATAAAGTGGGAAAACAAGCATAGAGCGGTCTAATTGGTGATTGGGAGTATAGGATGGCGAGCCCCCCCAAGGCCACGATCCAGGATTTGATCCGGGGTCTCGTGCAGAAGATCCGACTTCTCTGATGTAGCGTCACCACTGTCCACATACTGCGGCACACACGCACATGCTTGGCCCGCTAACACTTCAATGTTGTCATGTGCGACTCATATCAGTGCCAAGTACTTGCCGCTTGTAGGTGACGCCAAATGATGTTCAAGCAGAGACTCACTGAGAAGGATGCGGATAACTCGGAGAACAATCCGTGCTTGACACACTCTTAGATTGGAGTAGGAGTCAAAGTGAAGATCGAAAGTCCTGTCCGAATCGTGGTCCAGAAATCTAGTTGAGTATCGCCAAAATGGTGGCAGTTCAAAGTCCAGCACTTGTATTTTTCCGTCAGCTCCATGGACAATCCGATGTACTCGTCGTTAGACAAGATACTCTTCCGAATTTCGATGCGTAGATTCGCATATTGAGCCATCTCGAGAAGGGAACATGAGATCTTGGACATTTAGATTTATTAATCCTGATGTTTATTTGGGTGCTCGTGAACCGCTGGCACCAGTGGAATGTCGCCAGGACGTACCGGCACTTGAACTCGAGCAAGGGTCCGCCATAACTGACATGACATGTCTAGGACTTGTTGTTTCGAGGTTCACTGTCCGCGATCTTCTCGAAGAGATCAAGAAGAAGCGACGCCATCAACGTAGTGTCTTTGATTGCCTCCTGGGAAGACTTCAGAGTTTTGTTGACCATGCGTAAGGCCATAATATATGTCTCCCTAGCAGTCGCTAGTGCAACATCTCGAGCTTGCAAATTGAATCGACAGGGGAATGGGCCATGGCCCGAAATGAGGTGCATTTTTCAGTACTTTCCTCGCACCAGATTGGCTTTCATTCCGAATGCGAAGTTGACGTGTGTCCCGGTATCCTGCACAAGGCATAGAGTAGTCGCTAGGAGACATTGGCCGCAAGCACCACTCGAAGATCGCACTACATTCAAAAATACATCTCGACTCCGGAGAGAGCGATTGCCGGACTTGGGACTCACCTTTAGTCTTCGAGCTCTGCGTCTTTTGCAAGCCTTTGAAGGTTTCCCACGGAGGACCATGATGAGCTCCTGGGTTTGTTATTGGCGGGAGGATCGTTGAGAGATGTTGGCAGGATGGACGTTCGCGTGAGGCTTGCCGCCCGTCACCTAGGTAGGTACACCTAGGTATTCCGGGGGAGATCAGCTGACTAATATCCCATGGGAGTCTCATTGGCTGTGACAATGACAGCGGCTTGATGCGACACTATGCCACATACGGCATGCTTTTCGACGCCGAGCTAGAAATAGATAGGCGCACCGAATAGGGGTCTCAACTTCCCTAAATACCTTAAATCCGGGCCCTTAAAATCGTTAAAGCCCGGGAGAAGAGCGAAGTACATTTCAAGGGAGGCTCATTGGCTGTGATAATGGGCTTGATGCAGTACTATACCACCTCCGGCATGCTTCTCAAGGGCGAACTGGACTTTAAGACGGACTATGCGAAGAGTGAGTCCAAGTACATGCCTAGAGAGGCTGTCAGAAGATGTAATATTGTTATAGAGTCATTGCAGTTGAAAGGTGCTTCTTGCTATGGTTAGCCATATGTAGTATAGCTTACTTGGCTTGGTAGGCTACATAGCCTGCAGCTGCTCCCGTAGAAATCAAGATCGCTCCTACATTCTGCGAATGCTGTCCTTGTTCCATCATAATTTCTTTTGCTGCTTATATATCTCTGCTCTCCCTTTACTCCTTTGCTGCTCTGAAAGTAAAGAAACACACTACAGTCAGAATAGAAAAGCAAAAGTATAGGTCTGCTTTGCTAAGGAGCTGTGTCGCCCAACATGTCCTTTTTGGCGGCTTTCGTATATCGCCAATTCATCCACGAACCGCCCATCCCAACCGCATCATTTAAGGGCAGGACTGCCATTGTCACGGGCGCCAGCTCAGGTCTGGGTCTGGAAGCCTGCCGCTGGATGGTTCGCCTTGGGGCGTCGCAAGTCATTCTTGCTTGTCGGAATGTCGATAAGGCAAAGACGGCAGCAAAGGACGTTGAAGCAACGACTTTGTGCTCATCTGACACCCTCCAGGTGTGGCCCCTCGATATGAGCTCGTACAGTTCAGTCCAGGCCTTTTCCGACAGAGTCAAGGCTGAGTTGCCACGCGTCGACGTGCTCATCGCCAACGCCGGCTTAGGAACACAGAAGTTCCGAATGACCGAAGACAACGAAGAGACCATCACCACCAATGTGGTCTCTATGTCCCTGCTCGCCTTCCTCCTCCACTCTAAGCTCCGCGAGACGGCCGCGAAATACAACACGCAAACCCACTTCACCGTGACCGCCTCGGAGCTCTATGAGGTCGCCAAGTTTAAGGAACGCAACGCGCCGGCCGGCCAGCTCTTCGCGACCCTCAACGATAAAAGCACGGCCAACATGTTCGACCGCTACAACGTCTCGAAGCTGCTGGCGATCTTCATCGTCAAGCAAATCGCCGTTCTGTCCCCCATCAATTCCAGCGGGGTCATCGTAAACTGTGTGGCTCCTGGGTAACTCCCCCTAACCCCCTGTGGGAAAAGAATCTGCATGTGGTTCGTAGTCATCCAATCAATTGCTAAGCCTTCTTCGCCGCATCTAGCCTCTGCCAAAGCGAACTCCACCGCGAATACGACAACCGCGCCGTCCGTCTCATTATAAAGATGCTGGCCCGCCCGACCGAGGTTGGTGCGCGCACGCTCGTGCACGGCGCCAGCGTAGGACCGGAATCCCACGGCCAGTACGTGCCGGACTGCAACATCACGCCGACGGCGGGCCTCACCAATGGCGATGCGGGGGCCGAACTGCAAGATCGGGTTTGGGTGGAGCTGCGGCAGAAGCTGGAAGCTATTCGGCCGGGTGTCACGTCTTTGTCTTGATTCTGTAGTATTCTCAAATTGGCTCTTGCCGCGGACAAGGTTGAAGAGAAATAGCGAACTGGATGATGTGAGTGGAGTAGGGATGCCTTTTTCTATATAATATCTAGCAGTAAGAGAAGGAATGAGCAGAAATAGGACGAGGGGTGGTAAGAAAGGGCTGAAGAGCCAACATCAACAGGCGTAGTCAGGGGATGCTCAACGATGCTTATGTAACCCAGCACAGGGAGTTCTAGTGCGCTCTTGAACTGCACGATCCGAAGATATGATCTCTACAAATCTAATGTGCATAGGCCTTTGTCAAGGATACCTCATCTCGTAAGGCATTCCCTCAACTGGCCCGGTCGTAACGCACCGAACCAACTGCTCTGCTCGCTTGGCACTGCTTTGCGACCTATCATCCTCTGGCACAAACAAGGCAGTCAAGAGCGAATGTAGCGGGCGATGGTAATCATACCCTTCCGCACAAAAGACCCAGAGTGGACGACGCAACGCTCCCCTTCATACCCACCACGGCATCCATTTCCTAAACCCTCTTAGACCGGATCGTGCGAAAGTCGCCGGGTATTCCTTACTTGGCGGTTTGGGCGAGTGAGAGATGAGCGTCGAGGGCTCATTATCGCTGTGTAGCCTCGACGGGGTAGGCGCCCTAAAAGCGGCCTGGCCTTCAGTGGGGGTACGGTTTTTTGCTTCCAATCTTTCGTTTGTAGAATAGCTGGTACGTGCGGGGCAGACAGGCTTGGAGGTGATTAGTGTTATGGACTCGAAGTGCCACTTTCTCGTCCATTTGTAACAGATCGAGTATCTTGATGTGAGGAATCGATCCAGGTCGTTTGCCAGGGGTTGAAGAATCGAAGTAGCGAGGCGAGATAGTTGCGGAGTCTGCATTGCTCTAGCTCTTTCTGGCGAAGGTATGAGTCGAGGGTAATGATGCAAAGGAGGGTTTCCTCAGAAGCATCTCCATCTTCTGCAGTTGTCTTTGGGGTTTGTTTGGAGAAGGAGAAGCTTCCGCGATGCAAGGTCCTACTCTTTGTCTCTTGGACACTATACGAACTCGCTCTAGCGCAGCGAATTCTGACTATACGAGCTGATTAATGTCGTGATTAGCTAAATCAGAGGGTCAATGTATATTCATACCTCTCATCTCACACTCAGTATGATGAGACAATCGCTTTGATGATATATGAGTGCGTTCTGCTACTGGAAGTTCATCTAAACCGAACAATATCCGTAGTGCGATTACTGACAAACAGCTTCAAGTCTGCAAAGCTATATAATCTGCCTCCACCAGTAGTCGTCAAGCATTTGCACCTGCCACATCAGTACCGTTAAGAACGAGACAATGTCTCAGCAGTTCTCCAGTTACCCCCCGTCTTTCATGGAGTTGACCGCCATATCAAGATGGCCCTCGAGGGTCATCCCAAGTGTTCCTTCTAGTGTTGTGGTCCACAAAGTAAACCCGTGGACCATTTGCAGTATCCATCAGACTGATCGTCCATCCACTGGGCAGACCACCGTGTCGTGCTATTGCCCGGGGTTGAGTTGTCAATCGAGGATCGTCAAGAGTGATGATCTGAGTATGCTGATGCACATAGTGCACTAAGCCAGCATTGGTGCGGCGCATCATCCATTCACTGGGCAGTACCCCTGGCTGTGATGCCCTAGGATTCTGACTCAAAGGGCCGTTGCCACTCGGGTCTTGACTGAGAGAAGGTCGACTCGATTGGCGTGGTGTCATTGGGTTGGATTCCTCTTCTGCCTCGATCCTTGCCTTCCTCTCGACCTCTCTCTTCTCCCTAAAAGCCTTCCGTTTGGCTGCAGTTGCCTCCTGTTCCACGCCCACATTCTCAGCTTCATCATTCCCCTGACCTTCGGTTGAAGGCTTCTGGAACTGGAAACGGAGGAGGAGGCTGCCGCGAGCAGATGGCTCGGAAACAAGTTTGATACCCTCCATATGCGCGTTGAGCGCCGGCAGGGTTGGATGCTCGCCTATTGCCCGCAGAAAGTCTGAAGCAAGAGTCGTCGGATCATATCGTATGGGAACTGCGGCCTCCGCTTCTTGTTCCACCCCTTGTTCCCCCTCTTCTAGGTCCAAGTATGCCGCAGAGTTCGATGGGCCAGTAGCGACATCATTTGTACGCGTACCCTTGGGCGCGCAGGATGGATGATCGTTCCACCTGTTGCCATACGGATTTCCAAACCTTCTTACACAGGATCCAAAGTGATAGTTGACGCCTTCAGCTCGGGTAAACCTTGAGCGACATATAATGCAAAAGTAATCACCTGTGGAGCGTGCGGCTGGCTCCGGTGTCCTGATGCGTTCAGAAGGAATGCCGCAATATTCCGTATCGCCAGATTTGCGTACTCGGCTTCTCCTGGCTTTACCAACACTATCGTGAAGAAAAATAAGTATCTGCGCTTCAAAGTCGATGGAATGGACAACAAAAACAATGAAATAATATTCAAAGGCATCAAGTGACTTCTGTTGGGTGTTGTTGGTACGTACTTGAGGGACATGAGAGGCTTTTTGCTCAGATGTGTTGTCTTCAAGCGATCGATCGCCTCACCCTTACTGGCATCTCCCTTGGCTCTTTTCTTTTCTCGGCTTTGTGTTGCATGAGACAATGGCGGCAGGGTTTGACTCTCATTGTCCTTGGTCGTTGTGGGTGACTTGTGATCATGAGAGGATTGACCCTCGTTGTCGTTGTCCGTTGCTGGTGACTTGTGGTCATGATCGTCTTGGTCTTGAGAATCCGTGACGTCTTCCTCTCTTGTCTTTCGCTTGGCCATGACCGTGGGAACGTAAGAGCTGAGACCCGCTGAGAGGTGTAAGAGGGCCCGATGGATGGATGCACAGAAGGCTGTACACGAGCTTCAATGTCTACAGAAGACGTGTAGGTGCAACAGGCTTCGGAAAATGCAAGATGAGCTGCGAGGATGATGCGGTGGGTGATTTTGATGATGGTGAGGGTGACGGATCAGCAGTGACAGTAGCAAGTAGAAATTCTGTGAAGGCTTGGCGTGTTGCCTGATCCGGTAGATCCTTGAACCGAAGCTCTCCGGGAGCCCTCTACTTGCCACATGTTCTCACCTAGGCCAGCAGAGTATCATGAATGCAGCTGCTTCGAGGATAGGCAGATATCCTTGACCTCCCCACCAGTTTATATTTATATTTGGCAGCTTCGGAGGAAACACCAGAGCCCAAGACGGAGAACGCCCTGCAGCTGAAAGACCTACCAAAGGTTCCAACACAAAGAGTTCCAATAAGCCAAAGCAGAGGACAATGGCTGACACCCTCACTCTATAGCTCCACAGGCGCCTTCCTTTACCTCCGTCGAGCTGTACCATCTGGAGTCCTCTAGACGCGTACCTACGTCGCGTGGCCAAGGACGCTTTAAAGAGCTTGGAGACATATCTGACCACTTTGGATAAGGTGAAGGTCCGAGTGGAAGGTTGCTACGCTGCTCACGTATCGGGCTTGATTGCCGCAGCTGCTGGCATCGTGTGAGGTACAGCCCAAGGAGAGTGAGACTATGGCGAGGCGGAGAAGGGAAAGTGATGACTGAGAGATTGGTACTCTGCTGGGCATCCGGACTCATCGACGTCGCTAAGGCCTTGAGACATCCGACGATGGGTTCCTTTGTCATTTCTAGAGCTTGTCAGCCTCTTGGCGCCAACATGGAGAAATTTGGGCTCCTGCTAGCGATGGCCACTCACCGGCAACCCATGGTGCGGTGGATCTAACATTCAGTCTTCTCCTTCGTCCTCTTCGTCTCTTCATCCGCAAGTATTCAGTACGGTGGCGTCCGGACGAGCTTCTCCTAAGGTCGTTGGGACTGGCGGGGGCGAGTGGCTTCAACGGGCAGAGATAGCCAGCGTGGCTTCGTAAGCGGCTGCGATAGCCCAAGCCAGCATCCTTGTCGAAGCCAGTGTTGCGTGTGAGTTAGTAGCCTGTCCGATGTGCCAAAAACTTCGGCATGACCTTGGTGGATCTTACTGAGGCGAGAAGGTCACTCTTGAAGAAGAGTTCCGCGCACATGATATGAGAGTTGACGTGGATGGTGGGTGACCATCCAACTACTGGCAATCTGGTACGAGTGCAGCAGCCAGGAGGAAGGAAGGTAAAATCATTATCGAGGGTTATATATGTACGGATATATATCAAAGAAGGGTTTGTACCACCCTTTATATTTCCTCCATCTTCAAGGATGTTGACACACAAGCAAAGATGTTGACTTCACAGTTACATGAGGTTATGGGATTGTGTCATTTGAATTCACGCTATTTGGGTATGCTATACGCAACTCGGCTTAGTCCCGGCGACGGACAATCACAAACGCCGATATTTGCCCCCTGAAGCGTCTTAGCTCCCAAGACTTTCGGGTCAGATATGTTGGAGGACATTCGAGCCAGTCAGCCAATACCAAGAACAGGAACCGTCCTTGAGAGTCCTAGTCCCAGACCTTGTATGTTGTATTTCAGCCTATGCGGCTGACGAACATTGCCAAAGTCTCTTTCTAGCAGGCTGACTACTGAGAAGCCTGCAACCGCTTTGGATTCATTTCACCGGGGATTTTATTATGGGTATGGATGCGTAAGGCTTTGAGACGGCAAGGCCTCTGGCATGCCTTTCCCCTATACAATCTTACTCACCTAATGTCGAGCTGGAACGGTAGAGATGCAGTACCTTCATTCAATGCAATCAGCTGATATCGTTGATGGGGATAACCAAGCTCACCAGAGAGCAAACGGAAGGTAACCATTATTGTGTACTTCGGGAGTTATTCCCAAACAGTTTGGCCTCACCATGGATCTCCGCAGAAATGCATAGAGAACCACGGGACACTGTGAACAGCAGCGAAGATGTGGTTCTGTAAGGCGGCAATGATCATCCCCGTGGGTCCTGGGAGACCCCCTTTCGGCTTCAGAAAGCGAGAGTGGAGAAGCGCAGAGCCTTGAGAATATGTTCTGCCGCTTCGCTTGGTTCTTCAGGCTACGCTGTTCGTCTAGCTCTGCTCGAACCGAGTGAATACTTCTCCTAGCAAGTCGATGACCAGGTGCTTGACGAGTTGGTTCAGCATGGCTTTGAAGTTTCGTCAAACCAACCATAGAAGCCCTAGTTATTGAACGAGTGGTTTTCGCATATTAGCATTGCCGACCAATAACATCGCCGCACCAGGCCTGATCGGATCCGTTGCCTAGAACGTAATGACAAACCCTCGTTCGTTCCTGAAAACACATTAAGTGCACAATCGATGGATCACAATGTGTCAATTCTTTTCGGTTTCTACTGTTTGGATTCCTTTTTTTGGCAGGCTCTCAGACTGGGTTATACGCGCATGGTAAATACAGCAAAGCTTCCTTAAACTTTCTCACCCCGGAGACGGAGAATTGTTCCAATCCGACTTTTCACAAATTTGTTTCTATCCTTCCCTCTGGACGAATATGTCAAACCTTTTGGAAAGACAGCCACTGGCACGCATTCTGGAACATTCACTGGCCTTCTGCGCATGATTTTGTCCCGGAAGTATAACTTTCCAAATAGCTCTCATCAAGCTAACACCCCTGCAGCTACCCAACGGCGTTAGCGTTCGCGTATTCTTTTCTTCGGCTCAATTCGTGCAGCACCAACACGATCGGTCTCTCACTTAGCAAAACTCAAGTAAGCATCCTTGGGCATGTCGGCCACTATCTTGAGGACCTTGAATTAGACTACTTACAATACGGACGCGATGGATGCTCAAAGTCCGGCTAAGATGACACAGATGGTGAGTGAAGCCGCTCCGCGAATCAAAATTATGATGCTTTCCTTAGAGTCAAAGGCAAGTAACAGCAGTGTTGGCGATATTGGCAGTAATTATAGAGCTGAGCGAGTAAGTGTCGTGATTGAAAGTGGCGATCTGATGGATACGGTGGCGGTGAAGACGCTTTGACACAGATTTTGAGAAGGGAAAGCGTGTTGCTCCCATTTATAGCTTCAGTGAGCTGAATTACCAATGTGGGCCGACATCATCTCTATCGCTAGCTGTTGCAATCAACGGCTGAGGGGGCTCCGTGATTGAACAGGAAAGCAAAAGAAACGATCAAGTGGCCGAGAGCTGAAATGTACAAAGCAAAGAACGGACTGACGTATAAGTACGCGATAGCCCCAATAAAGCTCCCAAGAATGAGACACGCCACGAAGATAGCACGTCGATTACGCGCTCGATTGTGTAATCGAAAAATGTTTCTATCAACGAGGAAGTCGATATAGGCCGAAGTGACCATGGCAGTCGTGACCTCTGGTATCTCGACCGTCCTTGCCACGGCAACCTGTGCACCTGACGCGAAAGCCAGAAGTGCGATGATGCCCAGGTTCAGCGCCATGCTCGGTTTGTGGCTCGCACGTTGGCGCAGTCCGGCCGCAGTAAACACCACCAGGGCTGTCTGAATGAGATTTGTGACGAAGAGCCAAAAGCGTCGTTTGCGGCCGAATACGTTCCCAAGCTGGCCACTGATCAGGCCACCAGCAGCAAACACTCCAAGACTTGTGCCCACATGCGGCAGGCTGATGAGATCACCGCCAAGGCCAAGAGCCCCGACGGCCAGGAGCGCGCTGTTTCCTGTTTGGTTGGAGACGAAGACGTGGTAGTCGGGAAAGGTCACCACGTCCATGATGCCAGTCGCGAAGGCTAGCATCATGAGCTCTGCTTCGAGGAAAAGGTCGTCTGCGATTTCTGATTGGAAGTGGGCTCTCGATTGGTGCAGGCGTGCTTTCAGCCTCGTTCCCAAGGGGTCACTTTGTTGCACGCTGACGGGTTGAGGTGACGTTGGTCGTGAGGACTGATGGGTTGTAGGTATGATGGTGACATCGGGGCGGCGGCGAGCGAATTCATTGAAGCGTCTTGGAGACATACGTTTCCCAGGTTTCTATTCTCTGCTGAAGGGTAAGCCAGTCTACCAGGTGTTCTGCTAGGCAACTAGGGATTCCGAATGGTAGCATGATATCAAAAATACAGGAGCTTATACTCCAATGGATGGCAGCGAACAACCTACCGTATGTAATGCATCCCTCAGTCGATAAAGTACGGTATCGGGGCCTTCGGGAAGGCTAAGCTGAACGCAGCTTCGGGGAAGGAGGTTTTAGCGGGATCTACAATTAGCTTCTCCGGCCGACCCGAAACGGTCAAGCTGACTTGAACCCCTCAACAGCAGCAACATCTAGGTACCTTACCAACCTATGTGTCGAGCTTGCCTGTTGTAGGTTGTAGGCTTCGGATGACTCGGGGCTCCAGTGGAAGATGAGCTTTACTGACCTGATGTCGGTATCACTTAAATGATGAAATTCGGGTGGAGATACTGGTAGTCGACGAAACAAGGAAGTTGGCGTTGAGGAGCTTAGCTCGGCCGAGTACCTCCCTGCTCCCTGCACTGTAGCTACTACTTTACGAGTCACTACACATTCCAGAGAATACCACATCAATCTCAGAAACGCGGGAGTGTCTCCTTCACCTCAGGCACATGCCAGGCTAGTCAAATGATATAGCGCTAAATCGATCTGAGTATTGGAGTCCTTCCTTATCAAACCTCTTCTCCTGTGCTCAGTGTCGGCGAGTTTTTATGCCTGAATTCAACGTCTTATCTACCGAAACATTGAGAATGGCTTCAATAGTACAGCATCTCACTCACACCTCTGCTCTTTTGACCAAGCGGGCTCCATATCAAACACGTAGCCTCTGCACCACTACCATTAAGCACCTGGGCCGCTCAAGATGTGTTGTACTATCTTTGCTTCCTACGAGGCCAGCCCGCTCCATCTCTTCATCCTCTTCTCTACCCAAGAAGCAAAGGAAATTCTCTGAGCCGACTGTCTTTACTGCCCTTGCGTCGCTATCGGCGACAATCCTGGTAGCTTGGCACTTCTCATCCACTCTACACGCTGAAGCGCCATCCGAGCACAAAGATGACAAGGACCAGAACACTAAGGAAGAAGGACTGGTGGATGGCGCCAAGAGGGTCTTCCGCTTATCGGAAGTATCCTCCCACGACAAAGACTCAGAAAGCCCGTGGGTGATCAAAGGCACAAAAGTCTACGACATCACAGACTGGATCGCCGGTCACCCCGGCGGCAACGTGATTTTGCGTGCAGCTGGCGGCAGCGTTGACCCCTATTGGAACATCTTCAGTATCCATAAGAAGCAAGAAGTCTACGACATACTAGAGGAATTTCTGATTGGCCACGTGGATCCTCAAGACTTAATAGACGGACAAGTTCCTGTTGACGATATCGAGGATCCATTTGTCCAGGACCCACAAAGAGACCCAAGGCTGATCGTCCATTCCGACAAACCTATGAATGCCGAGTCGCCAACAACACTCCTCTCCACTTTCCTCACACCCTCCGACATCTTCTATGTGAGGAATCATCTCTGGGTTCCTCGGATAGTAGAGAAAGAGCATAAGCTTGTAGTCGAGCTCGACGACGGCGAAGAGAAAGAATACACCATGTCCGACCTCCGAAAAAACTTCAAACAGCACAAAATCACCGCTACACTCCAATGTTCCGGCAACCGGCGTTCCCATATGACCGAAGGCTCCCGGCCCACCAACGGTCTGCAATGGGAAGCCGGCGCAATAGGTAACGCGGAGTGGACAGGCCCACGGCTAAGGGACGTTCTGGCCGACGCCGGTTTCAACGTCGCTGATCCTCCAGATGAGGTGCAGCATGCCCAATTTGTCGGCGCAGAAACCTACGGCGCCTCGATTCCACTATCTAAAGCCATCGATCCACGTGGCGATGTGATATTAGCGTGTCAAATGAATGGGAAGACTATCCCCCCAGACCACGGCTTTCCGCTCAGGGTCGTTGCGCCCGGTCATGTGGCGGCAAGGAGCGTGAAGTGGGTTACTAGGATAATCATGAGTGAGGAAGAGAGCACGAGTCAGTGGCAGAGAAGGGATTATAAGTGTTTTGGGCCGAACGATACCGAGAAGCCCAATTGGGACATGGCGCCAGCGATACAGGAGACGCCGGTTCAGAGCGCCATAACGTGCATGCATCGAGAAGAGGCAAAGGACGAGATCAAGAATGTTGTAATCGAGGGGTACGCTTTCTCAGGCGGAGGGCGGAAGATCATCCGCGTGGACGTTAGCACGGATGACGGCCGTACGTGGGGTCAGGCCGAGACGGACATTGACCCTGTTAGTAACGGCATTCACGATTGGAGCTGGAAGCGTTGGAAGTACACGGTGCCGGAGAAGAAGATGGTGGGCGCGACGGTGGTGGTGAAAGCGGTCGATGAGGCGTACAACGGGCAGCCGGAGCATCACGAGCCTACGTTTAACCTCAGGGGCAATCTGACGGCGGCTTGGCATCGCGTTAAGTATGATCCGCAGAAGAACTGAACGTGCGGGAGAGCGTGTTGAGTGAGGAGCTGTCTGATTTAGACACTGATACCTTTACGGCAAGTGTGATTTGGCGAGCGAGTTGTCGTTGGCATGTATGTATAGCTGGCAGGTGTTTCTGCTACAATCAACCGGCAGACCAAATCTATTCGGTTTAGTACAAATCCAAGTCCATAATAAAAGGCTAGCATTGTGCTCAACAAGGTACCCAAACATGGCGCTACCGTCGGACACCCACCCACCCATCCGACATGGCTCCTTCACTCGGCAAGATCCAGACGTCACCAAGCCAGATGGCTGGCTGGCCCGTAAGAGTTCTGAGCCTGGAGCCGTTGACGGGGAAGTGTGGATGACGAGGCGCCGAGACTTGCATGATCAGCACGCAACATGTGAAGCCAGTAAAGGCGATAAGTTTAGAGGTGAATAGCACCACGGAGATCATGTAGGCGTCGCTGAGCGCGCCAGTGATGGACTAGCCCGTCTGGGTGGCGTAAAGGGGCGAGGGGGTGGGTAGGGGGGTCGTGATATAAAAGCCGTTCAAAGAGGGTGTAGTCAAGTAGGCCGAAAACGGCTGGGGTTTTACCCGGATCGTGATTGAGGAGATGATGAAACCATGATGTGTAAACAAGAGCGAGCTCCTTCCCATCACTCGCCTCTGACTTTTCCCTTCGCGTTGGCGTCTTGGGAGATTCTAGAATGTCGGTCCCAGATTCCCCCGTTTTGGAGGGGAGATGGGAGATGGATGTTAATGGGCGAATATTCGATGGATTTGTCGAGGGTTTGATGGCGGATTTTGTGGGAAGAGAGAGTGGGGTGGACGGAGAGGGTGGAGCGTGGGTTTGGTGAGATGAGAAGGGGGGGGAGAGGTGGGGTCTGGAAATGGTGGAGTGAGATTGGAGATGAGTGAGTGGGGTGGAGAAGGCTGAGAGGGAGGGTTGTTTATGGGGATGGGGTGGGGCTGGGGGGGGTGATTGATATGTGGTTGGACCTAGGCTCGGAAGGTGTTGTTTAGAAAAGGGATCATAAGCATAGGAGTGCGTGGATTTGTGGCTTGAAGTGTGAAGGGATTTGGAAAATGAATTCTGTCATCTGAGAACTGTCTATTGTGATCGCACTTCCGAACCCAGCGTAGAGACCTTGGACTTTGACCCGTTGACGGACCATTTTTCGGAGCTTGGGCTGGAAGCGCGGCACTTGCACGAGTGCTGAGCTTGCAGGAGCAGAGTCTTAGATATGAGATTCGTAGATGGAGAGCGTGTCTTCTCTAGCTTCGGAGGCAGATGTTCGGGTTTGAATCTGTCACACAGGCCACGCTCCTGGGACTACCTCTTCTTCATCATCGCCGCTGAGATATTCGCCGAGGGGCGGGTACCGATCTTCTTCTGGAACGTCTTGAAGGTCTTGAATATCATGTAATAACTCCTCCGTAGCACGGATGAAATCCATATCGTCAGAACCATTGCGTGGCCTTCTCCACTCCGGTATCCCCTTGCTTTCGCAATACCCATCCCATTTGAGCCCATTCCTCATCTTCAGAAGGTCAAAAGCTGTATGCCCATCTGCGTTTCTTGCATGCAGATCTAGCTTGGTGAGGTCTGCATTGCGCATTACCTGATAAAGCTCGTAAAAAGGGTCGATAGTATAAGTACGCGTGATAACAAGATGTAAGATAGTGTTTCCTGCTACATCTCGGACATCAAGGCGGGCGCCAGCGCGGGCAAGCACTTCGAAGGACCCGGGACTCATATAATGGAGAGCATACATTATGGCAGATTCCCCGTTCTCATCCACCATTTCGAGGTCGGCCCCGAAATCGATCAATTGCTGTATGCGAAGTGGTGAATAGTCTTGAAAGCTGTTCTCGCTTATGCGCATGAGTATAGTCACATCCTCGACGCCACACCACTCCGCATGGTGGTTGATATCAATGCCATGTCTGACGAGTAGATTATCGATTGCTATATTATTATCTTCATCTTCAAGTTTCTCCCAGCATCCTGGCCATCGCTGCCACAACTTCCAGAATTCTCTGTCGTTAGAGAAACTAAGAGTCGCACCGGCATCCAGAAGAGCTTTTGTAATTTCATAGTCTAGGAAATTGCCGCTAGCTACCAGGATAGAGGGATCGCCGACATTCGGATCGGCTCCTCGCCCTAGCAATAAGTGGACGTAATCCCTTTTCCGGTGAGCGACCGAATACCACAAAGCGCTTCGATCATCTTTATCTAGTTCGTTGATACTGTTCGAGCTTTGCAGCTCGACATCTAACGAACGACGGCTTAGTCCACACACTATTTGGTGAAGTATCCTGAAGCCTTGACCCTCGATATAGCATTCCCATTCAATCATAGGGAACATGAGTATGTCAACTCGGAGTTGTTTTGGCCACGTAATTCAAAAGAAAGTGGGTCGAGAACGAGGCTTTCCCAGATTATGCTTTCTGCTTGAGGTGTGATAGATGATCGATTGGAGGAATCGCCGTAAGCTAAAAGGTACTCTACTATATCCCAACCATGAAGCTTAGCGGCACACTGGACAACAAGAATCATTAACAGTTCACCTCAAAATTGAATATCTTTATGTTTATTCTTACAGCAAGAAGAGTTCTCCCAAGTGTATCAATATCATACGGCGTACAATCTCCGTTAGTGATAACTGATTTCAGCAAATCAAGATTTCTCTCCAACACTGCCTTGAAAGCGATGTCATTCAAAGAGTCTATGACCCGTGGAACTCTCAACACAAACTCCGGAGCGTAAGGCGGAGACGAAGTGAACCACATGAAGATCATACGACTTATCAGCCACCGCGGTAAACGATACTGTACAGATACGCGCGGTGCAGCGCGAGCCCTGCATAGCTCGATATCGCACTGAGTCCCAAATATGGAAGGACCAGCTGTCTCGATATAGCCACTGCCGATGAGTTTGGAGAAGATGCCTGAGGGGCCGAGTTTTCTTCGAACATGACACTTGCAGACGCAATATTTGTTACACAAGCTGATTGTCCGCACTCGTCGGATGTAGAGATCGTTTTGAGGATCGAGATGGGACTTGTGCTGGCTCGACTGAAGTGCTATACTATTCTCGGTAGTTGTAAAGTTCGGTTGGGAGCTTGATTCGATGGCCACTTGTCGAACATCACCCATGGATGCAGCTAGAGCGGCTCGAGTGGGCGGAGACCCTTCCAGTAGCTGCGTTACCTGTGTAGCGAAAGCGGCCATCTGGCTGCTTAGTTGTCGATGCTCAAAGAGTACTTGACTGGTGACTTGGGATACGTGTTGTACGGTTGTACTTTTGGACAATCTCAGCGATCAGTAAAGTGCTTCTCACTTGCAGATGCGGAGAAAGAGAAGCTAGCCATACCTGGTGTTGACGCCGACCAAGGCCACCAGATTAGCTATGATATCTCTCAACTGCCCACGTAGCCGTTCAACGTCATGCCCACTGCGTATCCATTGCAATCTGTCGACTTTGCTGCTTTCCCCAGCTTTCGTCAGCCGATACTGGACCAGAGAGTTAAGTTCGACCACTTTTTTGCTACCACTTTCAAGCAGCCTTTTCAGCTCGGAGTCAGCATTATCGCGAGCACCAGGTAGGTTTTGGATCGCTTCCAACACGGCTTCGAACTGCGAAATGTCGGCCAGCAGATCCTCCAGCCCGTCGGAAGCACCTCGTAGCACTTTGATGCCGTTGATGCCGGTTTTGGTAGCGCCAATGACGGTGATGATGCTTGCGGCGAGGGAGAAGGGATCCATTACAAAGACAGTGGATGATTCACTGCTTTGGATCACGGGGCAGGTAGATTGACACTTGAAGTGGCAATCTAGCTGGGCTGCCTTAAGCCGCTGCCACAAAAGTTCAGGTTGCTGATATATTAGATGGCAGAGCACAGAGTAAGTATGACTGAAGAAAAAGAAAAGTAAGCGCGGAAAGCAGGCAGACACTCAAACCCACCCCCCCTTTTCCGCCGCAGTTTGTTCAGCTCAGCCTGGCGCTAGCAAATGCATCATGATAAGCTTGCATGTGTGTCCAGGTATGATTGGATACTCCACTCAGACTCTCGCTGCAAGGCGCTGGGCTCAGCCATTTTGGCGAACAAATTGATTGGGATACCCCAGGGTCAGCAGCAATCCTGGAGGCGCATTCAGGTTTTTGATGGAGACGGCTTTTGTGTCGTCAGCCTTGCACTGGAAAGAACAGGCACACCTTGCCACCTTGCTTGTGAAGGCTGTGGGTCATTCGCCAAAGGAACAGACGATGTAGCTCTTGTTGATGCATTGGTCGCAAAAATGAGATTAAATATGAGTGAGTAAGATAAAGATAAGAAAAGGAAAGAAGGGAAGTTTCTTCTAAAATAATGAGGCTTTTTAATTGCACGAGAGATCGAAGTTGAGGGGTGAGGGATATTGGAGATCAGTTTTAATAACAGGAAGGAAAGATATGGGGTTCGTATTGAGTAGTAATATTTATGGATGCACGTGAAATGGTGGCGTTACGGCGGCTTCAAGCGGTGCATGATCTACAGAAAACTAAAGTTTTTCCTACGATCTGGGACTAGACGCCGCGGTTCACTGTTCTGTTTGAGTCTGGTGTCCTCCAGTCTCAACCGCTGACTTGAGCTACATAACCCTGACGACGTACTCCATCCAAAGTTGAAAAATCTTTTCGGATTTTTTGCTGGGATGGCGGCGTTAGCACTGTTTGCGGAGTGAGAATTGTATAAAGAAGAACAAAGGTGCAAAGTTATACGCTTGTGATGTGGATGCAGCAGAATTTGACTCAGGAATCGGAATTGCATCTCAGTGGCGTGATCAATGCCGTATAAAGAGAGCATTCAGGGTGTAGTTGTGACCTAAACCGTGGATTGAGGCGGCTTTTCCTTGATGTGGATGAATCTGGTAACGACACCCACATCCTCTCAATGTTCTGTGGCACCAGGATTCTGCTCTTCCAACTCCAAAAGTCCTGGCTCACGCAATTTTTCATGCATAAGGTAATATATGATGTGAACGTCACTCATTTTTTTTCTGGACATTGTTGTGGCCCAGCGGATCTTCACTGGGCTGGGATCCTTCTTCGGATCCCGAACGTTGTTGAATAGAGCTCCAGGTTGGGAGCAAGTCACTACCTCTCAACGCTGTCATCTGCCGTACGGGTGCTGACTGAGTCCTCAATTAATCTTCACAGCTGGCAAAAGCAGTCCAAAAGTGCTGATACTTAGAGGCTTCACCACAACCTTCTGTCTCTGACGTCAAGTCACCACATTTTTGCCCTCCAGGATGCTCCACGTAGTCGACATCCTGATGTCCCAAGGCCCAGCAATTCCCAATCTGTCCGCCGAAGTCCTCTTCGCTACGTACGCACGTGCTTGCGCTTCTATATTCTCCCATTCCATCACGCGCGGACCCAAGATGTCGTCTCGGTCTTCCCGGCCCTTGCATCACGAAGCCAGGTTCGGCAAGTGCAGTCTCGATCTCCTACCGGACCAGAGTACCCCACCCTCCAAATATCGAGTAGCTGACCTCAGTCACTACCTCGATGATGGTTATGCGAACCAGTAGCAGGCTGGGGCCATCTTGAGGAATGCTCTTGCTTTCGAAGCGCCAGAGATCCTTGCCTGTTTTAGCGAAGCCGGTATTAAGATTATGGGGCGTAGTACCCGATGTTATGGGATCTGTAGTGTCGTGCAGAGTGGGTAGGGTGGCGTTGGCGTCCTGTACGCCTCGATCGTAGAGCGCAACATGTAGGAGCCGGATACAAGATGGTCTCTAAGCCGTGTCAGTATTGCTAGAGGCATGTCCGTGCTTGGCTGGTGACTTATCCGGGTCACTTACAGTAGCCATTGCAGTGTATGGAATCTTGGAGAGGACGTCCTCTTGCAAGGCACCTTGGCTCTTAATCAATCAACGCTGGGCTCCGAGTCCACTTGATAGACCGAGCTTGAGGATAGGTCGTCTATCTATCCATGACCATAAAGCATTTGCGAAAAAAGATATTGCATCCTGAGAGGGCGAAGGGCCGTTGGCTTCCAGCCTTGATCTTAATTGGGTCGAAGGTTGCGTAAGCATGCCTTCCAAGCTGAGAATGCGTGGTAGCTGTGGCTACAGGCGTGATCCATGCTAGCAGATAAAAGCGCAAATAGTGTGACGGTAACGAGTAATGCGATTCCCTGATAGAGAAAGGAAAGATGAGAGGGTTTTGAAGGACTCGAGGGGATGGGTCAGCCCTATAGCGATCGGGCGCTAGTTTCTCCGCATCCGATGCCGCAAAGCGAGAAATTCCGTCAGATGGAGAATTTTCTGGTGGGGAAAATTGGCACGTCCACACACGAATTGCTTTTCCCTAAACAAAAACTTCCACGTGAGCCCGTCAACGCTCACAAATTCGACACACATTTCCTCCCTTTCGGTCTGCCTACTCGCCTCTACAATTGAATTTGAGTGAACCCGTTTGCAAAGTGTGTGCGCTCCCACAAAGTTGTGACCCCCCCACAGGCCTCACGTGGCGCTCAACGTGCCCCGGATTTCATCTCTGCTCAGGATACGAAGGAGAATACCACCATAGCCGCATGCTGGGGGCCTAGAAGCAACCATGCTCTCGTTCCGCTCCTCCGCTGCCCTGGCCGCAGTCAGAGGCTGTCGGCTTGCGAAGGGCCCTCTACGATCTAGCCTTCGCCTGCCACGAGCAGTCGTCCCAGCAGCAGCTGCCCAAGTGTCCGAGCCATGGCGACGACACTTTGCATCTCCTGCTGACTCCTCCCTCACCACACGCTCAACTGTCATCCAACTGCTCAGCAACATTGGCTCGAAGCGGGAGGTGCAGCAATACCTGAGCCACTTCTCCTCCGTTTCGTCACAACAATTCGCTGGTACGTATCTCGGAGTCCATATTTATTGTTTGGACAAAGATTGGTCTTTCAAACATATCTCGTCTGTGTTTACTATCGGAACAGCACCAAGGCTCAAATAGTCCCCTCGCATAGGCAAAACTGACTGCGATATCCAGTCATTAAAGTGGGTGGAGCCATTATTACGGAACATCTCGAGGCTCTGGTCTCTGCGCTGGCGTTTTTGGCACAGATTGGGCTATATCCTGTACGTGAATCCCGATTTGATGATTCCTCTTTTCAACCAATTCTTGGGTTGTTGCTCCTTCTCAAATACAGAGTACTGACTCGGCTAGGTGGTCGTACATGGGGCGGGTCCGCAGCTAAACAAGATACTGGTGCGCACTTGACCTCCTACCTATCCGGTACCACTTGAAGAGGTGATGCTGACGCTAAAATGTGCTACAGGAGGACGCAGGGGTCGAACCACAATTTGAAGGAGGCATACGAATAACGGATGGAAAGACACTGGGGATCGCAAGATCTTTGTTCCTCCAAGAAAATTTAAAGCTTGTTGAAGAGTTGGAGAATGTCGGTGTCCGCGCAAGGCCCATCACATCCGGTGTTTTCGGTGCGGAATTTCTTGACAAGGAAAAGTACGATTTGGTCGGAAAGATAACTAGCGTGGACAAGAACCCGATAGAGGCCAGCATCAGGGCGGGTCGGCAGCACTTCCACAAAGTTCAAGTTTCACGGCTGATCGTCAAATAGGCTGTCTACCTATAATGACCTCGATGAGTGAGACTTCTGATGGCCAGGTAAGCATTGATATCGCCTCTCCCAGCTACCTAGTTAACCTTGGCCGTCAGGTTCTCAATGTGAACGCAGATGTTGCAGCAGGAGAATTGGCACGGGCATTGCAACCGCTAAAGATCGTATATTTGAGTGAGAAAGGCGGCTTATTCAATGGTGACACCAAAGAAAAGATATCCGCCATCAACCTAGATGAGGAATACGAAGATTTGATGTCAGGGAGGCACTGGTGGGTACGTCACGGTACCAGGCTGAAGATCAAGGAGATGAACGACCTGCTGGCTGACCTCCCTCGAACTTCGAGCGTTGCCATCATCCATGTATGTTATCTCCATCTGGTATTTCGTCGTTCTGGACTGTCCATCGAATCTCAAGACATGTTACGGGAGCTTGATGCTCTCTTTGCTACCCACTACTGTCTGAATACTCGGATTGTCTCTTGAAGAGCAACACTAACACTGTGTTCTCTGACAGCCATCGGACCTCCAAAAAGAATTGTTCACGGACACTGGGTATGTACATTTCATGGTTTCCTGCCTGAGACGAAGCAATTCTGACTCAATTGTTCATAGTGCTGGAACACTGATAAGAAGAGGCAACAAAGTTCACGTCAACACCAAGCTCTCTCAATTTGAAGACCTCGAAGCCTTCAAGAAGGTTCTTGTGAGGGACCGAGAAGCACTTGATGCAGCCGCGACCGTCGATAGATACGTACAGCATCTGGACCAGCGAGACTTCAAGGCATACTTCGATGAGCCTATGGAAGCTCTCGCTATCGTTCTTCCCCCACAAGGAGGAGCCTCAATGGCCCAGCTCGCCACATTCACCATAACGAAGGCCGGATGGTTAACCAACGTGGCAGACAACGTCTTCGCTGCGCTGCTCAGAGATAATCCTAAGCTGGTTTGGACTGTGAAAAGTGACGACGAGAACTTGACGTGTAAGCATCCTTCTTTAGACTTAGATTCTGAGTCTTCAGTCATGCTTGCGAAGCGTTTGCTCTGTGGTCATCGTTTCCTTTTGAATAGGCAATGCTGATTGCATAACTCGTATCCAGGGTTCTTTGATAAAGCCGAAGGCAGCCTTTCGCGTGAGGGGGAAGTACTCTTTTGGACAGGTATGCTACTTCTCCAGCCCTTTCTTCCCAAGCCCACATCCTGCTTGAAGTCCAACGACACAATGTGCGAGACTTGCTCCCCTATTTGTCTTACGGCCTGTGTCTCGGCTCAAAGAAGAAGATTCTAAGATAGATACTAGGCATTGAGACCGGCGACGAGGTAATGAAATTGATGCTAGGTAGGCCTTCTCCAGCCTCAAACTTCTCTATTGGGTGTTCTCTATTGCTGATAGGAGAACACAATCAGAATTTGGGAGATCAGGCAGGGAGCTCTTTGGTGAGCGGTTATGATGTCCCTGACCTAGATCTCTTGTTTACGGATTCGCAGGAGATGTAAATCTTGAGAACAGGCTTCAGAAAGCCGCCAGGAATATCCCACAACAGCAACAAATGAGGGCTTATTCCACAACAAGTCGTTCATCGAACGCTCTGCGAGATTCGCGGCATTCCCGGAGAACACCCTTGATGCCTTTTACACGATCATACGCTACTCAAACCACGAATCCAAACCCTCCCTTTGGTAGAACCTCCGCCATTAGTTCTCCACCATTCCATAGTTGTTGCTTATATCGTTGCAGGTACCAAGAACAATTCCAATCAAACGCCATCAAAAGTTGCCCTTATCGGTAAGTGTGCAGACTCTCCCAAATCTCAGAGCTGCTTCTAATCGTAATTAGGTGCCAGAGGTTACACGGGGCAAGGTATGGAGTGTTCCCCTCTAGTCGAGTCTGCAGTCGTAGCTGCAAGACATGCATCAAATGCATAGAACTCTTGGTGCTCTATATATGCTTCCTGATAGTGCCTCAGGACCCACCTTTCAATCTTGAGAAAGGAATGCTGATTGCGCACTTGTCATTAGCCTTGATCAACCTACTCAACTTGCACCCCTATATGGACCTACGGAGTGTAAGCGATTGCCCAATTGATCTCTCCGAGTTCCTCTTGTTCTAACTCCAGCGCAGGTCTCATCTCGTGAGCTTGCCGGAAGGCCACTGGTGGGATACGAAAAGCGAGATATCACTTACGAGGTGCACACTGCCCACCTTGCCAAGTTGTTCGTTGCTGACAGTAATATAAAAGAATTTATCGCATGAGGATGTCAAAAAGGTATGTGTGCTTGTAGACTCTGGTTCCAGATTCGTCCACGCTCCTAGACAGAAGAGGAATGCTAATTTGCCCAGATGACAGATATCGACGTGTAAGTCATCTGTTCCGGGCCATCGTATTTCACTCGAATGGCAAGGCTTTCGGTAGGAAAGTACGACATTGCCGGGACCTGTTCTACGACCTAGCCCCCATTCCGAAAGAGACTTGCTGACTCCGACATCGTTTAGGTGGGTTATGGCCGTAGGACTTCCCCTGCCCCAAGCTGCCTTATACCGACGTCTTTGGAAACACAAGTCATGACTCCCATGCTCCCGTCACATGCTTTGTGGCTTCGGTTTGTGTCTCGAATGTGATTGCTGACCAGAGAACTCCACTAGCTTCCCAACGGAGTCGCGAAGCCTTGGATAGATTCCATCGAAGAAGCCAACGGCAACAGTTTAATCATCGATCTGAGCGCGTACGTAAATCTCCGATTCCCTTTTTTTCCACTCTACATCGAGCCTTGGGTTCACGAGACGTTTCCTTGAGCGCGAGATACCACTTATACTGTCCCGAACCTTCTCTACTCATGCACTTGCCCTGGAAACAGTGCTGACTTTGAATAGGGATTATCGGTTCAATCCTAACTGGACATATGGCTTGCCAGGTACGTCGACTCATGCTAGACTGAATTAGAATGAGACATGCTGATTTTCCTGCGTAGAACTGGTGGACCGCTCGACCATTGCTAGAGCCAAGCGAATCTCAAATCCCGTCCGTCAAGCCCTTCTCACCCCTCATAATTGCTTCCTAAATCCAATATCTGTCGTGAACGAAAGAAGCTGACTACGAAATCTCTATAGGGTTGTTGTGAGTATACTGTTCAAGTTACAATCACCAAGGTGCTAAACTCCATCAGATGCGACTGCTGCGCAATTAGGCATAGGTATTTCTCGTTCTAGCAGCGCTCCTGATTGCTCAATGCTCATCCAGTACAGCTCCTCTCCTCCCTTATATTGCCAAGGAACCAGCCGGCCCAACGATTTTTGGCGTATCTGGCTAGTAAGTATTTCCCGAGTCCATGTTGCCTCACTACCGGATCTTGGACCGTGAGACATGAGTTTGGAGTGTGAGCTTTACAGTTGTTTCATGATTCTAATTCTCAGTCTCGTGCTGAACACGTAATGCTGACTCCTACAGCTCTGGCGCTGGAACGAAGCCGAGTCCAAAGGTACATATTGACGCGTCATAACGAGAAACAGAACCCCCTTTATGTTAACGTTGTTTTTAGAATGACGTAGAGAATTTGACCAACAAGTACGTCGTCAGAAGTCCGTCATTTTATGGGAACTAGGCTAAAGGACTGCAGTATTATACCGTACAGTACGTCCATATCTTGAAATGCAATACCTATCATGCGAGCAAAGACCCAATTTAAATTCCGGGACGATTCTCAGCTCCGATTCTCTGTTTCAAAGAAGATACGCTGACTCCAATTCCTACGTAGGCTTGACAGATCGTAAGCAATCGTGGCTCATGCTTACATGACCCGTCACTAAAGCGCCCTAGACGTCCACGAGCGAGAGATCTCGGAGCAACTTGGATGTTCTGTAAGGGCTCACCTCGAAATCTTGAAGCTGTAGCCAAACTTGTTGGTAGCAGGTCGCTGACCAGAGATTTTAGGTGTCATTCATTCCTCACGTGGCTGTTTGGGTGCGTTTTCCCTGGCGTCACTTGATTGCTTCCGAAGCTAGACCGTGCTGACGATGGGAATAGTTCCAAGGCATTCATGTAAATATACGGCCGTTTCTTTCCATTGACGCGTCACTGATCATCTCCCAAGCATTCCATTAACATCCCACTAACAAAGACCTTTACCTCCCGGGATATCCGAAACCTCTACCAGGAGAGATACGAGGGGGAATCGCTCGTAAAGGTCGTAGGCGAATCTCCCTCTGTGAAGACGATCGCAGGTAGTCACGGGGTCGAAAGTACGTATACTCGGTGTCAAAGTTCCTTCATTCTTTTAATCTCGGATTCTCACTCTTGGGACATGCCGTGGGAGTGTATACTCTGCATGCATTGATTATGACTCGGCTTTCTATCGCAAACAAGCAGTACTGACTTTCGAATAGTCGGCGGCTTTGGTGTACATTCTAGCGGCAAGAGAGTAGTGATCAACGCCACTATTGACAATCGTAAGACACGTCCTGCTCCTGAAATGTGTCCTAGACGCGAGTATCCGTCTCGAAAGAGGAATGCTGACCGCAAAATGGTGTAGTGCTGAAAGGCGCAGCTACGCAGGGTGAGCAGCCCTTCTTGTACTAATCCGCACCCCGAATTGAGTTGCAAGACACATTGTGGGATTGTAGTGACTCCCGCCACCGTCTTGGGACTCAAATCTTGATCTCAAAAAGAAAACTACTGATTTCAGAATTGCAGCTCTTCAAAATATCAACCTTGCCAGAGGATATTCAGAGTGAGTCTCCTCTAGCCCATAATCTCTTTAGCTAAAGCTTCTCGGGGGTCGCGGAACACGTTCCGGCACCCCACGCTCCAGACTTCTCTCGTCTCGCATGACAGATTGCTGACTGAAGCTCCATCTAGATATGAAGGCATTCCGCTTTGTGAGTCCGATCGCGGCGGGAATATGAAGTTCTAGGGTTTGCAGAGTGAGTTAGATTCTTGTGGATATCGATGACCATATACGAGAAATGCCGTGAAGCATTGGCATCTTGGATGAATCTGTATTGGGAGGGGGACGACTGAATGTTTATATACGTCCAGAATGTGACTGGAGAGTGGTTTGTAGATAGGACAAATTCGATGCAATATGACAGGGGAGAAAGATGCATATCTGTCTTGCAATTTGACTGAGCTAGGATGTTGGATACGAAAGGCCGACAGGAGAGTCACACAGGCAGGTAACACGTCCTCTATCTGAGCCACGACGAGCACAGCACGAGGCATGATTTCATATATTCTTTGGCTTCGAATCCCGGGCTTTGCTATATTCCAGGGCATGAGTCCTACATTTGCTCTGCTTTTGCACGCTTCATGAACGGGAGAAGGGTAAAATAGACAGGGCAATGTCCAGTTCCTGCTTTTCATCATCTTACGTATCTCATTATGTACACGGTAAACCATTGCTTGGCTGAGCAGACTCGGAGTATCTCTTGAGCAGTAGATTCAAAACATACGGGATATCTTCCAAATCTCTACATTTCTTTGCTTTTGCAACATCTTACATGGCTCTCATATACACATCACATCATCCATTATCACGCTGCCTAATCCCCATCCCGTCATTAGCTACGATCCCTCCGCTAGCTTCAACAAGCCCTCCAGATTAATACTCTTTGGCCGCTCTATCGGCAGCCCCAATGCTCTGTCCCAGATTAGCTGCGCTAGCGGTCCCAGACCGCGCGAGACACCGAAGGTGGCGGTGTAGTAGAGCGTTTCGTGGAAGCCGTAGTGGTGGAATAGCACGCCAGAACTACTGTCCACGTTCGGAAAGGGATTCTTCGTCTTCCCGTGTTCCTTCAACACGCCCGGCGCTATCTCGCTATTCCGCTTCACGAGCTGGAAGACAGGATCTTCGGCGATCTCGGGGCGGGAGGAGGCGAACTTCATGAGGGCTTCGAAGCGGGGGTCGGGTTTTCGCAACACGGCGTGCCCGTAGCCGGGGATTACCTGGCCTGATTTCAGGGTTGACCAAAGGTAGTCTTTCACGTCGGCGTCGGTGAAGGAGGTCCCGATGTGTGACTGCATTTTTAGGATCCAGCGGAGGACTTCTTGTGCTGCGAGACTGTGGGACTGGCGTTAGCATCTGCTGAGTCGAGAAGTGAAAGTTGAAGGTTGAGGAGCATACCCGTGCAGTGGTCCGGCAAGACCTTGTAGACCGGCGCTGTAGCTGAGGAAGGGATCACTCAACGCGCTACCAACCAGATGGGTAGCGTGCGCAGAGACGTTGCCACCCTCGTGATCACCGTGTAAAGCAAGGTAGAGTCGTAGCAAGTCTTGGAAATTCTCGTTCTCCTTGCCGCCCTTGCCGAGCATGGCCGCGAAATTATAGGACCAGTCTTGCTCTGGATCTACCTGTGCTGGTAGAGACCCACCACCCTTGTAGCTGTTTTGGTAGATTTTGGCGGCTATCGTGGGGAGTTTGGCGAGCAGTGAGATACTGTCGTCGAATGTAGGTTCCCAGTAATCGGCCTTGTTGACACCCTTCTCATACGCTTTCGCAAAAGCAGAGGTGTGATTGAGTGTAGAAACAGCGCAGGCAAATTGAGTCATAGGGTGCAGGTCCGTAGGAAAGCTATCTAGCATGTTCTCGACAAAGTTCGGCAGGGTGGATTTCTCAGCGAGTTCTCGAGAGAAGGCACGGATTTGTGATGTAGTGGGGACTTGGCCGGTCAGAAGCAGCCAGAACATGGCTTCGGGTAGCATTTCGGTGCCGGAGGTGCCTTTGGGCAGGACACTCTGGCAATCTTCGATCGTTTTGCCGTGGAATCGGATGCCTTCGTTTGCGTCGAGGACGGATCCTTCCCATACCATTGCTTTAAGCCCTCTGCAATGCTTGTCAGACTGGCCGCAGGAGATAGTAGTGGTGATTGTTGTACCTCATGCCACCAAGCGTGTTCTCCACCTTGACTTCACCAATTGTCTTGCTGGCATGGCTCTTGACTTTTTTGAGAAGCTCGCGCTTTGCTGGTATGGCTTCTTTAAGGGTGGTTTTGAGGTCTGGTTCGGAGGCGGAGGAGTAGGTTCGTATCGAGTGGGCGATGGAAGATAAGAGTCTAGGCTGTCACAAGCAAGGTCAGCATGAGCAGGATACTGCTCAATGGATAAAATACTTGTATTAGCACGGCAGCCCTTGGTGCTACCCTTGTCGTCGAGAGCATGGCGCAGGTAAGTGCCCCAGGGATTGCGAGGTTTTGGGGGCGGTTTAGTAGTCTATAGGGGCATCAGTGGAGTCTGTGCCCGTTTGGAAGACTTTGAGAAGCTTGACAATTGCAATTGATGTATGGAATTGAGGGAGCGATGCCCGGAATTAAGACTGTTATTGCTCCACCTAGGTGACGTTCCGCGGGCAAGCGGCGGTGCCGGACCTCGGCCAAAAAACATATTTGTGGGGGAATTGGCCCATACAATTTGTCTTCGCCTCTCCAAGACCCCAAAGACGGCCTATACTCGCGAGGAACAGCCATCGAGTATGCAATTTAAAGTCTAGTTGGAATGGTTCGAGCGTCTCTCTGCCATCAAGTTCTAGTATCCGGCCATCATTACAAGCAATTCCCAGTCAATAGACAGCTACAAAATTGCACAAGCATAGTCAAGATTCATAGGGTTGCTATTCCATCCTAGACAATGCTTGGAACAGCTGCCAGAAGCCTTCCCAGGAAAGCTGCCCAGAGATGCATGCCCTCCTCCCCTATACTTTGCCTTCAGCCAAGACACACTGGTAGAGCACTGTCCTCCCATCTCCCTGCCGTCAAGCCTCCGCTGTCTACTGCATTACCCTCGGACTCCTACCAGCTCCTTCCAACATCAGAGAAGAGCGGCGCCGCTGAAGACGCCCTCTTCATCCAAGAAGTGGAAGACGTCAAGCAATGGTGGGCCTCAGCCCGATATGAGGGTATTAAGAGACCATACTCTGCGGAGGATGTGGTCGGCAAGAGAGGGACACTGCAGCAAACATACCCGAGCTCTGTGATGGCGAGGAAGTTGTTCAGCCTTTTCAAAGAGAGGGCTGCCGTTGGGCAGCCTGTCCATACAAGTGAAAAGCCACCAGTGAGGCTTCTCGATCAAGAGGGCTGACAAACCGGTAGTGGGAGCCATTGACCCTATTCAAATGACCCAACAAGCTGTCAACCAGGAAGTGTTGTATATTTCTGGGTGGGCTTGCTCCTCTGTGCTTACCTCCACGAACGAGGTCTCTCCGGATTTCGGAGACTACCCGTACAACACGGTACCGAATCAAGTGCAGCGAATATTCAAAGCACAACAGTTGCATGATCGGAAGCATTGGGATGCAAGGAGGAAGATGAGCAAGGACGAAAGGACGAAGGCACCATACATAGATTATATGCGACCAATCGTTGCAGACGGGGATACCGGGTGAGGATCTGTGACATTGGCCAACGAGGACAGGATGCTGATATGACTTCAGACACGGAGGCCTTACTGCTGTTATGAAACTGGCCAAGCTTTTTGCGGAGAATGGTGCAGCAGCCGTACACTTCGAAGACCAATTGCACGGTGGCAAGAAGTGCGGCCACTTGGCAGGCAAAGTCTTGGTCCCCGTGGGCGAACACATTAACCGACTGGTCGCTACCAGATTCCAATGGGATCTGATGGGCTGCGAGAATCTCGTAATTGCTCGAACAGACTCCGAGTCTGGAAAGCTTCTCAGCAGCGCTGTAGACGTTCGGGATCATGAATACATCCTCGGTGTAGACGAAGACGCGGAGCCGTTGGCCGAGACTTTGCAAGCGATGGAGCTCCAAGGTACCACTGGAGTGGAAGTTGACCGTTATGAGGCGAAGTGGGTGAAGGAGCATAAGCTCATGACATTTGATGAAGGTAGGGGAAGCACCCTCCTCTCCAGACCGAGTTCATACTCTGACCATCTTCAGCTGTGGTGAAACACCTTGAGTCGGAAGGTGCAGATCAGAGCAAGATCCTCCAGTACGGTGCCCAGGTGAGAATGGATCGTAATCTCCCTCTATCAAGGCGACGTACTCTCGCAGCACAGTATACCAATTCTCCCTTGTTCTTTTCCTGGGACATTCCAAGAACTCGCGAGGGCTTTTACCACTACCGTGCGGGGTTAGCAGCAGCCACAAAGCGGGCAATCGAGTTCGCTCCGTACGCTGACTTGCTTTGGCTCGAGACTGCGGATCCGAACGTAGAGAAAGGTGGGAAGTTTGCAGGCGAGATCAGGAAAGCTCATCCTGGGAAGCAACTAGTTTACAATCTCAGCCCGTCATTCAATTGGATGGGCCAGGGCTTCAATGAAGCTTCCCTGAAGTCTTTCATTTGGGATCTTGCCAAACACGGGTGAGCACTGATATCTCTTCCCTATTTAGTGAGCAAAAACAGCTGATGTTGTTGCTCCTAGCTTCGTTCTGCAGCTGATCTCTCTGGCTGGTTTGCACTCTACCGCAGCAGTAACAGCAGAGCTTTCAAGAGACTTCAAGGAGGATGGCATGCTGGCTTATGTGAAGCTGATTCAGAGACGCGAGAAGGAGCTCGGTGTGGACGTCTTGACTCATCAGAAGTGGAGCGGAGCGGCCTATGTTGACGGCATATTGGGCGCCATCCAGAGCGGAAGCAGTGGAAGCAAGAGTATGGGTGAGGGAAACACAGAGACAGGTATATCAATCTCTTTGCGAACATCTTTATCTGTTGCGTACTGACATGTCTGTGTCCACAGGTTTCTAGATGTAAGCTGTAGGCACAACAAATCAGAACGCCAGGATTCAGCCCTATGAACTTTGCCGACCTGTGCATCAACAGATTCCTTCCGCATTGCACAAACGCCATCCACAATAATGCTGAGGCACCTCTGATCAGTCTGAAACTCCTGCTACTGGTCAATACTTGCCCCAACACGTTGCGACTTGCGTTGAGCAAGCTGCACAAAAGCAATAACAGCTAGCCAACAAAGACCGTTATTGCACACTGGCACAACACCACTCCTACCCACTACTCAAACGGTCTGTAATTTACCGCATAACTAAGAAACACGCTTCTAACATCCCCCAGTGACCAAACATCCATGGATTCAACTCGCAAAAACACCATTGAAGACCAGCCTAAGACGCCTTGCAAGGACCGAATTTTCCAGCTGGTCGATATGGCAGGGGATCGCGAACTGACGGAAAAGAAAAGAAGCAGAAACCTGGCCACGGCGGTGCGTGAACAGACGTTTGCAGGGCTGCTTGAATTCACGCGCAAGCTCGCAGTCATCAAACTCACATTCCTGACGTTGGGGGGCAACATGGAAGAGTACAAAGCGCGCGCTGGCAAAATCGGGACCGAGGAAGAGCAGGCACACCTTGCTCACTTGTGGCAGCTTTACGTGGAGCTCGAAGAGTCTCTGCCCACAAAACAGGAACAACACGAACGTGCTGTGGAACGTTAGTCTACCTACCCAACGATCTTACTGATCCTGACCTAGTATTAGAGGAGAATTGGGCACAAAGGGAAGTAGAATACCACGAACGCCTGTCAACCTGGAGGGATACAAGAATGCATGCGTTGTTTGCGGACATAGACTCTCGTCTCGACGACATCGTAGTCTACCTGACATGTAAAGAGGAGGAAACGTCGAGTGAGATCCCTGAAGGAAAGGCAGAGACGAAGGATGACACCTCTCAAGGAAAGACAGAGGCCGAAGATGACACGCCTGAAGAGAAGGCAGAGACGCAGGATGACACCCCTCATGGAGATACGGAGGCCGAAGACGACACGCCCCTAGACAAGGCAGAGACAGAGGATGACATTCGTGTAAAAGCATTATTTGCAGAGCATGATAGGGTCCAGGCCCAGATCAAAAGCCTGGGCACATACCCCGAGTTCAAGGCTCAGAATGATGCATTCTTCAAGAGTCATGATGAGGGCAAGGCTCAGAGACTTGGTGATGCTCTGAAGGAGGTTCAAGAGACGAGCTGAGTGGGTTGTTTGGCCAGATGAGGATCACAATTCGAAAGCCCGTTGCTCAAAGGACGCATCAACGATTGCAGAAGGTCTTTCCTTTCAGTCCTCTCGTAATCAATAGAGAAATGTAGAGTTCTTGCATTCAACCAGAGTTAATGGGTCAGTCTATTGGTCTACAAATGTGTGCGATGTTGTCTTGCTCTATCCGTAGTGCCCGCGGCTAGGAGGAACAGTTTGCCCGGTTGACCGAAGCTGCAAGGAATTCCTGTGCTGCTGACGCACCCAAAAGTCCTGAGCCGAAGCAGCTGAAAATTTCCTGACCAGTGGCCCTTCCACATGCTCCAACTTCCCCCATTCCAACACCAAATTCTCTTTCTGAGGGTCGCTGGCTCACCCTCATATCTAACCTCCATATCCCTCTCCACTGCATCTTTGCAATATCCCACCCTACTCCCCTGAGGCTGCACGTCCGCGCAGCGTTAGGCCTCGATTTCCTACGGCCACAGCCTCGGAAAAATCAATTCCCCGCGCTCTGGAAACCCCGAACTCGTACGACTCCATTCCTACACCACCAGCAGAGAATGCCACACTCAGTTTCTCCTCCCACGGTCCCCATCATGCTCACCAAATCATCCGCTCCCTCAGGCGTACCTCCAACCCTTGAGGAAGTCTCCTCCTTCCTTGACACAATCTTCAAATCCAAGACCTCGCAAGAGTCAGTTGACGCCTCTTACGCTCTCACAAACCTCCTAATCACTTCGGTCGGCTTCCGCGGCTTTCGCGCATATGGCGTACTGGACGAGATCAGGAAGGCTGCTGCAGACAAGAAAGATGGCTCGAAGAGGGAGAGCGCGATGAATCTTCTGGGTGCGCTGTTCGAGAAGTTTCCACCTGCGCAAGCGATCAGCGAGGTCGTGTTTTTGTTACAAGATGGGGGCGTCGTCCCGCCTGCGCTGGATGCACTGGCGGACAAGGGCGCCGTGGTGAAGGAATCTGCGCAGTATGCCCTGGATGCGCTTTTCAAGAACCTACCCCCCGAGAGCTTGGTCGTTGGTCTCATTCCCGTACTGTCACAATACTTGGGTAAGAGGTCTGGGAAATGGCAGGGAGCCGTGGGCGCGTATGAGATGTTGGGGAGAATGGCGGTCAAGGCGAAGATGGGTCAAGGTAGTAAGGAGGAAGAAAGGACCAAGGACTTGCTGAGGGAGAGTATGGGAAAGAAGTTGGCGGGGCTGATACCGATAGTTGAGACAGGGATGCACGATTTGAAAGCTGAGGTATGTGATGTTAGGAGACCAAGCGCAATGCCTATCCTAACCACTTTCTGCAGGTTGGCAAGCAAGCTTTGAAGACGATGACATCCCTTACAACCCTACTGTCTAATGACGATGTAGCACCTCGGATACCGCTCCTCATCAAGACTATGCAAAACCCCTCCACTGAAACCCTACAAAAGGCCATACACGCCTTGTCCCAGACTACCTTTGTCGCCATTGTCACATCTCCTGTCCTCGCCCTCCTCACGCCGCTCCTTGAGCGATCTCTGAATACCCCTACAACATCTCAGGAAGTTCTACGGCAGACAGTGGTTGTAGTGGAGAATCTGACAAAACTGGTGCACGATCCGATTGAGGCGAGAACCTTCCTGCCAAAATTGAAGCCTGGTGTTCAGGGAGTCAAAGACCGAGCATCTCTACCCGAAGTCAGAGAAATGGCTACGAGGGCATTGCAGGTCATAAGGACTGCCATGAAAGATGACGACGGCAACTTGTTGAGTGGTCAAATCGCGCCTACTTCTGCCGAAGACGTGCTGAGAGTCTTGGAAAAAGACGTCAAAATGCGTGGTGGTGTTACCGGAGAGCCAGGCGATGTCGAGCTATGGACAGTCACAAAAGGTTATATCTCGGAAATGGTCAAGGAGGATGTAAACCTTCGCCAGGTTTCTCGCATCGGCTCCTGCACCGGTCGCTACCTACAGCAGCTGTTGAAGACGGGAGAAGCCGACTTGGTCTCGCAGGCATTGGAGAAGTATTTCGTCGACGAAGACCATCGCAAGTTTGGACAGCCCATCAAGGAAGACACAGGCGAGATCGAGATCGTGAACACCGATTTTTCTTTGGCATACGGTGGTATGCTGCTCTTGTCACACACCAACATCACCCTGCATAAAGGTCACAGATATGGTCTTTGCGGAAGAAATGGGGCTGGCAAATCCACCCTTATGCGAAGTATCGCAGAGGGCAAGCTGGAAGGCTTTCCGAGCAAGGATCAGCTCAAGACTTGCTTCGTGGAGCACAACCAAGGCGAAGACGCGGACTTGAGCATCCTTGAATTTGTTGCCAAGGATCCTGAGCTGGCAGCTTCTGGAAAAGAGCGTATCTCAGAGGTTCTGAGCGAAGTTGGATTCACTGCTGGTCCCAATGGACGGCAACAAGAGAAAGTCGGATCGCTGTCTGGTGGATGGAAGATGAAGTTGGCTCTGGCTAGAGCTATGCTCATGGGTGCGGATGTGCTGCTCTTGGACGAACCTACCAATCATCTGGACGTTGGGAACGTCAAGTGGCTAGAGGAGTACCTCAGGAGCCATACCGAAATCACCAGTCTGATAGTCAGTCACGACTCTGGCTTCCTCGACAATGTGTGTACGGACATCTACCATTATGAGCAGAAAAAACTGGTCTGCTACCCTGGAAACCTTGCGGCCTTTGTCCGAGTCAAGCCTGAAGCGAAGAGTTATTACACGCTGTCGGCGTCTCAGGTCCAATTCAAGTTCCCGAACCCAGGTATCCTGACTGGTGTTAAATCATCCACGAGAGCCATCATCCGCATGCAGAACTGTACATATTCCTACCCTGGATCCACGAAACCATCCCTTCAAGACGTCACATGCGCCCTCACACTCTCTTCCCGAACAGCAATCATCGGAGCTAACGGTGCGGGCAAGTCTACGCTGATCAAGTTGTTGACTGGCGAGACAATCCCTCAGACCGGCAGAGTCGAGAAGCATCCCAACCTGCGTATTGGGTACATCAAGCAGCATGCCCTTGAGCATGTGGAAATGCACATGGAGAAGACCCCAAATCAGTATCTCCAATGGCGGTACGCGAATGGTGACGATCGAGAAGTGCTAATGAAGCAGACCAGAGTGCTCACTCCAGAGGACAAGGCTCAGATGGAGAAAATTGTCGCCCTGCCAGGACTGGGCGAGCGAAAGGTCGAAAACCTGATGGGAAGACAGAAATACAAGAAGACGTTCCAGTACGAAGTCAAGTGGGCAGGCATGCTGCCCAAACACAACACCCAAGTCTCCCGCGAAACGCTTGTAGAACTCGGTTTTGGTAAGCTGATCCAGGAATTCGACGACCACGAAGCTTCGCGTGAAGGTCTCGGCTTCCGCCTCCTCGAGCCCAAAGTGATCTCCAAGCATTTTGAAGACATCGGCCTGGACCCTGAGATCGCAAACCACAACGAGATCTCCGGTCTTTCAGGCGGACAGAAAGTGAAGGTCGTCCTTGCAGGCGCCATGTGGAACAACCCCCATCTTCTTGTCCTCGATGAACCTACCAATTACCTCGACCGCGACTCACTAGGCGGTCTCGCCGTAGCTATCCGCGAGTACAAAGGCGGTGTCGTCATGATTTCCCACAACGAAGAATTCGTGGGCGCTTTATGCCCCGAGCAGTGGCACGTCGCTGACGGGCGAGTGACGCACAAAGGGCATTTGGCTGTCTCAATGGATCGATTTGAAGATAGCAGGCCGGGTAGTAGTGCGGCGAGCAGTAATGTTTCTAGCGCGACGGCGAGCGCGGTCAATACGGATGCGGAAGGTGATGGGGGTATGAATTTCAAGGTCAAGAAGAAGACGAAGAAGTTGACGAGGGCGCAAATGAAGGAGAGGGAGACGAGGAGGAGGTTGAGGCATATTGAGTGGTTGAACTCGCCCAAGGTAGATTTCCCTGCTTGCATCATCAAATGTCGGGTCGTAGGCTAACACAGAGATAGGGCACGCCTCATCCACCAGACACGGATGATGATGCATAGGCATTTGAGAGATCTAGATGGTTGGAAGAGTCCTGCGTAATGACTATAGATGGCGTTCTTTCGGGCTACGTGATAGAAGATACCTCCTTTAGATTACCGGGGGCAGAAAATGAGAAAAGGGGCCATAGAGGCGTTTTGGAAGTCTCCCACTTAAGCTGGGGAAGACTTATCTAGATATCAATCAGGATACTGCAGACGTTTATCACTTATCCGTCCTTCCATCGTCGAAGCCTTCATCCATCTGTATTCTCCCTCCGTGGATTCCTATCCTCACTGATTACACGTTCCCAAATTCTTCACAACATAAACAAGGTCAGTACTTCGCGAGCACGAGCTGTCTATACCCAGTCGATATCGCAGCCCATATCGCCTCCATTCAGCAGTGTATTATTTGCCCATGAGCCCGAGTGGTACACCTGATGACCGACGTGATAGATGATGGGAAAGGGACGCTTGATGCATGCCGAGACAGTAGGAAGCGATGGGCGAGACATGTTGCTGCACTAGTTGGGGAGAGGGCAAGTACATAGAGGTTCGGTTACGGATTCGGTGCTGTCGTGACGTTAACACCTTGCATCCCTGCACCCTCAGGCCTACTTTACTCTATCACCACTCTATGAAATCGACCTCAGTCCAGCCCCTGCGCGTGCTTTCGCTTCGCGGCCCTTCTGCTCCTAACTAGTGTCAGCTTTCACGGCGGAAGTCTGGGATCCTGGACCCGGCTTACGTACCCCTTTCGGTCCTATAGGTCTCGAACGACTCACCCGCCTCCGCGGATCCATACACCGTCCCCTAACCCCGTAAGCATTGTCCCCGTGCTCGGCGCCCTCGTGCCGAAGGGAGAATCCCTGGCCCCGAAGTTTTCTTTTGCGAATCCGTACACCTGGCGGATGACGGATATGGCTTCCCGCTGCGTGGTCGGGCCGCCGCTGCTGACCTGGGAGCCGAAGGGGGGGGATTTGCTGCCGTCGTGGGGGAGGAGGGGGTGGTGTTCGCCGAGGTTGGATTCGATGAAGGCCGATGGGAAAGAGGGGTGGTTCGGTGTTGGCGGGGTGTGGGTCGTCTCCGTGGTGGCCGAGGACGGCGGCGATGAAGCGGGATCATTGGTCGGCGTGGTCGGCGTTGTTGGGTTCGAGGGGAGGGGATATGTCGAAGCCGCTGGCGGAGGACATGGCGATCTTGAAGCGGATGTCGTCTGGTGATTGAGGAGTTGTGCAGTGCTTCTTGGGATGCAGTGTTTCTTGGGATGTGCAGAGGGGTTGAAGGGGTTTTAGTGGATTTGAAGGGTCGAAGGTTGAATGTATGCTAGAATCAAACAAAGAGAGGGCGGTCACTGTTTCAAATGACGGCAGGAAACACGTCACCTGCTGCAACTGCGTGAGACCTAGCCACTGGCTGTGTTGAGATCATAGTTGCCATGGTTTGTTAGCGCATTTCGTGGGCACTTGCTCGAAAGAGAAGCACGGGCTCCGAAGCGGGGTTTGGCTGTCAGTACGACAAGCACTGAGAAATGAATTTTCAGTGTAGAGCATGAATTGAGCAAGGCATAATCGTTCGTCCAGGAGTGCCTGCTGGAGTGCCGCTGTAAATGCTCCCAGCGCGGAAAAAGGCGTAAAGGAGTTGGTAACGCAGTCAGTCCAGGTGGAAGGGTTCCGGATTGGTTCTACGTCAGACAGAAGTTGCGAACGATCTCTAACGTAGATTAAATCAAAATATTGAATGACTGAAGCTTCAAATCAATATTGTCAGACAATTCTAATGTAACCTGGCTTAAGATCGCTGGCTGTATTGAGCGCGTACCACTTCGTTGGTGTTTTGAGAAGAATGCGACGGGCGCAAGTTGCCTCTTGCATGTCTTATGACCACCGTAGAAGCTCTCGAACGGATGACTCTCGAAGACTGGAGTGAGGGTGCGGCGGGCGTAAGACATTCTTATCTCCCCAATTACTGAGCTAACACTGTCATTGATGACATTTTATACAGTGAAAGGGAACAATTGCAACGACCTATCGCGATCTGGGGTGTAGTTATTGGTGTTCCCATGATGTGGAAGAACGACAAGCATTTCGAGTACCTCAAAGTAGCGCCTGAGTAGAACAAGGTCTCGTTTGGCTTTGATGTGTTCAACGTTGGTGCTGTTGACAAGCCCGTTGACATTTAGGGGAAGGTCCTTTCATGAAACACTCAACATGGACAAGATATCGATCGCTTATTGGCACCACAACAATTCAGATGGTCAATAACACTGCCAGAATAGGATACATGGCGCAGTCTTGACTCAACATTCACATCACCCCCGAAGGCGGCGACGAGGGCATCCTCAACTACTGCGACGTCTTCTTATTAATCACGTCTACTCTCTGGGAGCTCGCTGGATCTTCCAAGAAGATTCGCCTGGATCCAGTTGTTGATGTTCTCCGGGGTTCCAACGTAGGAACGTCCATCAGTAGTCTCTTTCGTACTAGCCAGCCCTATCTCGAAACATAGTGGATCATTGTCAACTTCTCGCGGGTCCCTGCTTATATGCTAAGCGCTAGCCTTTGAGGTCAGTCGTCATTACTTTGTGGGTCGATGAGCGGTTGATTGGAGGGGGAGGCTCCATCGAGATACCATCACCTTTAGGCCGCGGATAGCGAAGTTCTTGCAGCGATGCTGAGTCTATAGAGAACTCGGGAGTCCCAAGTGTCAGATCATCTTGATGCGTTGTCTCACTATAACGAAAAAAGGAAGAAGGAGAACAAGATTGAGGTGTCTCAGGCTAACGATTTCTGAGACACAGAACATTGGAGGCGATGGTGGGATCGAAAGCGGCGCAGTCACATTTTGGGGAGAAGAGGAGCTGCAGGACGAGCAAAGCGACTGAAAACATCGAACAATGGTACTATCATTCTGAGATGACCGACTTGTGAAGGTGGGAAGCAGCACTGCAGGAAGCGACAGCGAAGGTTCTTCGGCATGGATCTTCCGGAAAGAGACGACTACTTGACGTGATACTGACAGCTGGCAATGAGTAGACGGATGGATCTCTGGATGCTCTGAATACATCAAGTAGACCTGGCGCTACCTGCATGTTGTCGAATGTTGAAGTCGAAGACTGAACGAGGAAATACGATTCTCTAGCGTGCTGCAAACTGCCGCTTTCCTCTATTGGGAAAAGCAGTCCCGAGACACTAGGCTGCAACGGTATTGGCGGGCTTGCCTCGTACGGTACTTATCATTTTCCATGCCCGCAGATTCTTAGATATACCTATTTTGTCTGCCTCTTTACCTGCATCCGTTCTCTGTGATCCTTGCGGCCCTATAATATATCGACAACGTGCTTGAGGTACAAGCAGTTGTGCTGGTGTTGCAATCTCCCACTGCTTCTCTGGAATACCTACCTCTTCGCGGGTGCTTGCAGTAGCTGCGTGCTAGATGATAGCTAGCTGCCTGGTCGAAGGATCCCTAGGCCGCGCTATCGCGGTCCCTATATTCCTAGATGCAAGTCAGCGTCCTTTGGGGGCCAATCGTGTGCCGCTTACCCCACCTGTGGCTCAGGATTTTGAGTGATCTTTTCTTTTGGTAATGATAAATGTACTCGAGCATATCGACTTACAGATAAGGAGAGTGATCTTAGGGATTAAGGAGACAGCGGAGTTTTGCGCAACTCTGAAAGGTCAGTCTAACCAGCGCGCGCAGCCTGCGAATGATCGCTAATATGATTTTATTGGTGTACCTTAGGGACGGAACCCAATCTCAATGATCACGCGTCGGTTAAGGGATGCACGCGGAGATCGAATTCAGAAGATCAGCATTGAAGCAGAATTCCAGGGTTGCTCGGGTGCATGTGAAAAAAAAGGCTATCAGCCCTAGCGACCCCAGCCTAGATCTATGCCGCATACTTCCATTGAGCAGATCGCATTCTCTCCCTTGCTTAATTAACGTCGAAGCTGAATTGACCCCAGCGAGATAATAGGCATCGAAAGCTCCGTTGACACGGCAACAGAAGGATACTCAAGAGGCAAGAGCGGACCTTGTACGTGAGCAAGGAACTCGTACCGGGTTTTGTAGACCACGCCTCGGTCTTCTAGTCAGGACTTTTCCTCTTCTTCTACACCTACTTGATCTTCTACTTCCATTGCTAGACGCAACGCTTGTACCCATCCTATACGCTACTCTAAGGAATTTGATTTTGAGGGCGGTTTACGGTTGTTGCCAAATAACTTCCACCATTCAGGACAAGCATTCGCGACCATGGCGAACGAAAAGTCCACCCTCGACGACATCGCCCGCAATACGTCTGATGACAATGTCGACCTCAAATCTCTAGACTCTGACGCTCTCGCCTTGGCGCAGATGGGTTACACCCAAGAGATGAAGCGCAATTACACTTGGTTCTCCCTCCTCGGCGTTGGCTTCTCCCTCACCAATTCTTGGTGGGGCATCTCTGCCGCCCTCATCACTGGCATCAACTCTGGGGGCCCTGTGCAAATCGTCTACGGTTTGCTCTTCTTCGCACTCATCTCAACATGCGTGGGAATAAGTCTATCAGAGTTGGCATCAGCACTCCCGAATGCGGGGGGGCAGTATTTCTGGGCGAATGAGCTGGCGCCCAAAAGATACGCGAACTTCGCCAGCTACTTGACAGGGTGGTTTGCCTGGGCGGGAAGTATCTTCACCAGTGCTAGTGTCGCATTGGCAACGGCAAGTGCCGCGGTGGGCTGCTGGCAACTGTCGCATCCAGACTTGTATGTATCTCGCCCAATACTGCCTTTTTGAGCGAGGTCGCTGACGGATGCAGCGTGATAATGCCATGGCATGTTTGGGTTGGATACCTCGTCATCAATGTCTTCGCTTTCATGTGGAACTGCTATGCAAAATGGCTACCCGTCATAGCTCAGATTTCGATATTCACTTCACTGATATCCTTCTTCATTATTCTGGTCACGGTCCCTGCAAAGGCGCCAACGCACCAGGATGCAAAGTTCGTCTTTGCCAACTTCGTAAACAACACTGGGTGGTCGGCAAACGGGATCGCTTTCATCGTCGGCCTAATCAACACCAACTACGCCTTCGCCTGCCTCGATTGTGCCACTCACCTTGCCGAGGAAGTCAACCGCCCTGAAAAGATGGTCCCTATCGCCATCATGGGTACCGTCGCCATTGGATTCGTCACCTCATGGTTCTACTCCATCGCCCTGTTTTTCAGCATGAACAACCTTAGCGATCTCCAGACCACTTCTACTCTCGTACCGATCTTGGCGTTGTTTTACCAAGCCCTTGGAAGTAAGGCAGGAGCCATCGTGCTGGAGAGTCTGTTCATAGCGACGGGCATTTGGTGTCTAGTCGCAAGTCATACGTGGCAGAGTCGCTTATGCTGGTCCTTTGCTCGCGATGGCGGCCTACCCTTTAGCAAATTCCTCAGCCATGTTGATCCTCGAGTGGATGTCCCTCTCCGTGCCCACTTCGTCAGTTGCGTTCTTGTGACCATTCTCGGACTACTCTATTTGGGAAGCTATACAGCATTCAACAGCATGGTCACGGCCTGCATCGTTCTGCTTTATGTCTCGTACTCGATTCCGGTCATCTGTCTCCTGATCAAAGGTCGCAACAATATTCATCATGGCCCCTTCTGGTTGGGCTCTTTTGGACTATTCGCCAACATCGTGTTGCTTTTGTGGACCTGCTTTACGATTATTATGTACTCATTCCCGCCGGCAAAACCCGTTTCCGGAGGAAGTAAGTCGTCCAATCCCCGTCTAAGGAAGTTTTGCTTCGGAATGTGCGAGGGCTGACAATCACCGCAGATATGAATTACGTCTCTGCTGTATATGGAGTCGTTGTGTTCATTATCGTCGTGGACTGGTTTGCGCGGGGAAAGAGGGGCTATAGAGGACAAACTTTGAGGCGCGAAGAAGCAGAGGCAAACTTGACTGGCAATGAGACCGTTAGGTAGATCAAGCAAGATGATGTTGTGGTCATCGCTATCCAGTATACAGAATATTGATACACAGCCTAACAAACTCCTCGACTCTGGATTGCACTAGATTCTCCTTACCTCCAAATCCTATTGACTATAATCTAAATATCTTTGACCCATGAGAGGTATTCCACAGGCGAGTTGGGTGCTGCCGATCTTCTCAAAGCGTCCGGAACGAGTCCGGTTCCTTCATCTGATACTTATACCAACGACAAGCAGAAAGCGGTGTTTAGCAGAAAGCGGTGTTTGCAAGCAAACGGCTCAAGGAGGGTTTGTCCCCAAAGATTCCATGGCAAGATTCGTCCAGGGTGATACTATCAAAAAATGTTGATCCGCCCAGTCCATCTTGTGGGGGTTGGGACGACCATCAATGATGTTCGTCTTCCACGATTATGGGTGAACCTTAAGCTTGGGATCATAGAGCTCGATTGGAAGGATTCCGTGTCGACCTTCCTTACAGAGAATCACTTGTTTTGTACCATTCTGGCCCATCTGGTAGGCTTTCTGCTAGGTTCTCTCAGTCAACTTTGTTGCCATCATGATCCAGGAATCCGATCCGACTACGATTCTTTAAAGCTCAATTTCACACCATCAACTCCCCTCATCATACCGCAAGATATGCGGCGATGTCTAATACGCGGCCTAATGAAGCATCATCGAAGCGTCGATAGTTCTCTCCACAAACCCCTCGCTCGCCTCCGATTCGTTAAAGTCGCTGCACGCCAAACTCGCCTTGCTCATTTCTATCCTGCTATCGTTGGACGCTCTCTGTCCGTGGGTGACAGATTCCTGGCGGAAGTGCACTGGTCGCTAATGAAGATCGGTTCTTACGAGAATTGCAAGAACAGAGGCAGCGAAGATTGAAAGGAGAAGCAAGACCGAGGCAACCTAGGTCGAAGTGTAGCAGTGGGAATGGTTCGGTCCACCGAAGATGCTCGTGGGCCTCGGTACGAAGAGGTGGCAGAGCGGATTGGATTTGATCGCGAGAGCGTAGCTGGTAGAGTTGGTGCGGCTGGGACGGATGATGGACAGCTGGATCAGATACAGATATGGCCATGTGCTGTATCTACGGAGCACTCTAGACCGCGCTTGCTCTACGCCGGAGGGTTTTCCTTGTTGGCCAGACGATGAGGGCAATAGCTACTCCCATTCTCACAGACAGTAATTGCGGCAAACCTTCATAAGCGAAGAAGGTGAGTAGGAAACGCCTTGGCATGTGTCAGATCTCAGTCTCTTTTCTTCATGCATAATGTTCGCGTTCATGTTCAAAAGGTGGCCTTGATGCGGTTTCTGTACTGTATATTTCAGATTATTGAAGATGCTGAAGCGTCGGAGCGGAGTGATGCCAAGACTTAGGGCTGAATTAGCCTTGGCAAGATAGCCGCATGCGGCTAGATAACCGAGAAGCCGCAGGAGGACAGAAATGGCGGGTGAACGGTGGAGACCTCTTCAATCGTGATACCTACTTTTCTCTGTCTAAAAGAGTATTCCAAGATCGTGAGCTGGGCTGCCCGCTGGAATTAGACCCCCTGAATAACCGCTGCAATAAACCCTCCCTTCGATGTCCCACAATGGCCTGCCGAACTATGGGGACTGGTTTTTGGCAAGTTTGGTACCACAGATGAAGACCTCATTCACCTCTAGCTTGACTGTTGACGCATCTCGAGGCTGTTCAAGGAGGAGGTACATCATGTTTTTGCTACCAAGCATGTAGTAAAGGTACGCACGCAGATGAACGATATATACCTCCCAGACCTCACCGTGGACGACACGGACCAGACAGCCACGTTTAGTTGGAGGTAGCTGTTCTCACTCTTCTCTGCCGAGGAGAAGAAGTACTCCGTCGTGGAGGTAAATCAGTCTTCACAATGTCCGACTTCTGTTGTGGACTCACGGAAAGACAGCCAGGAACCTTCAATCAGATACTCGAGAACCGTCGCTTCAGGCAGGAGGACTGGCACTGTATTGACTGTGAATGCTCGCTATTCTTTGAGCTCTTTTGCGATGGCTGCATGGGCGTCACTGCCAAGGACGATACGGAAGCAGAGGTAAGAGAGCAGCAAATTAGAAATCGAAAGGCCCTTGTCAGTTGCGCAGATGCGAAGAGACGCGTTCGGCGAGATCGTATCCGTCGTCTACACCGCGATCTCCTGCATCAGGACTAAGAGGTCGATGAAACATTTATTTTGCGAGAAGGTGCGGCATTGCGGAGGATAGATTATGTACGCTTCCACATGCTGGACGGGGACTTCAGTGACGATGAGGAGAGCAAGTACAGAATTTTGCCATCAGCACATCCAGGATGGCGACATGGTAGAGACATCCTGGCAGACTACCCTAGAAAAGTGGCATTCTGCGGCTCGAGAAGTTCTGGTCGTCACACCGGTTCTGGACATCACCCCAGAAAATTTCCGTCTTTCATGGTTAACACTCCTCTTTGGCATGCCTTTTGCGGATCATTTGAGGATCTGTATCATTTCGACTGCCACCTTCTCCATTCGCGTTGCCTGCATCTCTCGAAATACCACGTTGCCATCGGGATATGACGAGTGCCCGCATAGGGCTGCTTGTCGTGTTTCACCAGCGGATCTGACAGCATGACTACATACTGGGCGCTAAATTGGGGAGGGCCCAGATCCTTCCACGGTAGTGGCGTGGCTTCACTGCATGTTTCATGTACCGCAGCCGCAGCCCTGACCCTGTCCATGACCAATTACGTTGGCAAAATAGGGGTTTCCATCATTCACATAATCTCCGATCAGGAATCACGCAAAGAAGATCCTTGCACCTCTTCCCGTCAGAGACGGAGAGCCTCGGTGATTGGGTTACGAGTATTTTCATTTGGAATTAGGTGCTGTGTCTAGTGCTCTGACAAAAGGAGGGGTATCAGAACGGGGTGAAACAGAGTCCGCAAGAATAGCAACGCATGATTTTTTTGCCCCAAACGCCAAACCGATTTATTCCATCGCAAGCAGAGCACGAAACAGTCCACCGTTGTCCGATAGGTCATGACGCCTGCGCCTCAACGAAACTTGATGACCCCGATCCTCGGCGCTGCCGAGAGATACCGCCCTGCCGGACCCCGTCCCCCGGTCCACCCACGCTCACACCACCAAGGCCTCCCAGAACGCTTACTAGCCTTTCGTACGTTTCTCAATGTCTTGGTGCCACATTGCGTTGGGTTTGCCAGCCTTGCGGGAGAATTTCACGACAAGAACATCAGACTTTCCAGTGACAGGGTCGATATAGGGTCCTGTATCTAATAGGTGGTGGCCCTTAATCTCCAAACGGTCACCAGAATTAGGGAAACGTTCTAGATCATCGGTTTGGATGAGCCCAAGGCACGGTATCGTGAAGGGGGGTTCTGGGCTCGTGTTGTCCGTTTCCACTGCGTAAGTACGCCGAAGGACATGGTAGCCGTTCTCCATCACGGCGCGGGAAGCTGCATCACTTGACTGGGTTGAGGACATCTGGGCTGAGGACATCGTGGTTGATGTTCAGTGGCTTGGTATTGCTGGTGATGGATGGTTTCCTGACGCTGGCTTGGTATTGCTGGTGATGGATGGTTTCCTGACGCTGAGATTGGTGCGGTGTGGAAATGCTGGTGTGTGCGGATGCTGGTGGTTGTGGATGCTTGTGGTTGTAGATGCTTGTGGTTGTAGATGCTTGTGGTTGTGGATGCTTGTTGGATAAATGGGTATGTATGAACTGTCTTGAACTGTCTGTGGTTGCTGGAGGATATGAAAGGAAAATCAAAAGATTCTGCAGAGAGAATCTACCTTCTTATATCCATTTTCCAACCGCCCGGAAACCCGAGACAGCACAGCCTGGGGACGAAGAGACTGGGAGGCTTGAAACGAAACGAAACGAAACGAAACGAAGTGAAACGAAGATGAGGAGGGAATGGCTAAACGTCTCCGGTTGTGCGCCGGAGAGGCGTGCTCGAGTTGATGGGGGGGGGGGAGCAAGCACTTGGAAGGGTTTTTACAGCTTCATCCACGTGTTTCGTATGTGGTCGAGTCTCGAGTCGAGAAGAAAAGGGCGGACCTTGTCAGACATCTTCCGCTTCCGGCCGCGCATCTCACTTGTAACAGAGCGTCGAGTCGAGAAGACGGGATCGCGGCCGGTTTCGTGTGTGCCAGAGCTCGAGTCGAGGGCAACAGGGCTGGAACCCGTCAGACATTCGTGACTTTTCACCCCCTCTTCCCCCCCCTTTCGCCCCCAGCTTTCTGTGACGGCGGAGCTTCGAGTCGAGGAGGGGGGCAGGGATGCACTCGTCCCACTTCTATCTTTTGGTCCCTTCGGAGCCCCGTCCGAGTCGGTGGAGGAAAGCTCCGCATTCGTCATATCATACAATTCCGGCTTAGTCCCTTGAGACGTTATCTTATCTGAAGAGAAGAAGGCGAAGAGCAGAGCAGAGAAGGTAATCAGGCGTTGTCACTTCTAAACACTGACCCCTTCCACCCCTGAAACCCTCGTCCGAGCCGCACGTCAGGCGTTGGACGGGGCGTCGCTCCGGTTCGTCTTCTTCGGTGGTGTGGCAGTGGGGATGGGATCCTGAGGCAGGTAGGTATCTGTGGAGGTCTGAAGTATGTCGGTGTGAAGCCCATAGTGCCAAGACACGCTAGGCCTAATTGGGATACGTGTGTTGTGTATGTGGTGAGGGTACTTAGGCTGGAAGGGTGACGAGGTTCTTGTGGGTAGGGGGGGGGGATTTATTGGGTCTATGAAGCGGCTGCAGGGGTACGTAGCCCATCGAGGCAAGTAAGTAAGCTACCTGGGCCATTGCGAGAAGCACCTGAGGAAGAAATGGTTAGGGGTTGTCACGCGTTGATGTTTTTGTCGCTTGACAGTTTCGGTCGGTGATGTTTAGAAGGCGGTGCACAGATTGGGAAGGGGATGTGGATTTTGGGAGCGGGATCTTGGTTCGGAACGGAGTGTTTTTGGGGGGAATTGGGTTTTTCATTACTTTAATTTGAGAACGAGTCCTCGATCCGAGCGTGTTTTACAGAAGCCTTATACGCAAGCCGCCTTGGCGTGAAGCATTTTCTAGGCGGTTGGGCAGCACAAAGGGAAAAAGACACCGGACTCCATCTCGCGCGCTGAGAAATCGATGGCTTGAGGTGCGGCTCTTCCGTTCACAGTGTCATGCTCTGCAGAGCAAGCGTAGGAGATACCCGAATCCGTCGTTGAAAGTGGAATCCGTCTCTCCCAGTCTTGCCCGCAACAATATTTCCAGCGCCGCGAGACATAGCGACCCTCTCCATCTTCCCTCGCTCAATGATGCTTCGATGCAACCACTGCACGCAGTTTGTCAGTTTCTCTGCATTTGTACGACAAAAGTTCGTGGGACTCACCACTCGGAATAATGATGATCAACAACAGCACAATTATGCCCACGATGATCCAGATCCTCATCTTCATGTTCTTCCACCACATCTGCTTGCGAACTCGGTTGGCGCCGCGACGGAAGCCTTGGGCGGATTGGTTAAGGTTCTCGGATTTATCTTGGAGCTGGTCGATGTGCTCGCCGCGCTGGGCTACGGATTCGAGGTTCTTTTTCATGACATTGACAGTGTCGTCAATTTGCTACCAAGGAGAGCGATGTTAGCGATTGTGCTTTGTAAAGTATGAGGAGAGCAGATGAGGCTTGTAGCAAAGTGGGCAGCTCGATAAATGGTGTCGGCTTCGTGACGGAAGTGGGATGTGCTAGCGCATGGTACCGCTATCGCAGTTGAAGGTCTCAAAATCGGTAATTGCGGGGCGCAGTGCCCCTGGATGTGAAGCGCCTCTGGTTCGTAGCTTTGCCCATCGTAGGAAGAGCTTGCGGGCAGTGTAGTCTTCAGGCACCCGCTCTATAGAAGCCGCCTCTAAAGCCCAACGCGCGGCAAGCTCCATCAACCCCTCATAAGGTATGTGCACGTACCGATTGAATCGCAGCAGTCCGTGTGTTGCCGCCCTCATATCCCGCGCTTCCACCTTGACCTGAACCGCCCGAGGGAATGTAGGGGTCGTATGGTAGCTCGCGGCCTGCCATTTTTACTAGCTGTGTCGGAGGATGCGGGGCTTAATTAGAAAGGAGAGTTGATGTGGTGAGAGGTAAGAGGAAGTTGGTGGGGTTGATGCAATTTCGCGGTGGAGATGTCAGGTTGGAGGTTAGGTGTCAGCAATGCGGAGCGAGCGTCCGACGGGCGGCGGGCGTGCGACTGTGCTGATAGCGGTGTTGATATGTCAGTATGGCTTCGCAGCTGTTACTTGTGAGTCTGAATTGCTGAGACTTTAAGGAGCGATAGTGGTGATGTGTCTGGATGATGGTGAGGTACAAAGGTTGGAAAGTCCTAAAAGCGCTAATTTTGGAGCATCACGTGACGTGGCGGGCTTGGCGTGGACAAAGAGATGAGATGAGCCTCTTTCGTTCGCTAACGCTTCAGCCATGGTGGCTCTACACTTTCATTTTGCAACATTTTTCCGTGTGGTCCTAGGAAAGAGATCAAGTCTAAATTACTACTGCCGGTACAGTCTTATGAAGAAAGCACAGTAGTTGAGGCTCTGAAACATTAGGGGTACCTACCTAGGTACCTACATTCAGTAAGCCAAGATAGCAAACCGCGTGTTAGCCCGGACCCGGGCGAAATTGCCAACGTTCGGGCGTTACTTTACCCCCGTGGATATCAAACTTGGCATCAGCATCAGCATCAGCGTCAGCATGGTCTTTCTCTTTTCCTTTGTTTTATTGTCGCGTAAGCTCCTTCTTCCAGAGTCAAAAGAGAGGAGATCACAGTAAGGTACTTTAATACGATTACGTTCGTTGACCGACTTTACTAATTGCATTCATAAATTTTGCCCCTAGCAACGGAAGCCGGATAGCCGCCGCCGCGTCAGCTACAAATCGGAAACTAAGGGTCCTCTCGTAAAGTACTCTAATCTTGAAATTTACATTACCAAGTCAAACAATCAATCAATTCAAAGATCAGCTGAACAAAGCAACTTCACTCTTTTTCAACCCCAACTCTCCCATCATCCTCTCACTCCCATCACTGCTGCAGTCAGATTAGTGGCATCATCCTCCGTCACTCGTTTGTCAGTCTTTGTCGCTCGCTTTATGAGTGTATTGTCGTGTCAGCAGGCCGTCGCTTCCTTCAACTCCTGGATTCCCTGCACGCCACCTCTCCACCACCTGTACAAGAGATTGTAAGACTGAGAAGAGTTGGGAATTATTATACCGAGTCGGATTGAACAAACTATTGGAGAATACCTTCTGAGCATCTGCTCGACTCCTCCTGGTCGACTTTGGACTTTCGCGATTCAAATAGCAAAGTTGCCGCGCCATCAGATCCTCAGCTCAATCGTGTATACTGGCTACCGCCGTCAACAGATCTAGGGCACTTGAAACATTTTCGCACATCATGAGACTCACCCCTTGTAGTCGAAAATCATGCTTGTCATGGTTATCAACCACAGCGCTCTCACTGTTGGCTGGGAGCACCTTGACCACCGCCATCACCCTAGACCTACAAGATCCAAGTAAGCTCTCTCCCCTTCTGGCTCACTACTTTGGGCTGCTAGCAATCGCTCCTGACTAACCATCTGTCACAGATTCCATCAAGTCCGCTGCCTCTACCTGCGCATACAATCTCTTGACCTTCTACACGGGTAACAACACTGGGGATGTACCAGGAAATCTGCCTCAACCTTACTACTGGTGGGAAGCCGGAGCTATGTTTGGCATCTTGATCGACTACTACTACTACACCAACGACAGCCAATACAATGATCTCGTCACACAAGGCATGCTATGGCAGGTGGGGCCAGACAATGACTATATGACGCCCAATCAGACCAAGACAGAAGGAAATGATGATCAAGGCTTTTGGGGCATGGCTGCCATGTCAGCTGCGGAGCAAAAATTTCCAGACCCTCCATCAGCCCAGCCTCAGTGGTTGGCGTTGGCGCAGGCTGTCTTCAACGATCAAGCTAGTCGATGGGACAACCAGTATTGCGATGGCGGCTTGAGATGGCAGATCTTCACTTTCAACACTGGATACGACTACAAGAACTCAATTTCCAACGGTTGTTTCTTCAACCTAGGTGCTCGCTTGGCCTTGTACACCGGCAATGACACTTATGCGCAGTGGGCCGAAAAGACATTTAATTGGACTCAAGCCGTCAGCTTGATGGATCAAAACTATCATTTCTACGACGGTGCTCATACAACTCTCAATTGCAGCGACATCAACAGGGTCCAATGGACCTACAATGCAGGAGTATTCCTGCTTGGAGCTTCTGTCATGTACAATTACGTAAGGTTGTCCCGTGTTCAATGAAGAGAAACACGCACTGACAATGATTTTTCGCAGACTAATGGTTCTCCTCTCTGGCAAGAGCGAGTTATGGGCATCCTCAATGCCACCTCCATCTTCTTCGCTACCAATCCCCCAAACGTCATGTACGAAGTCGCCTGCGAACCTCCCAACACCTGCGATACAGACAACTACTCATTCAAGGCCTATCTGGCACGCTGGCTCGTCGCATCCATCAAATACGCTCCTTTCATCCAGACCACCGTAATGCCGTGGGTCCAGGCCTCCGCCACCGCAGCCGCACTGCAATGCTCCGGCGGTACCAACGGTCAGATGTGCGGGATGAAATGGACTCAGGGCTCTACATGGGACGGTACACAAGGGGTGGGACAGCAGATGGGAGCGCTCTCGATCATCCAGGCCAACTTGATCGACCAGGTCACCGTCCCTGTGACGAATAAAACTGGAGGCACGAGTAAAGGCAATGCCGCAGCTGGCGGGGGAGGCGGCATCTCCACAAGCAATCCGGCGCTCTCGCAGAATGTGATAACGCGAGGGTCAAAAGCTGGTGCTGGGATCCTGACGTGTCTGGTACTGATATCGGTGATTGGTTGCTCATGGTGGATGATCGCGTGATCGCGAAGCCGAGTGCTTTGCTATGGCACATAATGTCTTTTGATAATGGTCCATCATGAATAGAGCCGCGCGGTGGATAGACAGCATTGGCTTGCCCCTGGGGCTGAGTTGGCGTTTTTTTTTGATGAGCATTTACACCTGGCGTCGATTTCCTCAGGGCTTGCCGTGAGCTGTACAAAATATAATGTTGAAACACGTTACAATCACCCTGCGTCACCCGCGAGAAACCTGCTACATTCCCAGCATGATCGTGACTATTGGAATAACATCACCTCGGTCATGGGCACGAGGCCACTTTCCCCAAAGCTCCAACTTCATCCCGACCTCAGTCGACATCAAAAGCCTAAACAACAACAACATCCTCTCCGTGCGGACAGAAGTCCGTCCGCTGATAGACTCGAGGCGTTCGAAACACCCCCCCTCCCTCTCTGCTTCTCTTCGCTGTTTGCGTCACTGCGTCACTCCCTTCGAGCTCGCACGCGTAATGCGTATTGGAGTAGAGGGATACAAGGTGTCACTCCACCGTTGGCGCGGCGCGGCGGATCGTCGAGTGGAGTGGAGTGGCGGATTGAGGTTGTGGGGGTTGGTTGGATTGGGTGGTTGGGTGGTTGGTGTTTGGGTTGGAAGGGTTTGGGCGGAAGGGTTTGGGCGGAAGGGTTTGGGCGGAAGGGTTTGGGGTGGAGGGTTTGGGCGGAAGGGTTTGGGTGGAAGGGTTTGGGGTGGAAGGGTTTGGGCGGAAGGGTTTGGGGTGGAAGGGTTTGGGGTGGGGTTGGGGTGGGGTTGAGGCTTGCGGGGATGGGATGGGAGGGGGGCCGGGGGGGTTTGGGCGGAAGGGTTTGAGCGGAAGGGTTTGGGCGGATGGATGGGGGTGGGGGGGTGTTTGGGCGGTGTTTGGGCGGATGGGTTTGGGGTGGGGTTGAGGCTTGGGGGATGGGATGGGATGGGGTTGTCGGTTGCGGGGATGGAATGGGATGGGGGGGGGGTTTGGGGAGTTGGGGGTTGGTGGTGGGGGGAGTTGGATGGGGGGGGTGGTGGGAGGAGGGGGGGGGGTGGGGTTGGTTGTTTGTGGATGGGTTGAGGGGGGGTTTGATGTTGTGAGGGGGGCTGCTTTTGAGGTTTTGAGGGTGGGTTGGATTTGGTGTTTTGGATGGGATGTTGGGAATTGGCTGTTTGGGTAGGCTGGACTGGGGATGTTATTGTATATTTTTCTCTCTCTCTGTTTTTGGGTTTATTGGGTCTGTGACTATGATGCTTTGTCATGTTACTTGGTTGGTCGGTTGGGTCTGGAGGTTTGCGGTCACGCTTTCGACCGATGTCTCACGTATCTGGATGCTATCGACCTATGCTTCGAATATATATTGATCGATGGATTGTCGGGAAAGATGATGTGAACCGGTGGAGGAGTGGGGGGATCGAAGTCGCGAGACCGAGCTTCTAAAATCCGGGTTCATCTATGCTCATGCGGGCTGCTGGGATTCTATGAACAGGGTTACGGAGCTTTTAAGGTAGAGCCATGCTTTCCAAGCATCCTTCCTGGCTCACTGACCATTGAGGTGCCTCCTGTTTATCTTGTTGAAGCGTTTGGGGCCGGACCACGTCTCGCTCGGAATCGCAAGCTAGGGCACAGCGCAGCCTTCCCGGCACGGAGGTCAGTTGACGAAGGAAGCCTACTGCTTCGGGAAGAACGAGAAATCTGCCCACCGATACCTGGACGCGACTTGGTCAAAGCTGGTCCAAGGTTCGAACGATAGGTCAGTGGTATGTGCGGAGATGGCCTTGCTCGACTTCGGTTGCAATCGTCGTCTCGGTCATGATTGGAGCGTTGGGGCTACGCTACGCATACGACCAGCAAGGACTGGAGTACGCGTCGATGAGGCTGGCGGCGTGGACTGTGAAGAAAGGCTTTGTCGAGTTTTGTATCGAGCAGCAGGGTTGGAATCTCTTTGACTTGGTATCGGTTTGTTCGGGTTGTCGAGAACGTCTTTGCCAAATGGCAATGGCCCTAAGCACGGACTGTGAGGTGGCGTTGCGTGATCCGTTTCCCAATCCACCGAACGTGTCTTTCGGACTCGCCACCAGATCTGGAAAGCCAGCTACTACTCTAGGAGGCGTTGGGATCTTGAACATGGACTCGGTCGGTACTATCGTCGCCTCGAACGATGGTACGCTATCAGAGATGGCGTACGTGCATCTTTGTCGAATGGCAACGGTCATTGCTTCAGATTGTGCCTTCATTATGAGGCGGGCCCGTAGAAAGTTGCATTTGAGGTTCACGACGGTACCACAAGCCCGATCTGAGGCTCATACTCTGATGCACGTGTCACAACTCAAGCCCCTCGAGACTTCGCCGAATCCACCAATGGAAAGGTTTGATCTTGGAGAGAGTACCCGGGTGGAGCTCTCGCGGTCCGGAAACGGACTACGGCACCGTCAATCCGAGAGCATTGACGCTATGAGAGCGAGGCTCAAGCCGGCCCGTAGACAGTCCTTTCAACGGTACTTTGTTGAAAAGTTCCCGTTGCGGGAAGTCAAGGTGAAAATGGACGATTCGACTAGAGCTCTGGATCTCAAGTCAACTTACAGATTCATAACCAGTTCAGCGCCCTGTGCTTTATGACTTTCCCCTCCAATCACATGATATTGACCGTGTGTTAGTATTGGCGAGTGGCAAAGCCGTGTACGCCGTTGGAACAGGGTTTGGAACGTCCAGCCAGATCAAAAGCGTCCGCATCTGCCTACGCCGACAAACTTTCTTCCTCTTCCTCTTTGGATCGAGCGTGGCGAATGAACCCGGGCGTTTTTGGAGAGCGAGGAGAGCGCGGCCGTGTCTCTTGTGTAGACATTCTTCCGCATCATCGAATACTGGACGATGGATGGGAATGTAATTGGCTTTGCAGGAGACATTTTGGGAATGAGGGAAGAGAGTCTCTTGAAAAGTATACCATAGCATATCAATAACCTACAACGTCGTATTTTATGTTGCTTGATGGCAGTATCTTCAGGCTAGGTCAAAGCAGGCGGTGGGTATGGACAGGCTTAGACCAACTCAAGGCAGAGGCTTCACTAAGTGCCATCTGTCAGATCGTATCTCTTTGGACCTGATGTGTACATACATTTTACACATAGTAATATTTGAGGACTGAAATTTTGAGTGTTTGGAATCAAGCAAGCATAGAAAAAGTCCGTTAATCACTTTCGCCTTAGAGTCTGGAAACCCCCTTTTTCCTTTTCTTAGCATTGTCCTATCCAAAAGTCCTGACCGAAAGGTTTAGTTTTGTGCTTTAAGCGGGGTCTGGAAAACAAAAATTCCACAAAAAGTGTTAAAATGATCATGCGGGCTTGCTTCGTGAGAAGAACAGAAAGCACCTTATTAACTGTAGAATGAGTCTTTTCATCCAACAGTCCTATGTGCCAGAAAAGCAGGGAACCATGAAATCGATGGAGAAAACCACCATCAAGGAGAATTGGAAGAAGATCGCGGTATTCGTCGTCATACTTCTAGCTTTATGGCAACTGTCAGCTCATTTTGGATCCTCTATGGCCTTTGCTACAATTGGAGACCACGGTGATTTCGAATCTTGGTGTCCTCTCGCAGACCCAGACACCATGAAAGCCAGTACCGACAACTTACGGCCATCCAAGGACATTAGCCTCGATGCTTCTCTGGAAAAGCAAATCGAAAGACTCTCGGCGGCAGTGAAGTGCCAAACGGAAAGTTTTGATGACAACGGTGACGTTGATGAGGATCCGCGGTGGAGGACTTTTGATGGCTTCCACGACACGCTGAAAGACCTCTTCCCGCTTATTCACGGCCATGCAAAGCTGGAGAAAGTGAACCGATATGGCCTCGTGTACTCCTTTCAAGGTGCATCCCAACATCTCAAACCACTCCTCCTGACCGCCCACCAAGACGTCGTCCCCGCCTCCTCCATCTCGAAATGGACCTATCCGCCATTCGAGCCTCACTACGACGGCCAATACCTCTGGGGCCGTGGGTCTAGCGACTGCAAAAACAATCTCATCGGCGTCATGTCAGCTGTAGAATCACTACTATCACAAGACTGGAAGCCCAGGCGTTCTGTCGTGCTAGCTTTTGGCTTCGACGAAGAAACCGGCGGTGTACGCGGTGCTGCCAAGATTGCCGAAGTACTTGAGAAAGTTTGGGGCCGTGATGGCTTGGCTCTGATCCTGGATGAAGGAGGTATGGGTCTCACGACTGTCGGCGAGTATGTCTACGCTCGCCCAGGTGTTGCGGAGAAAGGGTACATGGACGCGCAGCTCATCCTGGAGACCGCCGGTGGCCACAGCTCGCGACCACCCGCGCACAGCGGAATTGGAATTATAGCCGAAACGATAGTTGCTCTAGAGCAGAACCCTTACACACCAGTACTGACCAAGGAGAACCCTCTCCGGGGCTTACTGGAATGTCAAGCCAAGTACACGCCGGGGGAACTAGAACCCTGGCTGCGGCGTTCTTTGCAGCGTGATGATGATGGTACGGAGATTGGGAAGAAGCTTGCTGATGAGAGAGGACCGCAGATTCGGTTTTCGATGCAGACATCGCAAGCTGTGGACATTATCAAAGGTGGTGATAAAGTGAATGCGCTTCCTGAGACTGTCTCCGCCATTGTCAATTACCGTATCGCTCCTCATGACTCGCTGGACATCGTGAAGAGGAAGATCGCAGACCTACTGGAACCCATCGCCCGGAAACATAACGTCAACGTCGAAGGCTTTGGCAGCAAGGGTAGCGCAGAACGCAGAAATGAGGGCAGTAACAGTGAGGAAGAAAAGTCATTTTTGGGGACCCTTTATCTCAGCAGCTTGAATGACCTCTCGCCCTCCCCTATATCCCCCACAGACATCCAAAATCCCGTCTGGCACATCTTCAGCGGCACCATCCGCCAAGTCTTCGAGGACACCAGAACCCTCGCGGGCAAGAAGGTCATCCCCGTCGGCGATATTATGCAAGGAAACACCGATACGATCCAATACTGGAACCTGACGAAGAATATCTACCGCTTCTCGCCGGCAAGGGAGGGCACGAGATTCGGCGTGCATACGATTGATGAGCGTATTGATATGACGGCGCATCTAGAAGGGATGAGGGTGTACTACGGTGAGTCTGGAGTCCTGTCCTCACTCCTATATCCTAACATCTCCGAGTACTACTGATGAGGATATCGCTGACGACGTGAGCAGAGATGATACGGAATTTCGACGCTGCGGATATATAAAATGGACTGGCGTTCAGTATCAAAATGCTATATCATTCCAAAGCCAAAGCCTACTTCACCTTCATATGCCACCCGTTCAAACCTCCAACGCTCAGGGTAAAATTGAACAGTGAACGGGCGAAACCGTACGAGAATTCGGCAGTGCCGAATCCGAGAATCCTTGCACGCTATCCCTAATTGGGCATCCTGGCACCCAAGCGCGTCAAGCACACCAATCTTCGTTCCCTCCTTCAACCCTCCCACCCCTCGCAATGCCGAATCATCCCCCCATGCTCCCTATCCTCAATTCCTACCACACTGACCGCAGACACAACGACTTTTCTCAAATGCAGAACCCGCTTCCTAGAGGCCGCAAGCCCCGCCTCAACCCGAATATATCCTGTCCCATCTTCGACCCATCTTTCCGTACTATTCGGGGAAGAGAAGGGAAGATGCCGCGGGATGGTATCCGGTGTTTCGTCGGCGAGGTTGGTCGAGTGCTAGTGATATGTATTGGAGCAGTTCGGCTTTGGTTGCTACTCTACTTACTTACTTACTTACTTACTTACTTACTTACGTTTTGGCTTTCCAACGGGGTTTTGGCGGTGGGTGTGAGTCGGTCGCTGTCATAGGAGGAGGAGGAGGGTTGGCTTGGTTTCCGATTGCGTCATTCTGTGGCGCGCAGTGTTTCCGGTGTGGGTCATTGGAAGGGAAAGCGGCGTAGTAGGGTGGATGTATACATGGTCGATGGATGGAGGTCACGGAGAGATTCTGAATGCCGACTAGCGAGTCAGCGCCACTACGTCCTTCTTTTTCTTCTTTTTCTCTCAACGCGGAACAGGAACGTGTGGGGAGGTGCTCGACTCGTTTAGGGTAGAGGAGAGGGAATGGTTGTGTCTATCACCCACTTCCTTGTTCGCCAACTAGCTTTTATGGGACAGCCGGTCTCCTCGGATAGGTATCAGCGACGGGTCTGTCTTGATAGCAAGATTCACGGAAGATTCTCTTGGGGATGTTGTTAGTTTACACATTACGTTACGTGCACTTTAGTACCTGCATACTGTGTATCAAGTCATCTATACCAGGCGGTCACATTTCAAGATCGGAGTGGAGGATTCGCGTCGAGTCCGGCTCGGATGATCGGGCCGGGCGACATCACGCTGGAGATCGAAGACACGTTCCTTGCGGGAGACTTTGAGGTCTGATGAGGTGGCGGAGGGAACGATCGGTGCTGGTGACGGTGAATGAGATGTCGGCGTTTGAGTTGGTGGATGGGAAAGCTTTCGGAAGGGAGGGTAGGAGGTGTTGCTGCGTTGGGATCGCGGAAGTCGAGTATTGGATGATAACACGGGTGAAGCGTCTCGGTCGGGCGACTGGGTATGCTCTTGGGTAGTCACGTTGCTGTGGAATTGGCTTTCTCTGGCTCCGGTCTGTTTTCTGAATATACTGCCAAAGGGCGAGGAAGTGATGTGATGAGACTTGGGGCAAAAGTAACAACACTCATCGAGGCCAAAAGACCCTGATATTTGGTGGACTTGCGCGCGTAAATCTACTAACTTTTTTGGGGCTATTAATTCTAATATATGACGAGATTGAGTTTGAAAATGAAGGGCCCGATTTGTTAGAAGCTCGAAGCAAGGGGTTCTACCTTTGGCGGAAAAACCTTGCACGTTGTCTGTTGATGCTTTGGTTACATCGTGTCCAAAAGTTTATACTCGCTTGGCGACAGCGTTCGGGTAACATTCGTGAGCACGCTTAGACTCGGAAGACGAAGTGTTGCATTCTTCAGTACATCGGCCCAGTCTTCATTGCTGACAGGAACGATGGGGATTCCGCCGCTCATGTAGCAGTTGATGACAGCGCTGAATAGCGAATCGCTGTCGTACATGTATAGCGTCGCCGCTGGCTGCTTTGTGGTTGCTATTTGCATTGGTTGAAGTTAGTGAAGCGCGGCTTAGATGTGAGAGGAGGAGAAAGCCTGAGAGAAAAATACACAGGAAGGATATCCATCCGCCCCGAGGCGGATTGAACGCAAAACAACTTCGTAGCCGTGCGGACCGGTCTATGACGTTCCTCCATGTCGCAGTAAACGTCGGGTCGATAACCCCTGGACTACCTGAGACGCCTTGACTCATGAGCGCTATGCGGCAGGAGTCTAAACTTTTTTTTCAGCCAATTGCACAACATTCAAATGGCGAATTGCTGATAGCGGATGTGGAATTGGGGAATGCGACTTACAGTGTTTCCAGATTTTTGGAAGCTGTATTATCGCCTGTGGACGAAGGTTGTTGGTGACCGAATGGAAAGGGGGCTCTTGAAATTGTGGCTCGGCGAAGAGGTGAGAGTACTGGGATTGGTAGCTGGCCACAGATTGTCTGGCGAAAGGTATTTCTAGCAGAGCTTGTTTGCAGTCGTCTACCTTTGGGGTGCCGAAAATCTCTTCGCTACAAATGAGGGAGCGGACAAGCGGAAAACAGATGCTGCATAGAAATAGGATGCCTGTACTGAAGCAGGAGAACATCGTGTCCTTGGTGGAAATGGTAGGTTGGACCCATTTGACGAGCGGTGTGTATGACCGAGGGGAGGGGATTCTATATTTTCGACGGATGAAGCTTCTGGAATTGCATGTCTATGCTCACACGGAGAAGCGCAGGCCTTCAGCGTTCAACAGGGCAGATGACATCCGCAATAGGACGTGCGTCGGAAGTAGACATGCCGGCGGCTCTGCGCCTATACCGATTATTTTTCAAGGCCCAAGCGATTAGGTATGTTTCTTCAAGTGGAAGGTTACGTCTTGACATCATGATTGATCAATCTCTCTCTCTTAATCAGAACTCACCACGAGCCAGGAAACTCCCAGACAGCACAGCCAAGAAGTCCCGATGTTTATTTCCATGATCTAATTTTCAGATGCCGTGCGGATGACGCGGACCATCCACACACGATGTTGCCACAGCGAGCCTCATACTTGTCGCTGAACTATCTTCACATTTTCTGCTTAGCTTTGGGGCTCGCTCATATGTCTGTTGTGGAGGCTTTCGTATTCTGTAGCAGAGAAACTTTCGGGGTTCCCAGCTATAGAGACTGCATGGGCGCACTATCGGCAGTGCCAACGGATGACGTGGTACAATTTTTCGTCGAGCAGCAGCTCCGTACAGGATTACCAGAAGCCAATTGGGCGCGATTCGCTGATCCTCGTACCAGTGGGTCGCAGAAAGAAGTTCTGCAGGTGCCGAAATTGTGGAGTCATGGTCGGTCTAGCTGAAGCATCGTGACGAGGCCCATGACTGACGACAGCACCTAGGGCATTGCAACATTGCGTTGCTGAGTTATGTTCATGGTGAGGAGGGTGTTCAACTCTCGGCTGCGTCGTGGTCGAAAATATTCGCCGCTGGATTGCAGACGCTGATGACGTGTCTTGCTTCCAACCATCAAGGTGGTGCTGCTGTAGTCAATGGTAAGGTTGCATCTCAATATCCAATGTTCAAGACCGGGAGTGTCGCTAACAACTTGGGCATTTCAAAGGCATTCTAGGTTTTCCATCGCTTTCGGTATTCGTGTGGCAGGATGGATCGGGATTTGACCGGACGATGAATAACTACATGAGCGCGCCATTTCCGGCATGGATCGATCCAAGTAATCCAGCGACTCTGCAAAGCAATGTCTCTTTCTTGGGCAATTTGACGACGACGGGAATCTTGCTCAGGGCGCATGCATCAATGTCATAGTGCTACCTTCTTTCGCTTGTGATATTTGTAGCCATGTCACAAGATGTGTCATAGGCAGGCAGCATGAATAGGAAGTGTGAATTTGGGGATAGATTGCCCTTGCCTCGTTTCGATTCTGGTACAGAGCAACCTTCCTGGTTGATCTGAAAGGTAGTCAACACACCTGGCTCGGAGCATTGTCTTTTAGATAGTAGTAATTGCGAGAGTCCAACTTTATGTGGACAGAGGATGTATGCATTGTCACTTCTTGGTACAATTGTCCCTTTGGCCTCGCGTACCACTTTCACGCTGATGGTGGATGGTACTTTGTATTTGAGAAGATTGAGATCCTCGCGAAAGATAAAGAGGCACGCGCGACCAAATCCGGACTAGCGCTGTACTGCCAAAATTGAACATGGTTCCCCGCTTTTCAGAAAATAAGAAGCACCGCAACACCATTGTACCAGCGCCACTAGGAATCGAACCTGATCCGAACTGAATACCACCAACAACATGTTTCATCTTCCTTCTTTCCTGGTCCGAAATATTATACAAGTAAATAAATGTCACTGCTCATCAACACTGCAACCAGACGACTACTAAAGTAAGACCCGCGCCTGCACTCTCATGGTCTAAAATCTGACGTTGAGACTGGTGAAACGCCGTCATCACCATCATCGTGTCCCAGTGAAAGACTTCAATGGCGCAGACCAAGCATGATTGGCCTGATATATAAGTCTCGGAGGTCTGTTTGGGGGTGGGGATGACTGGATTGTCATTGTCACACGTAATGAGTGGCCCCGATCACCAAGGGATCAGCTAAAGGATGTGCCGTGCGGCGGGCAGAAACCTCATCCTTACTCTTAAATCAAGCATGCCGGTTGGAAAGATAGACTGTGCACCACTCTGCGGCACAGCGTTTCGCCAAACCACACAACACCTCCTCCTCGTTGGGGACGGTTTGCGGGCCTTGCCACACCCGAATTATATGCAGGTCTGCCATCCCATTCGATCTCAGAGCGCAGAGGTTTCGGGAGATCTCCTTCATCCTTGACCTCAACGCAGGAGACTTGGAAATGGACGCGCGGCAGGATTTTCTCGTGTCTTGATAACATGGCTACTTGGTCGTGGGAACCGTCTCCATTCATCCGGCAGACTCAAACCTAATCAATCGAGAACGTCTATAGGGTAATCGTCCCGACTGCTGAGCCATTCCCAGATCCGCTCTTCCGTATCGGAGGCCCTAATTGAGGACCACTTGGAGTCTGAACTGTCCGGAAGACCTTTTGAGATGATGGCGCACCGGAATGCCCAGCGTGAGGGAATGAAGTGCACAATTTGTATCGGAGCGCGTAGGGTAATCGAGCATCACCTCATTGCCCGCATAGTTTTCTACCCCAGGTTGCAGTATCTCACACCGATGTGTCTACCGTCGGCTCCTAGATTCACATATCGCATGACTTGGAGAGACTTTCAGCTTTCCCGTCTTCTACTCTCGTTACGGGATAGAGGGGCTGAAAACCCGGTGCCCGTGACGCACGTGACTCATTCCAGTAATCATTCAACTTTAACAGCGCCGTTTCATACGAACATCTCAGGAGCCAAATGACACTGTTCGTCGGCTTCCATTACCACCTCCTTCTGGTACTCGTACACATGTCCGCTAGGACCGGCACATACGCCGCCCACGTTCTTTCTTCCACCAGCAAAATTGGAATCTTCGTCGGCTTCGTTCGCCATTGCCTAATTCTTTTGAGACAGCTCTGGCATAGGAACCGTATGTCACATCGCTTCTCTTGAGCAGTGTTTCGATTTTGTGTGCCACACCAGTACATCGAAGATCAATATGAATTTCCCCTCAACGACGGGTGGAAACACCTTCTGCGTCACTGACCATGGTGTACCATGATATATTTGCTGTTGGTTCTGCGGAAAAGGTGTATATATGGCCTCGGATGTCTTTTTCATAGACCATCATCGACATTGCCCTTCGATGGATCTCAAGTCTCCAATATGTTCCTCATCATGTCTCCAACTTTTGTCGCTTCCATACTTTATCTCTCCGCGCTCGCAACCGCTCTTCCAAAGGCTACGCCGGTGATTGAAGATCGACAAACTCCAACATCCGACAACATTCTCCAGGCTCGACAAACACCATTCAGTCCGGCCCAGCAAGCATCCGCAGTAGCACAGTGCAAAAGTGGGGACCTCAACATCCCTACCGTCACGGATTGGATAAATCTTCAGATCGACGACTGGTTCGATATCTTCTGGACTGACGTGCCAGCAATATACTACAACAATCATGTTACACCTCCCACTGTTCCGTATGTGATATCCGAAATATATCAACGGGATGGCATCACGTGCACAATAGCCGACTGTAAAGAGCCATCCACCCTCACCCAGTCGGAGTCATTGTGCTTACAACGTGTAGCTTGCATCACTGTCTCTCTCCAGTGCTCCGATTGGCTGACACCAGCGCCTAATGGATCGTTCGATGCCGTCCGTGCTTACGTGTTTTATAATGGCTGGAGGGCCCTTGCAGGTTTGTGAGATCCCTCCTCGATGACCGCCCGCCCTTCCAGCTTACATCATGTTCAGAGTTGTTTTACCAGATGAATGTAGCAACGGCTTCTTCCGAAGTCAATCAGATTAGTGTTGCAAGCGTCATTGGATCGGTATATCATTCTACCCCCTACTAATGTAAGCATCTCTCACTGAACACCCATCGGGTAGACCTTTGGCAACGATACCTCTTCTGGCGGTCCATCGTGGGACAAGACCACATCTGCTGGTACCCCGGCAATTGGAGGTGTATCTGCCATTCTTGGAGCTCTGTCAGTGAGTCAGGATTTCACTCTATCCCTCGAGCGCTTGGTAAGCTTTGGTGGCTCAACATGTGCTAGTTCGGCACTGCTTCCTCCGCGACCGGTGTAATTGGCAGTCTCCTGAGTGGGATTGTAGGCGGCATCAGTCTTGGAGACGCAGCCCCTGCAGACCCCCGGATTGACAGCATAAATGATTTGGAAGGTTCAATGGAGACTCTGTACTGGTCACTCAACAATGGACTAGCCGTTACCTATCAAACCGTCCTGCTCTGGAACAATGGCAGTGGAGGTGGTTTCCCCCAAGTCCAGGATCTCCTCAAGGGAGGCGCCTTCGTTGATGAGGGGGTCGGCCAAAGTAGCCTTCTTTCTTCGATCGAAGACCAGACATTCTATGACAATATGCGCGATGGTTCGGCCCGTATCTTTGGCTGGACGGCTATCAATACGGTGTGGAGAGATGCAGATGTATTCATTGTGTACCTGCCTTATAACGCTCACATTCCGCCGTATACCAATTTTCAAGTACGCTATTCCCATCTCTCTAACGTGAAGGCATTCGCTGTGATGATTCAGCTATCGATCCTGACTGACTTTTTCTCCCACCACTGTAGCAATCAGACTGCCAAGCTCTCTTGACGTCCCATACTTGGGCAACTCCCACGCTGTGTGAAGGCGACGGCATGACCATTCTGGTCGGCGACGCTTCAAACCCTAGCATCGGCCCTGGCGTCGCTCCCCATGGATACAGCAGCACAATCGATATCGCCGGGGTCCCCTTTGACTACCATAACGTTATGGCATCCAGTGTGGGTGCTTGGCAGCACACGGGTTTCAACGCTAATATCTCGAATCCGCTCGTCGCGGGCTTGCAGACAGGGAACATTGATGTGTCTGATTTGGGCGATGTGCAGAGTCTTGGAGATCTGCCGATGACTACTGAAGGGTACGTACATTACTTCTCTGATCAACGAACCTGCAGACATTCTTCCTTCCACCAAGTGCTCTTTCTTCTTCCCTTCCTAGCCCTATCTTATGCGCCCCATCCTCTCCTAAATACTTGCCTGAGCCTTACCTACACCCCGAAGAAGCAACATCCACACTGCTAACTCCCAACTCTCCTCTACTAGCGTCTTCAACCTCCCCGTCTGCCAACTTTTCGACTTCAACAGCGTCTACGGCTTCTACCCGCCCAATGAACAAACCAATCCGCAATTTTGGTGCGGATGTCTATACGCGAGTGCCAATTCGCCAGCGGCACCGTCGCAACTTTTCAGTGATCACATCTCCAGTGGGCTCACTGCGGCGGTTAAGAGTGCGAACCCTTGTTGTGTGTTCGATGGGACGGATTATCCGAGTGGGTGCGGGGAGTCACCATCATAAGGGTACTGTCAGGGAATCAAAGCGAGGGAGACGGACCATGCTGGCCATGCGTTTACGAAGTGCTTGAAGGTAAATATTATCTGATTTCATTGGCTTCTTGGTTCGAGGTCTCTGCATGTCATGCTCGGTACATATGATGGTCCTTGTGAATTGTTTCCTTTACTCTATACACATCTCTTCATACTGACATGTCCACTTCACCGTACTGTTTCGATAGAATTGTGGCTACCCTACATTACCTCCCTGGACGTAAAATGCCGGAAGCCAAGTGTCCCACCGACATGAACGGTCAAGCCTAGATCTAATCAGTTCCTTCCGCAACCTGCTTACAACTTGATTTCGTAGATTTTCGTACCTGTGTTTCATCGTGTAGCTTCTGACGATGACGAGTAGATTGGATAGCAGTGTGGGAAGGCAGGACGTGGCACGCTTAGACATACTCTCTACCCTGCCTTGTGGAGATAATCAGAGAGGCAAGCTGAGCGGGAAGACTACAACACCTTTCAATCAGATTGACGATGCCAAGAGCCAAGCAAATAAAATTTATCTGATAGAATGTTTTGGGTTTAGCGCGAGCTCTTGATACTCTACCACGATGTGAGTCCTTTAGGGATGGGCCAATACGCATCCATTTAACCTACAACAGTGTGTTGTACTGCATTATATCTCCTGCCCTCAAATCCATATACAAAGGGTGACACTCGCTAGTGGGGGCTACGTGGCGGCCGATGTGGCAGCTGATGTAAGAACCGTGGCTGCTGATTAAATCTCTTGCAGCCTTGCATCTGTGCCATTTTTCGGTGATCAAGTAGAGGGCCAATGGACAGCGGGCTGACATAGACATCCAGCGCCTATCACTCCTTCCGTGAGCTTAGTTGCATACGATGCCAAGCCGAACACGCACCTGTTCAGGCTTAGTGCTCCGGTAGCATCTAGCCGAGAGCGCCCGCCAACGACAAGTAACCGTGCGAGGTGGCGGCAACGTGATGCCTTGCATTCGACTACTCCCCTTGAGAAACAACTGAAAGGAACTTCTCGGTACTGTTGAGCCAATCTCAAGGATGTTGTCTTCAAAGTATTTGGGGAAGAAAAGAAAAAGAAAAACAGCTGTGGCCACAGCAGGGTCAGTTGCTCTGCGATCCGATTGAGCGTCCTATCGAGCATTAAAGACGGACGCTGTCGCTGATTTTCCCCGTGATTAATATGCCAGCTGATGCGCAACGTCTACGGCACAAGCTCTGCTTAAGCCATTCAGGGGAACAAGCCCTTTTGACACCAAGCTCTATTCCCCTTGACCTTTGAATTCTGATATATCCGCTCACACATGCAGACTTAACGCTATCTGTCTCATACGTGATGCCGTCACCCAGCAGAACCAATGGTGGTGCAGCTGCAGGGTCAGCTGAAGGATCGGGCCCGAAGAAATGGCAATTCGTCAACGTCAGCGAGCCGAAGAAGAACCAAGACAAGGATGTCATAAGTATAGTACGCGCTCATGCTATGCGTAATGTACGCCGGAATCAGCGATTGGAGCTCATGGCCCAGTATCAGAAGAGGCTAAAAACCAAGGCCCCAAAATCGGAACATGCGGATTCAAGCGTGACAGCTGAGCACTCTCTACAAATGAATCCAAATGGTTGGTTTACGGGTGATAAGGCAGATGCCGACGGGCCGGTGGCACTGCACGAGATGCTCTCTAAGCTTGGGTTCATCAATATGGGTCATCTAGCGAGCAGAAATGAGGCTGAACCTGCGGCTGAATGTGATGAGCAAGCACAACGTTCAGACTATTGGCCGAGCTACGGCGAAGAGGAGACGCGAGCTCTCATGCGCCCTATGCCCGGGACATGCCGTACTGGATCCCCAAAGTCGTTGGTTGGAGACGGGGTGTTTGATCCGTTCAATGCTATGCCGATTGCTAGCTGCAACAACTACAATGGCTACATTTTAAATCACTGTTAGTGTCTCTTCCGCATCTCTTTCCTATTTTTTCATGGACACTATGAAACGTGTATTCCTATTTACTAATCTCTTCTATCCATAGTCGCTTCGGTTATAGCTCTCAGCTGCCTACCAGTTGACCAGGGTAAGGGTCAGAACCCTCTCACGAAGATCTGGCTTCCCTATGCTTTGCAAGACTCCACCCTTCTTCTCGCCACTCTCACATTCGCACAAGCACATCTAGAAATTCTGTCTGGTGATTGTAAAAGTCAAAGAACTCTTCTTCGCAAAGGCGACTCAATCAAGGCTGTCAACGCGAAGTTGGGGGACCGTGAGCATGCATTGTCCAATGAGACTATTGGATCGGTGGCGATGCTTGCCGCAATGGAAGTATGTCAAGAGACTCGTCTGCTTGCATGTTCTGGTACAGTCGAAAATTCAGTCTGACTGACGTGAAACTTCATAGAGCATCCTCGGCAATTACAAGGAATTCCAAATCCATATGAATGGTCTACAAAGGATTGTGTACATGCGCGGTGGACTGCAAAGCTTAGGATGGGACGGCGTTCTTCATATGTTCATTGCATGGTATTTCACCCCCCTTTTTCTGGCCAAGCGTGGAAACAGGCTGGACCCGTCGGAACAAAGACATTGACTAGCTATTTAGGCAAGACCTGCTATCTTCCGCAATGATGGCTTCAGCTCTACCATACGAACAAACGCCCTGCTGTCTTCTCATTCGAGGCGATCTGCCCTACTCCAATCCGATCTTCCCCGAATTTGGCCTCTCGACGGAGCTTTGTGGCGAGATCGCCGCTGCGTTCCAAAACATGCGCTACCTCTCTCGAAAGATTAACAACTGGGATACAACCCAGACCACTCGGGACATCATGTCCTTCAGCAAGATGCGTACGAACATCGTCGACAAATTGCTGTCATTCGCGAACCGAAAGCCAGCGGCAGAAATGACCAACCTCGACTACCACATCGAAACATGTCGTCTCGCCGCTCTGATCTACATCAAAGTCGCTCTCCACATGTACTTCCCCCTCTGCGCCATCATCCGAAGCCTAAAAGCCCAGCTCATGAACACCATCAAACAAGGCGAAGCCAACCACACCATCGGCCTCGGCGCTCGCCCACCACCGGGCTCCATCACATGGGCCCTCTTCATCTGCGGCAGTCTCCCCCTCGACAAGGACGAAGAAGAGTGGTTCGCCGTCCGCATAGCCAGAGGGATCAGGCCGTCCGGTGTCGAGACGTGGGCTGAGATGGAAGAGCACTTGGGACGGATTTGCTGGCTCCCCAAGCGGAACACGCCTACTTGTAGGAGTCTGTGGCGGAGGGTGGGGAGTCTCCATGCAGAGTACTGGGCTGCTCAGGTGCGTGTGGTGGCGTCGGATGGGAATAGGAGTGGACTGTATTATTGGTATCCTCGTTCTGAAGAGGAGTTCTCGCGCCGTCAGGGATCGTCTAACGAAACGATGTCGGGTCAGCGAGAATGCATCGGATGAGGTGTCGAGAAGACAGGAGCTACTGCACACGACGTATAACATTCCAGCTTCTCCGCATCTACCAGAGGTGTAGAATTAGTGAGTCAGCGATGATTGTTCTGGGAGGGTTATCGATGGTTATATTTTTGGCTCCATCCTTATGCCTTTGATACGTCCCCCTCTGCCGCTTTAGCATACTCCCATTGGAAACCCATTTCCCACCAATCAAACCAACAAAACCTGCATTTGCGCAACTCACTCCACGTCAGACGGTCTGATCCGCTGACAAAGCCGCACCTGCTTGCTTACTCAGGCACACGTGCAGTCGACTACCTTGGAGCATCGATCGTGATGCTACGGATCGTACCTCGACCCCGACTCTTATCTCGGCTGATCATCCCGTTCACCACCACCCCAGCCCGATTAGTGAACTGATGACGGTGGTATCATGGTTGCGGGGCGCGGTGTCGGGTACGGTGGATATGGCATAGGCGGACGGTACAGTAGTATGAATGCTCGGGTTCTGCGAGTGTGGATGGATGCTGTGGTGGGGTGTAGGAAAATTGGGTGAGTGAGTGAGTGAGGTGGTGAGGGCTGGTGGGCGGGTGGTATGAGGAGGAGGTTCGGAAGGGGGGAGGGGTTTGGTGTGAGGATGTGGGCATGGTTCGTGGTGGGAGGTGTAGGGAGGAGGGTTTCGGCGTTTGCGTGGGTGTTGTTGACGTGGTTGGGGGGTCCTTTGGGGATTCGGGAAGGGGGTGAGGACTTTCGGGGATATCGATGTGGTCGTGTCTGGAGGATTCATGATTGAGTGAAGTGGAGGAGGGTTGCGAAGGCTGAAGGTGGGGAAGTCGAGGGTGATGAGATTAGGCTGTTGGATTGGTGGGACTGGGGGGTTGAGAGGGTGAGTATGCCAGAGGGTAAACATCAGCGTTCGAAGAGTGAGTTGTGCGTACTTCGTGATTGACTGAGGAGTTCTCTGCATCGGCGCCACGAGAAATCACTCGCTGGCAATATCACAAATTTTCTGCCCCTCTTTCGCATTACTCAGGTCCATGAACGCCTTCTCGAACGCAGTCATGATCTCTTGGACGACCCCGGTTTCAACGCTCCTGTCGTGATAAGCCATCGCACTCACCCCCTGCTTGTCAATCTCACATTCCAACATCAGCGGGTGCCAGATGCGGTAGAATTGTTGCTCCAACGGTGCCGGCAACTCATTCTCCTCGGTCCTCTCTTTTTCCTCCGCCTCTATATCCTTCGCCTGGATGTTGAGCCATACATAATTCGAAATCGCTGTCGCCGCCTCAGGACTCAAGGTCTTAATCTCAAGCCAGCCGATGGCTTCGTATTTGGTGGATTCCCAGATGTCACGCTGGAAATTACGAACGAAATCGTGAGTAAGGGCGGCCTCATCAATGTGCACGGGCCACGGTGGCTGGTTGATCAGAGCTCCGATGTAGTTCTCGATACCTTCAACTGGGAGGGTGCGACCTGAGCGCATGATCCCGAGAGCTATGTCAGCCGCTTCGAAATGCCGTGATAGCGCGAGTACCCACGCCACCGAGATTATATCTGGGATGGTGAATGCTGAGCCTTTGGCTGCGCCGGTTGAGGCGAAGTTGATCCGGAGAGGTAACTTCTGGTCTGCTTCCCAGTACCGTCCATTTGGTGATTGGAATAGAGGCTTGAATGTGACGCCGGCGTAGTGAGAGCGCCAATAGTCGTATATGGCTGTGCGGTCGAGGGTTTGGAAATGTTGAACGAGCTGTTTCGGGTTAGGCTCCTCTGCGATAGTGAAGTTGGAGTCGGTATAGGCGCGGCGTAGCTTCGCGTTGATCAAGCCGAGGGACCATCCGTCGTAGATTATGTGATGGGCTGTCCAGACGAAACATGTCTTGTGTTCATCGTTGGGGTCTTTGATGAGACAATATGCGCTCAGCGCATTTCCGAAACCGACGATAGCTTTCTTTTCTTCTACGATGAAAGCGTCAAGGTCTGTGGCTGTCCGGATGTTAGGAGTTGCGGTCGTGACGACGGAGTACATGCCCACTGCCGTTTTAATTACGCGAGTACGCAGTATATCATGCGATGTGATGATGCGTTTCCAGCAGTCCAGATATCGTTCCAGATCAGTTCCTGGTGGGAGGGGGAATGTTATCGCGGCTCTGAGTTCGGGAGCGGTCATGTATGTTTCATTTTGTTGCGGTAGGGGGTAGATGTCTTGGATCACGTCGAGGGTGACGCTACATTGTGTGGCTGCTTCTGTTTGGAGATCCATGATCGAAGAAACTTCCTCTTGGAGTAGAGTATAGGGTTCAGGCATCCATTCCTTTTGAACTGCGCTGACACTCGGCTGGACTGCAGCAGCGAGTTCGGCAATTGTGGGGTGTTCGAAAAGCATATGCACGGTCAGGAAAAGCCCTGCACGGCGAGCAATCGCTACCAGGCGGATTGCAGTTACAGAATCACCGCCAAGTTGGAAGAAGTGGTCCTCGAGGCCTATGCGAGATGGTGCCATTCTGAACGCTTCTGTCCAGATTTGTTGAAGCCGTTCCTCCGTATCTGTCATTGGTGGATGTTGCGACTCATAAGCACGGTCTGCAATCACACCTTTGGTTGGCGGAGAAAAGGACGTTATGAATATCTGGCGGAGTCCTGCCCTGTCAATCTTAGAAGAGTCAAGGTGTGGCATTGTATAGATAATTTATTTAGCTATTATCTAAGCTCTAATAGAATATAGTATATCTATATTATATTCTAAATAGCATTAGAAGTAGCTATATATTTAATCTTATATATTAATTATACTATAGTCTTCTACTTAATAAATCTTTAATTAATTAATCTATTATTTAATATTATAATTATTCTAGTCGTTAATTATATTATAGATATCTTATCGACTTAATTAATATCTAAATAGTCGAATAGTTATAGTATTACTATTTTTATAATCTTAAAGACTATTTTACGTATTCTAGTCTTAGCTAAGTATTATAATATCTTTTTATATACTTACTAATATTAATAGTTTAAATTAAAAGAGAATATAGCTAGTTTATTAATAGTAAATACTAAATTCGATTATATCTAAGTAATTAGATAATTAATTTTCTTTAAGCTACTCTTAAATACGATAACGTTCGCTAGATTAGTTATATATATATTAGATATAGAGATAAGATAGTTATTTACATTTAATTCTATTAAGATAGATAAGATATAATACTTTTTTATATTATAGATTATGAGAATCTTATTAATAAATATAGATTAACTTATTTTAAATATTTTTATTAAGCGATTTCTTTCGATCTTTATACCTAGATAATATATATATAAATCGAGATTTACGATATTAAATTATTCGTATAAAAGTCTCTTAGTCTAGTCAATTAATAATTAATTATTAATGATTTTAATATTATTAATATAGACGGCTAGAAAGATAATTTCTTCGTTTAATTAATAGAGAAATAGATATAAGTCGAATTATAAGTATATAAATTCAATTTTAAATAGAAACTCTATTAGCGTCTCGTATTACTTACGACTAGACTATTTTAGCTCGTATAATACTCTAAGTAATAAATAAACTCGATCTTAATCTAATTCGATAAAGCCTTTTAACTATTTTATATAGATCTTATACTTAAGTTTTATATATAGAAATACTATTATAATATTAACTAAATCTACTTTCTAGTCGTAGTATATAGCTAAGACTAAGAGAATCTTTTATATAATTAGCTTAATAATATCTAAAAAGGTTTTATTATAGTCGATATCTTCTTATTAAAGAAAGTCTTTAATAATATATCTAATCTTATAGCGTAGAATTTCGTTATTTACCTCTAGCTTCTTCTTATAAATCTATCTTTTCTTAAGAATAGTATAATATATTAATTTTAATACTAGCTTTTATATCTTTATTTTTTATAATAAGTTTTATTACTTTTATATAGCGATTATTTATTAAAATACTTTAGAGCCGTTAATTACTTCTTTATAAATATAAGACTTAGTATCGAGTATAAGCGATATAGCCCGTACTAATTTAATAAATTCCTTCTTTAAAATATCGAAATTAATTTATTTATTATTTTAAATAGTATTATAATTTTTTAATTTATTCTTAATACGCTCTAAGCGTTTTAATAAATTAGATATAAGAAAATTTAATATATTAGAAATAATATTCTTCTAATTACTTAATTTAAATAAATTTCGAAATAAAGTTAGCTTTAGAATTTTCTAGGTCTATAGACGGATTTTAGGCTGTGGTCTTAGAGTCTTCTCTAGATATATTTATTATCGTTTTACTATTTATAACTAATAAAGAAGAAGCTTCTAGAAATAGTAAAATTCTTCTAGCGATGGTAATAATATTTATAACGTTTTTATCCTCTAATATCTTACTTAGTGTTACGATTCTATATCAAATCATTACTTAGTAAGCGGAGAACACCACTACAATAGCCTATCATCTCCACTATATTAAGAAGTAAGAGGAGGAACTACAATAGGCAAATATGGAGAACCACTACGGAGAACACTATGGAGAATACTACGGAGAAACCAAGCGGTAACAAAGCCACCATCGTCAAGAACACGGCTCAGCTCTCCAAGATCCCACGTCATATGCTCTCCACGATTTCATATCAAATCATCATCTCCAGACGGAGAACACCACTGCAACTTGGCTTATCATCCCTACTGCATTAAGAAGCAAGAGGAGAAACTACAACAGGCAAATGCGGGAGAACACTGCGGAGAACACTACGGAGAATACTACGGAGAAACCAAGCGGTAATAAGGCCACCATCGTCAAGAACACGGCTCAGCTCTCTAAGATCCCACGTTATATTAGTTATTTACTCAGTCAACTACTCAGCTAGCTATTTAGTCTGATACTCTACAAGAGGAGGAGCAAGAGAAAAACTATAATAGGCAAATGCGGAGAACACTGCGGAGAAACCAAGCGGTAACAAAGCTATCATCGTTAAAAACATAGCTCAGCTCTCCAAGATCCCACGTTATATGCTCTCCACGATTCCACATCAAATTATCACTTAGCAAGCGGAGAACACCACTGCAACTTAGCTTATCATCCCCACTCACTTTAAGGAGTAAGAGGAGGAACTACAATAACGTTATAAGAGGAGGATCTACTACAACAATTATAGCCAATTAGGCTTCTGCAGAAGAAACATCGAACGATATATATTTAAACGAATTGAAATCGTTCGATGTCTTACTCTAACAGCTATTTTATTATTCGAAAGATTTCACTACGGCAGGAGATAATATGGGATTCACACCACTAATTAGTATATTATCTCTATTTCTTTCCAATATTTCGATACTTCTTATTATAAGAACATAGCCTTTCTCTATTTCAATCCTCTACACTTAATATACCTTTCTAATTAGGCCTTAGCGCGCCTCTCTTCACACATATATACCTATATACTATATAGATTAAATCAATTTTATAATAGTGAAAGTAGGTCAAAAGACGACAGCTAGCAATTAGAGTTCGATTTAACTTAGGGCTAGGGCTAAAATTTCATTTAACTTAGAAAAATCCAACTCCATGAATTTAATTCATGGGCCTTTACTTATACTATTTATAATTAGACTATTTTAATTTATATAATATTCTAAATAGTAAATAAACTCGATCTTAATCTAATTCGATAAAGCCTTCTAGCTATTTTATATAAATCTTATACTTAAGTTCTATATATAGAAATACTATTATAATATCGATTAGATTTACTTTCTAATTATAGTATATAGCTAGAGCTAAGAGAATCTTTTATATAATTAACTTAATAATATTTAAAAAGATTTCGTTATAGTCGATATCTTCTTATTAAAAAAAACTCTTGATAATGTATTTAACTTTATAGCGTAGAATTTCATTATCTACTCTTAGCTTCTTCTTATAAACTTATCTTCTCTTAAAGATAATACGATATACTAATCTTAATACTAGCTTTTATATCTTTATCTTCTATAGTAAATTTTATTATTTCTATATAGCGATTATTTATTAGGATACTTTAAATTTATTAATTATTTCTTTATAAGTATAAGGCTTAGCATTGAATATAAGTGATATAGCCTACGTGTTAATTTAATAATAATCTTCTTTACGACATCGAAGTTAGTCTATTTATCGTCTTAAATAATATAATAGTTCTTTGATTTATTCTTAATTCGCTGTAAGCGTCTTAGTAAAGCAATAGTAGTAGCCTCCTTTAAAGCGGAATAATGTTAATTCGCTATCAAAGAGGTCTGTGTGGATGCTATCAAAAGCATTTTCTATATTAGTCATTAATTTATAACCTAGAGTCTTCTTCTATTTCCCATAGGTGCATAGCTCATAAAACTGTCTTTTGATATTGTTTATGATTTTTATTTCCTCTATCATAGTCGATAGCCTAGTAACATTATCGAAATTTAAATAATTTAATGCTTAATGCTATTTAATAGCTATTATCTTTCGATAGTTAGCTTTCTTAATAATCGCGGCCATAGCGATCTCTTTAGTTATTATAGCTTTAAATAATATAAGTCTTAACTTATAAAGTGTATTTATTAATTCTCTCTTAAGGACGATATCGTTATTATTATTATAGACTCTTAAATAATCCTCCTTTTCAATATAAATAAGATTATTATATTAAAATATATCTAGAAATAATAGATTTATAAATAAACCTTCGAAAGTATTATTTAACTATTATAAATATATTTTATACTCTTATATACTTCGTAATAGTCTCCGCCGCTATTATTAGATTTAAAAAAGCGGTTAAATATATTAACTTCGTTTTTAAGATTATTAAAAAGATCTTTAACGTAGTTAATAAGGCTAATAAGGCCCTTAAGACTAAAAAGACTCTTAAGACTATTAAGGCTAAAATACTCTCCCTCTCGTAAGAATATTCTTATATATACTAATATTATCGAGTATTATAAGCTTAAATTAGATAAATAAAACGCCTTTACTTATTATTAAAGTAGATCTTTAAGAATTAATAGCTTAGCTATTTAAGGTTTAAGAGAAGCGAAATAATCGCTATTCTTATAAGAGTCGGATTTATAAGTTATATCGCTATTATCGCCATTATAGTCGTAGTTATTATTATCGTTACTCGAATATATTAAATTCGAACTTATTTGACTCTAAGTCGAATTAGAAGAAAAGAAGAGAAATCCCCTTTCGTTATATGAAAGATAAGAAGCCCTTTCTTAGTATTACTAAAAGATTTCAAAGTATAAATATTAAGTACTTTAAATAAATCTTCTTTAAGATCTTTAAGACTAAAAATTTCGCTAAACTAGTCTATATATATACTATCTCGATTAAGAAGAATAAGAATATTAATAACTATAATTATATAATATATTATTTTTATATATACTCGATAGTCGCTAGTCGCTTTATATACGTTAGCGTAAAGAAAGACTTAAATAAAACTTTATATACGTATACTATTCGCTTACTACGGCTATTTATTATCTATAGATTTAACTTTATTCTCGCTTATTATCTCGTCTTTATTACTATATATATTTAGAATAATTAAGATAATTTTAAGATTTAAAAAGCGAACGATTAGAGCTATAGAGATTTTCTTATATTTAAAGAAACTTATATAAGTAATAGTAAGTTAAATATCGCTATGTCTAGCCTTAGTAAGCCTATTATTATTAAAGAAATTAAAATTTATAAGAATTTTAATAGAGGTAGCTATTTTCGCGAGCGCTATATCTATTTATATATCTATATAATCTATTAGTAAAATTATTTAATAGATAAGTACCTTAAGGTCTTAAATCTAGCTATAAGTAGCTTTAATTATTTATTATTAGATAATTATATTATTAAGATAGAATAATTCTTAGAATACTTATAGATACTATAGTCGCTATAGTATATATCTAAGAAGTTCTTATACGCGCTATATAATCTACTAAACTCGAATTTACTTTATTAGAGATCGTTAATAGTTAATAATTAATTTAAATAATTAAACGATTACTTAAATCTAATATTTACTAAGACTATTTTAACTATTCTTCGAAAAGACGCTAAGATAGATTTTCGAGACTATATCTTAGTTTATTATAATTAAAATTATCTATTAATACGTTAAATATTCTAAATACTATCGATAAATCTTTAAAAATAGCTTTAATAATATCGTCTAATCGAGGTTAACTCTTAATATAAACTCTATTACGTCTATTCGCTACTCGATTTAATATCGAAATATAATAAAGATTAAAGACGAATTTATAATCTCTTATTTCTATACGACTATTTAGTTAATAACGATATTTAGACGAAGTAGAGCGTATTAAAATATATTATATATGATAACGTAGTAGTAATATTATTATAGAAAGGCTTAAGAATCTAATTCGTTAAAAGAGATCTTAAAGACGCTTTCAGATATATATTCGTCGCTATATCGAATTAATAACTACTTAATTTTAATTACGATAAACGCTATTAAAAAGAATAATATCTATTATTCGAACTACGTATATTATTATTTCTATTTAATCTCTTTATAAAGATCTTTATTTAAATTTTAATCGCGATTCTTCTATAGAAAGTAATACTTTACTATCTAAACGATTTCTTTATAATTCTTTTATTAGATAATAACGTAATTATATATATCTAATAATTTAACTAGCTATATAGCGAATTAGATCTTTAAATTAATTATATAAAGAATATTATAGATTTTATAGTCGAGTTTCTAGAAATCGAATTCGATAGTATTTATATATAGGCGAGATTTCTCTCGAATAAGCTAGCTAAAGCGAGAATTATAGTTAAAAACCTTCTAAAAAGAGTAATTATCTTATATTAGAAGCTCGAGTTAGCGATTAACTTTCTCTCTTTCGCTATTAAAGTCGTAATTTTAGAAAGAGTATTCTTAAGACGACTTTTTAATATCCTTTAAAGGTCTATAATAATTATATGAATTATAGACGATATAAGAGTAGACTTACTATAGTAAAATATCTTTTTAAAGTACTAGAATAGCGTCGCCTTAATATATTACGTCGATAGTCGAGTTATATAATATATATAAATCGATATATCTAGAAAATTCGATATAGAAGGCTATATTCTCGACTATCTCGATTATATTTAATCGATTTAACTTAAAGACGTTTTTAGTATTAAAATAGTTATATATTATTATTTTAAAGATATATAATTTAAAGAAATAAAGGTCGTTTATTACGCGATAAAGCTATAACTATATTAGTTACGAGAATCTCGCTTAATTCTCTACTACGATAATAATATATACGTTAATAAATTATATAAATCCTTTATATACGAGTTAGCTATAATCTTATTACGCGATATAGCTATATTAATAGCTACTTACAATATTATAATAATATCTATTTAGATATCTACGAAGGTTAACTAGCTAGTTAATAATCTATTATATTTTTAATATTAAAAAATCGCTAACATATATCTATAGCTAAAAGGTCTTATATCTCCGCTAAAATAGGGCGGGATTTATTAGAATATTAATATAATTAGATTATACTATCTTAAGAGACCATACGACTTCTCTAATAAAGGCTTACTATTAAAATTAAAAAGATATATATAACTTTAGTAAGATCTTATACGATCTATTACGCATTTATAGAGATTTAATCTCTTTTCTTAATAACTATAAATACTCTTACGAGCTAAATTATTAATCTAAGTACTCGCCGCGTTAAATCGAAGTCTATAAAGATATATCTTATTAGCCTTAGATTAGTCTATATAAATATAAGATTCGATAATCTCTTAGTATTTTATTACTCTTAGTTATAACGTATTATTATAAATAATCGATATCTTTATAGCGAAGTTAATATAAAAGAAAGGCGTTTAATTACTAAGAATCTATTACTTTAAATTCTTTCTTATTTCGATAAGTTAATTTATACTAAGGCGACTCTATATATCTTCTTTTATCTCGTCTTCGCGGTATTTCTACGCGTAAATAAGTTTATTTATAATAAGCGAGATCTTTAATAGAAGAACTTCGGCGAATAGTTTCTTATACGTCGCTCGATAAGACTATTCGATAATTATCTAAAACTTACGCTTTTAGCGTCTAAAATAAATCTATTTCGTCGTGAAATTATATTTACGATAGTTATATTAGACGATAACGTATATATAGTTAAAGTCTTACGTTATCTCTTTAAATAGAAAGACTTTATTTAATATATCGCTATTTTAATTAAGAGGCTTCTTCTTTACTAAAGAAATCGTTATTAATAATCTTCGCGAGATACTAATATTACTTAATATTAAGAGCTATTATTTAAGCTACTTCTTTTATAGAGAGGTTATAATATTAGTATATAACGCCGACCTTAGTAATAATGAGATTTAATTACTAGATCGTTAAAAGTTAGATTTCTATCGTCTATATATTATTACTTATTTAGTTTATATACTTAAAGTATTACTACGATATTAGTATCTTTTAGCCCGTTCGCGCTAGTACTATTAATCTCTACTACTTACTATAATAGATATTATTAGAAGTTCTTCTTAAGACCTTTACTCTCTTTAAACGACGTCTTAGATTTTAAGAGTTTTCTAGCGCTAAGAGATCTTTTTTAAATCATTTATATATCTAAAAAGATCTTAATTATTCTAATATTAAATATATCTAATTATCTATCTATATATCTATTTATATATACGTTATTTTATATATAATCTTACTATTTACGAGTATTAATCGTAATAGTAGAATTATAAATTAATAAATTTATTATAAGATAGCCCATCCTGTCAGCGAGGCTCTTGACCGCACATCGTTTGTAAGGAGAAGTTTCATCAACTCACCTTCGGAATGCCTGTGCTACCAGATGTAAAAAGGATATAAGCCAGATTATTTGGCCTCACATCCACCCGGAGAGGCTCACGTTTGGCCGCCCCAATCTCGTCACAGCAAGTTTGCCCTACTACAATAACATGTTCGCTCATATTAGCAAATACTGCCGCTTGCTGAGTGGATGTGAGGATGACGGAGGGCCTGATCAGGGAGAGGATGGTCTTGACCCTCTGCACAGGGGAACAGGGAATGGGCACGAAAGCCGCGCCAGCTTTCAAGACCGCAAGCATGGCAACGACGGTCCACATAGACTTTTCGAAGCATACTGGGATGATGTCCTCTGGCTTGATGCCATGATGGACTAGATGACTTGCAAGTCCGTTTGCATAGGAGTCCAAATCCCCATAGGTTAGTGCACCCTCTCTTGAGCGGACCGCTTCAGCATTAGGCTGGTCGCGGACCTTTTCCTCAATCAAGTGGTGGACACAGGCTTCGATTGCTGGAGGAACGAATTGGTTCCATTTTCGAATCTGTTCCAGGTCGGCCGAGGAGGCTTCATTGGCAACCTCGTCAGGGGCAGCTTCTACAAGACCCATTGAAACAGGAGGTAGTGGAAGAAGAAGAGTGGAGGTGAACGTGATGGATGTGGATCTGGGTGTGCTATAGGATGATTGTCTATAGACGTCTTGCCGGGCGCGTGCGGCGTAGTAGGCGGCTTAGTAGCTGTAATATGTTAAAAGACGTGTTAGAAGGAGGCACTGAAAGAAAGACTATGGCAATATTTATATTTACGACTGGTAGAGAAGCGTTTGCGAACGTGAGCGAGCTGACTGCGTGGCACGATTACTAAATGGTATTGTCAATCGCAATTAGAGAAGTTTAGCAACCATTTCCGAAGTATTTATCAATGGCCAGATAGATAACAGTTTCGTAGCCTAATCATATATGATAGCTTCGTCTAAAGAGTATTTCAAAGTGTAATAACTTATTTCAAAAAGGCTTCAATTAACTTATAATATTGTACTCATATATTCATATATTCACAATTGGTAATATTAAAAGCGAGCTAGGCTTTCTTAAAGATTCTTTAATAAATTTAATAATAAGACTTTTAGCTATAATATATAATACTAATTCTCTTTCAATAAATCCTTTTAGTAAAACTATTAGATCTCTCTATTATATTGATGGCTTACTACCCTATATCTCTCATATTTGCTGAAATTTCATGCATCGTTTTATTGGTGGTGGGTGGACAAATGACGATGCCAAGCTTTTGCAAGATTCACGCACACGCTAAATGCTGACTGCATGTCCTATAGCCAGGATGCTCCTGCAATCAAACCTCGGTATTATACAACCTTCATTGTATTTGGCTGATACAACAGGAGAATGCAATGATGCTGGATGAGAAAGACTCATGTCCAAGAGGAATAAATAATTACCCAACTCGCTATCCTTCCAGCCCAAACGAGAAGCACAGGAGCGGAAGGTCTATCAGCATTGCGAATAGAGACACCATAACGTGAAGTCATGGCCAGCCTGCCCACTCAAGACTCGACGGCCTCGTTCTGGCACAGTGAGCCTTCCCACTTCCTTCTCGGCCACCGAACAACGCCAGATATTCCCACGGAGGCGGACATTGTCATTGTTGGTTCAGGTATCACTGGAGCATCTGCTGCCAGGTTCTTGGCCGAAGATGCAAGAGCTAAAAGATTGAGAGTTGTAATGCTTGATGCGCGAGAGGCATGCTGGTGTGCGACGGGTAGAGTATGATGAACCACACACTCTCTCCATCTCTCTCTCGGTGTCTCCCTACAGCTCTAACAACGTCACTGCCGTATCTGTAGAATGGAGGTCACTGCCAGCCCCTCCTATTCGACTCCACCCCCGATGTCGCCGCGTTCGAACTTCGCAACTATAACGCTGTCAAGTCTTACATCAAAAAGCACAACGTTCCGTGTGAGTGGCGCTCGTTGACAGGTTGCAGGACCTTTTGGACCGAACCGTTAGCAAAGGCAGCTGCGGATGACGTGAGAGATTTGAAACGGCATGCTCCCGAATTGGGCAAGGAGGTCACGGTCATTGATGACGAGGAGTCATTGCGGAGACACAGGGTGAATGGCGCGCCGGGCGCAACCCTATCCGCATGTGCCGGTAGTCTTTGGCCGTACAAGCTTATCGCATTTATCCTCGAAGATCTTATCAAAGAGGGTCACTTGAATCTGCAGACGAAGACGCCAGTCACAAAGATTGAACCGTGCGCGGATGATCCTGAAGGCCCCGCGCCGACTGGGCCAAGGCACATCTTGCATACACCCCGCGGTACCATCAAAGCGCGCCATGTCATCTTAGCCACAAATGCATACACGTCGCATCTCCTCCCGGAATTCGCAGACCTCATAGTGCCCGAGCGCGGAGTTATGACGGCCCTCCTTCCTCCCGCCAAGTCAAAGCCCCTCGAGGACTCCTACGGTTTCGTCGGCGCGCTTGGTGGGAACCCCATCCACGATGACTACCTGAATCAGCGGCCCTTCTCCGGCGTGCCGAATCCGGCCGGCCATCTGATGTTTGGTGGTGGTTATGTCGGAAAGAAGCTGAACATGATCGGTGAGACGGATGATTCTGTCTTGGACGAAGGTTCGGCGAGCTATCTGAGGGCGGCACTGTTGAAATTGCTTATTCTGGGGGGCGATACTGGCGGCTTGAAAGAGCTGAAAACGACGCATCAGTGGTCTGGCATTTGGGGTACTTCGAAAGACCACCACCCGTGGGTTGGCGCCGTCCCCAGCAGGCCAGGTGTCTGGCTTGCTGGTGGCTACTCTGGTACGTGAAATCCCCTCCAGTGACTGCCAAGTCATATATATAATTGACGAAACCTTCACAGGCCACGGCATGCCCAACGGTACGCTGTGCGGCAAGGCCGTTGTGGAAATGCTCTTGGCGCAGGAAGCTGGTGTCGCTCTTGACGATGTCCAGAACAGACTCGTTACGGATGGCGACTTGCCGCAAGCTTACATCATCACGCAGGACAGGATCGAGCGCTGTAAACATATCGACTCGGTGCAGGTTCAGGATCGGAAGGGCATCGTGGGGATACGCTCCCTCGATGCGATGATACAGGCACAAAGGAACACTAAGCTATGAGCTCGGTGGTGGAATAGGTGTAGGACGTGCGGAGTCCTCTCTCATATATCATCGTAATCCTCGCGCCGTCGCCGCTTTGTCACGCTTATCGGAGTGGAGATCTCATCACAGTCTGCTGTAGTACACATTTCACATAGCCCCGTAACTAAAATCGCTACCCACGCCCAACTATTGCTGCAATATCAAAACAGCTCCGGCTGCACTTCCGAGCTCACCCTCTTCCTATTAAACACGTCACCAATTCTCGGACTTGGGAATTGTGGTTCTTTTTCATGGTTTTAGGCGGCCTGCCTCTACATCGCATATTTGCGCCGCTTCAGCTCTCTTCTGCGCGCTCGATCGAGTCCTTCAGTTCTAAACACACTTGCGGACGAGATGGTTCCGCGGATGCTGGATTCTGGGAATCAGTCGGGTGGGTGTTAGCTGGACAGTGGAGTATACGGTCACTGGGGGGATATTGGACGGAGTTGATGTGCAGCGATGCGGGCGGGTAGGTAGGTGCAGGGCATGAGATGTTATTATGATATGAGGATTGTAGCGTACCAATAAGGATAGGGGATGCACAGTTGACTTTTGGAATACCGATGAGTATTCAATTATATATCATCATATTCATCCTTTTCATCATCATCATCATCGTCAAACGACCTGACTTTGGCGTCTAAGCCTTCTTTCTAATCACCCACTCATTCCAGACCCCGAATCCTGCCCTCCCACCGACGATACCGCCCGCCGCCTCCCCCCAGTAGCATACAGACACGGCAACGCGCACAACCCGCAGAGCACCCCGCTCGCAAGCGTCACCCTGTCCCACCCCACCCGCTCCGCCATCAACCCGCCCACGAACGGCCCCACCAGCGACCCCGCCGCATACGCCACCGTCATCAGCCCAAACGCCTGCGCGTACGCCCCCTTGGGCCCAAACACCCCCGGCCGCGCCGCCGCCGCGTCATCAACGACGTACATGGCCTCCGCGAACGCGGGCGTCGCCAGCGCGCTCAGCGCCACCCCGATCAGCAGCAGCAGCGCGCACAGGAGCGCGACCTGGGCCCCGGAGTCGTGCGTCACGAGGCGGAGGAGGCCGAGCAAGGGGCCGAGGGCGGTGAAGCCGAGGGTGACGATGGGTTTGGCGCCGGCTCGGTCGCTGAGGAGGCCGACGGCGGGCGCGGAGAAGGAGGGGATGGTCAGGACGAGGAAGACGAGGGCTACCTGCTTGGAGTTGTAGTGGAAGAGGAGCTTGATGCGGAGGGGCAGGATGGTTTCGAGGCCGGTGAGGACGACGCTTTGCATGAAGTCGGCGAGGATGGCGGCGAGCATGCGGGGCGTGGTCAGGAGGGTTAGCATTGGGTGGCGGTGCGTGGGGGGTATTTCTTTGGGGGTCGGAGGTGGTGATGGGTTTGTGGAGGATGTGGGTGGAGGTCTTGATGAGCGACTCGCTCGGGGCTGCGTTTCATCTGGTGGGGTTTCGGCGTTGTCCCGGTCGTGGGAAAACGTCCCGTATGTTGCGTCTGCTTGAATGTTGACCTTCCTTGGGCTTGGCAGCATGAGTATGCGTAGGAGGAAGTCTAGCGCAACAAGCTGTGCGGACTCGATTAGTGGATTTTTGTTTGAGAACGGAATGAGACGTCGAGATATCCTGGAGATTGAGCCAACTTGAGACTACGACTAGGGCAAGATACGTACCGCGTAGCCGGAAACAAACACGGCGAGATATCCGTAGCTGTGATACAATACACCTCCAACTACGGGACCGACCAACACCCCAAGGGCGATACTCATCCCGATAAAACCCATGGCGGGTCCGACTCCCGCTTGGCCGACAGTATCGGCCAGGATGGCCGTTCCCACGGTATGCACAATAGCCGAAGAGGCTCCCTGAACCAGTCTTCCCACCAAGAGCACTGACGTCGATTGTCCCAACGAAAAGGCCACCGTGGACGCCGCCAAGGCAATCAGGCCCCAGAGGTAGGGGCCTTGACGGGATTCACCTCGATCCGCGAACCATGCAGCGATTGCTTTGGAGCATCATTATGAGCACGGAATAGAACCAAGTATCTGATATGAGAGCTAAGGAACTGAAAGACTCACGGGATCCCACGAGAAGACCGCCTCCGTACGCTGCAAGTAAAATACCGATCCATCGTTGTACGTCGTCCTGGTGGAGTTGTACCCTTTCGACCAGAGCGAATGGCAGGACGGGGATGATCAGAGCATACAGGTAGGCGTCCGCTGAAGCGCTTGGAGTCAGTGATCTCGCATTGGGCAAGACTTTTAGCCTAGACTTTTACAGACTGAAGACGGCTAAATTGATGACTGTGAATATGAACGCCTTGGAGGAGCGGATCTTCCTCAGAGAGGGCCGGGACTCTTTCGCACCATCCATGGCGTGTGAAGCGGTGGCTCTTCAGAGCATGTTTCGATGCTGTTCGAGAGGGTTCAAGGTATGGCAAGAAATGTGTTAGAGTCTATAAACTCCGAAAGAAAGAAGGTCTGGACGAGAGTGAGCTTCAGTCTGTGGCGAGTCGATCCTTTCGATAGAACCATGGATATGAATCATATGGGGGCACATAATCAGGGCCATTGAGGGATTTGTTTGAGGAATTGCGTGTAGGGTGTACCTGGCCATATGAGTACAAATTCCTATTGGAACTTTTAGCCGCATAAAGGCTAGCGTGATTTCCGGGCCGACATAGGTTAGGGCATGACGAAATATGGCGGTGTGTGTTGGCCAATCTACCTAGCCGGATATCAAAGGGAGTGGGGTGTTCCTACCGCTATGCAGCAACGGGGACACGGGGAGGAGAGCTTGGAAATGATTGATAGCCTCATAGCCTCATAGGCCCGCCAATGTTCGCCTGGGCCCATGTTCGAGACCTTGGACGCCGGTGATTAGAAGAGACCCGAATATCTGCGTACCTTACTCGAGGTAAATAGCACCGAACCCTAATACTTTTGTTGATTAGCCTTCAAACTTCAGCCAATACTATCACCCATATCTCCTTATCCAGTCTTTCGCAACTGCACGGACAGTCTCACTCAACCGACCGAATCACTTTGCCCTTTTTAACCCACTCGCCTGTCATTCATTCCTCAACAAGAAAGCTCCCTCGCACAGTCCTCTTCCCACTATCTGCATGAAAGCTCGTAGTGCAGATGTATGGGTCGGGAATCGCCTTGTAAGCCGCTTTTAGCTAGGAATCTGTCCGCGCTACCGACGCCCGCAGACAAAAAGATGACACAGATTTGGTGTTTGAGGGTTTTTGGGCCGCCTGCATCTTCTGTGTTCAAGAAAATGACCGCTTCGAAGGACGTCTCGGGCTCTTATGATGCTAAAGGCTGTGGCTTCGCAGATGTAGTCGCTAAAGGCGGGCAGATCATAGCGTTCGGATTCGCTTGTGGCGAGATGGGAGATTTTTGTAAGAGGTCAGCTGGTGGCGCTGAACAATGAGATGTGTTGCTTTCAATGACTGGATTCTTCGATTGGAGTCTTGCAGAACCCCGGATGGGGAAAAAGCGGGAGAAGCTGGTGTGTAGGCAGAATCGCCAAGGATGGCATGTCGGAGTCAAAATTTGCCAGGAGGAGCTGATGGATACCGGAACAATCTTCATGGGATGGGATTGCTCGATTGCCCCGAGATACTGGATTTCCTAATGAGCGCCCAGCACCCCAATGACCAACCTTTGAATACTGATACTAGCTCCGTATGAGGTTCGAGTTTCCCATCGTCAAATCACCACCGTGCGTCGCCCCGCGTATCTCTCCCTTGGCACGATTGGTCATACATCCTTCACACCCCTTTGCGGCACAATCGCGGTGGTTTTCTTGCCTTCAGCTTCTTTGTCATGCTTCATGTCCAGCTTTTGGCACCCTGTCGTCAAAACTCGCCACCTCGTCTGCAGCCTGTCTGAATAGCTTTCGAACCTGTGCTACGACATTCATTCTTTTCGAAGTGTGATCTTCTTGATGGTGCTCTATTAGGCATCCTATTTCCTGCTGTTTTTTTGATTGACTGGTGTTAGTTGGTCGACCTGAGTTGATGTACTGAGATATGAGTTTGGAGTGGGTTACTCGCCACTATCTTGCCGGCCTTAAGGAGGTGGATTCTCAAAGTTCAATTTCCTGTGAGATCCTTGGGTTGTCTAGTTCCTTCGTATTTGGATTGTTGCTCGATGACATGATGTATTGCTACACGTGGTGATGACAGGATAGAATGACTGCTGAGTCCATGTTTGCTGGCTACAGGCAACGAGATTGGCAGGTATTAATGTCCGTTGCAACATTCAAGGCAAAGGTCTCATGACGTGAATCCGACAGAATCACTGGGTTGCACATGCGTTGTCCATCCAAGAGTCTGTCCCCCCCGCAATATGGTATACAGGACTCCAGCCGGGCACGAGGAGAGCAAATGAGTGTTCGGAATATGGAAGATGGCAGAAGGAAACAACCTCGGCAGGACAACCTCGAGAGAACCAGCAGTGCGGTGTGCGGGCTGCCGAGGTTGTAGACATCAGCTGATGCGATGGGACACGTAGCAGACCTTCTTCTGCTCGAGCTTCAAAAGTAATGTTGCCTGCTAAAGATCTGTACTTGTGTCTTTGGCGTTTTGAAGAGGTATGGAGTGGGTTTCAAGTGAAAATTGCACTCCCAGTTTCGTAGAATGCCCGGAATGATGCCAAAGTAGCCGGATCGAAGATGTCGTTCATGTGATGTGCTCTTGTGCAGTCACTGTCTGCAAGAAAGCTTTTGGAGCTGAACAGCAGCCCCGTTGAAAAGAAATGGTATAGGATCTTCCGTGCATACGCCGCTCGTTCCATCTATTTGTTGTTAATTGACTACCAACTTTCGCTGCAAGCTCGAATTGCAACTCAATGCGGACATACATGACCTCAACACGTCTCTTCTAGGCAACCTAGACCCTCTCCCAAAATGCCACTAGCTAGGCTCCGATACCTTAGATGCAAGCTCGCACTTCATCCCGATACATGTACAATTCGAAGTTCATGCCCACACATGTATAGATATCATCTCTCCCTCTGTTCCCGGGCAACGCAGGCACCATGGACCATATCATGACATCTCCATCCCGTGTGGTTAACTGCCCACCAGCACTGCACTAGACGTGAAATTCACATTGGCCGCTTTCGCGGTGGTATCTGGCGAATCCTTCAAAAAACAATTCCCATACTGGCCTTCCGGTGTCACGTCATAATTGGTATCGAAGGCAACGCCATAGCAAGTCTGATTCAGCCCAGGATACCTGGCGACGGCTGCGCATGCTTCCAAGCAGTCGGTGAAGTAGTAGACGAAGACACTGTAGAGATCGTTGCTAGGTAGGTCGAGGCCGCATTGGAGCTTGAAGCTGGCGCTGGTGAAGAGGGAGGTGTAGGTGGAGCCAAGGGAAGTGCAATTGGAGGTCGGTTGGAATGGGGAGTCATTGATGTGGTAGGAGTAGGTGGGGAGGGTAGAGGTGTCGTTGAAAGAGGGGCAGGAGGCATTGGAGGCTGGTATGGAGGAGGATGAATTGGATTGGGCGACAGTCCTGTAAGTGATGCAATCAGTCTCTTGCTCGTTCTGAGTATGCAGTACGCGGTACGTACCTGGTGTCCCCTCTCTTTGCAGCCAATGAACCCGCTACACCGGCTGCAACGACTGCGAGCACAACGGATACGGCCAATGCGATGCTGAGGAAGAATGTCGGGGGCCGTAGCCCGCATAAGCGTTTGCTCTTCGCGAGTGGTTCCGTCGAGTATGGTTCGTACGATGGCTGATCATGCTGCTCTCCTCCATTGTAGTATTTATAATCCTCGCCATGCTTCTGGCATGGAATGGGCAGGTTGTTGCGTCCATCGACCTCAAGACCGCCGTCCATGGTGCTGCCTGCTGGCGGCAGATGATGGCAGAAGACGAGACAACATAGCGACTAGGAAGTACATATTGGGGCTAAATCGGAAGGTGCGGCTGAAATCCTATGAAAGGCATAAGCGCTGAGCCATGCTGTGCAAGTTCCTATATGGAGCGCAGGATGGCGGAGTCATGGGTGAAACTTGCGTTTCAGCAGCCCCAGTACGACGTCGGCGGCGGCGGCGATTGGCAAGTTCGTACATTTTGTGAGGGGTAAGGTTTCGCTCATGTCTTTGTCCTCTAGAGAGCAGTGCTTCCTGTACGAGTCAAGCAATCGAGCAGTCGGTCGAGCATTGCCTCAGTCCTCAGACGCTATCCTGACATCCGAGCTTACCATACTTGTATCGGGTTTAGAGTGGAGAGTTTCCGCGGTCAGGTTGGGGAAGCGTGCACGGCTAAACTCCGGTGTCCCCTGTAGCAGGAAAACATCTTCGGCTTCGACCGCCCAGCTTGATCTTGCTTCTGGTCCAAAAGTCTATTGGGTGTTGAATACGGTTCTCGAGCATCTCATCCTACCTACATAACCCGTCCCTAACCTGGCTGAGACCGGAGAGGAACCGACAGTACTGGGTCCTAGGTCCCTTGAAGCGAGTCAACCTATGCAATAATCTAGAGCTGTGTGATTGCCAGAACGCCTCAATACTTCTTTAGACATACTTCGTTAGAAAATGCCAGGTACCATCAGTCATATTGGAAGTGTGGACTTCTCTCAAGAAAACAGTCGTTCGCCAGCCAGCCGTGACCGTGACAGAATGACAGCGCTTCTCGTGCTCGAAAATAACTCTCACTTCCGATTGCTAATTTCAACCCTGGATCCCTACGGGAATCATCGAGGCTTGCTCGTGATATGCCTCACATAGGCGATCATACCAACGTATTCTTAGGAGGCGAGTAAGGCCCAACAACAATGCTGGCCCCGCTGCTCCCTTCGCCAAAGCCGTTCCCACCTTCGTTGTCGTTGAACTGACTTTCCGAGCTGTGACGCATTAGTCTCTCGGCATTTTGCGCACAGTGGCCACAAGCCTTGAAGTTGCACTGTTCAGTCTTTTCTTCGTGGTAAAACTTCACATCATGTACCCAATCCAGAGCCGCATTCTCCAGATGCCCACATGCAATCTGCCAATACAGTGTGCAGTGCTATGAGTAAGGGCTGACAGAGGCGAGGTACATAGCCTATGATCCAGTTCGGCTATTTTTATTTCTCTGGGATTGAGCTTGGCTTGTGGAGCAAGATTTTTGAGGACCGAGTCGCTCAGCTGTCAGCGATGCTTTGTCTCAGAGGCTCCCCATATCTGCATTCCTTCCGGATGTCAGCTGGTGCCAAGATCCTCTGATAATTGGCAGTGTCTTGTTACACATGTGCTAGAGTTAGAGACCATCTAGAGATGACTGTGCAAGACATTTTCAAGTCTACGAAACCACTGTGTCCTAGAACTCCAACCGCCGTGAATGTACCGTACCACTCCATCTGACTTTTTGTCACCTCTTGTCCTTCTACGCTCAAATAAGAGTGCTTATGCTAAAGAAACCTGATATCAAGCCCGACTAATCATGGTTAGTATTGCCAAGAGACAGCGGCTGTGCGAGTCCAGTCAGCGACTTATGTAACACTCCTTTGGGGCTTATATTTTGAAGCCTATTGAAGCGAAGGATCGGAGCCGCCATAGCCCGGTTGAACGCTTGCACTTCAGCCTCACAAGAGCACAATTTTGCAATGTATACCTCGATATACAACAAACATGGCGCCTCTTTCCTCTTCTTCCCATCTATACCACTAGGGTCATTCTGTATTACGTGGGCTTTTTCCTTATTTCCACCCAAGTCTTTTTTGACCCTGGCACGATGCGACCTCCAATATCTTACACGCACCTCCTCCTGTACGGTGTGACCGCCGTACGAGTATTTGGAAGCGGCCCCGTGGCCGTCAATTGGAGCACTAAGTCGTACGGACCTGATAGCCCTTGGCAGGTAACGCACTCATACTCCAACTACTTTCCAACAATGAAAATTAACGCGAATGGCAGGCAGTCACGGTCCAGGTGGGGACCGACTCAGCCGGAAAGGCTCTATCAACCGTCGATTTGCACCCTGGGAGATTATATGGATCAACCGTCAACGCATAAAAGTTATGCGGAGATACCATTACATCCTCTACACCATATCTTGCCGAGCCAGCAGGGCTTTATGTTGAGACTGTTCATGTCGCTCTCTACGCTCTTCCGGAGACTCGGCCTGGATAGTTTGCGCAGGTTTGACCGTGAACGTAACGCCTCGAGCATGGAAAATATCCGAGACCGAAACATCTTCATCCTGGGACCAAGATCCACGCCTCCCAAGTTCTTTCGTGGCAGTGTCTATGCTTGCATGTTCTCTGTCAACATAATCATGTGGATTATCGGCGGACATCTTCTACCAGTGGTCCAACCCCTGCTTGCGTCTGCTGTCGAGAGGTAAAGATATGAGAAGGCTGACGGATTCCGCAAAGGCAAGATCAATGTACCAAAGCTTCCTCGACACGCTTGACCTCATGAATACTAGGGACTTGGTGTCCTCAAACTTTCTGTGTCTGTATGTGCCAAGCCTCCACATCGCTGGCGGGGCCAGGGGAATGATTTCGCGGCAAGGCTGTGGAGCCGGACCAAGAAAGTGTTTGCAGCCCGGTTTCGAGATGCTGCCACTACAAATCTTGATTTTACGACGTGTGTATCCGAATTACAGGACCAAAGAAGAAGAAGAGAGCTCTACAACAGATCCAGGGATCTGTATTCAGCCTGCTAGATCTCGTTACGAAAACAACAAGCTTATGCGTATCTCTGTCTCTTAGAGCTATCTGGTTTACCGTAGAGACTTTGTCATGAGGTAGATGCAACAAGATGGGCGGGCTGGGCCAAAAGACGAGAAGCGACTGGCGAAGCGCTTTAGGTACCGAATATCCCCCGGATGTTCCTCGTAGACTCTCAATAAAAATGCTGATGACAACCAATGTCCCCAAGGCGCTGCTTTTTAAGTTGTACTCCAGATAGAGACTGTGATCATTGCAGCACCTCATCCAGCGCACCTCGACCGGCGAAAGTCTCAGGGATGGGAATCAGGTCTGCAATCTATGTCGAGTGTTGCTGGCAGATGTCTATAGACAAAGTGTCTGGAGATGTTCCTTCGCGTAAGCTGTGGGCCGAGTCCCCAGCACCTGCGCTTCTCTTCTGCCTCGTCTTCCCTAGTCTCGCTCCTCGCCATTCTCCCTTGTACTTCATCTGTTTATTAACCGTCCCTCCAAGTTCTTAAGCTTCTTAATATTATTCCATCGAAGTCTCTTTCCGAGACTCTGCCCGATCCCTTTTTCCCACATCATGCCATCAGCACGCCCCAAGCACCCAGCACCCTCCCCATCCCCGTAATCGCCGCCCTCACAGCTTCTATCTACCCCACTCATCGACCAGTTCGCCGATGTCCTGCTCGCTGGGCACCGCGCTATGTGTCTCCGCAATTGACAATTCACCCTTCCCAATCAACTTATTCGCTGTGTAGTTCAGCTTGGCGTTCATGCGTCGCTGGACGGTGAGGGTGAAGGGTATGATGATAGGTAGAAGGATTGCTGCTGCGATAAAGGGCTTGGCTCTTGGACTTCCATTTGGCTCTACACACCCTCGGTGTTAGCTGGTCTGAGAGATAGTAGGACATGGGCGATAGAATGTAGAGCACACCATCGTAGGCGAGACACGCCCAAGCTAAGCCAGCAGGAGATATTGGGCGCGGGACCGTACGAAAGCCAATGAGATAGCCTGTGCGCCATTGTTGAGCTAGGATGGCAGGGGTAGAGCTACTGCGAATGGAGGGCACCAAGGAGTAGGAGTAAGATGCTACGCTGCCAGTTGCGACTGCGAAGGATACAAGGGCAAACAACTGTATAAAGGCGAGGGAAGTGATTGATCAGATACACTGCTGAATTGCACGGCGTGTCGCATATAATGCGAGGAAGAGGTGAGGACCTCAGCGCCATTGAGCTACGAATCCTTATCCCCGATCATTATCCCCGGAGCTAGGAATCTGACCCTTCATCCGCAAACTCAAACTCTCCTTCCTCCTCTCCATCACATGGGTTTGCCAATTCCATGCGCAGGCTCTCATACTCCACTGCCAAAGACTCTACAATGTTCCCCCCCACTTGAGTGAATCCACATTTTCTCAGCACCTTGAGGCTAGCCTCATTATCCGGGTTCGCGTCCGCGTATACCTTCTTCAACCCCTTCTCCCAGAAGATGGGGACGAGCGCTGCGAGTACTTCAGTCATGTAGCCTCGGTTCCAGTAGGCGTTATCAATCATAAACACAAGCTCGTTCCGGTCGGCGTACCAGATTCCTGCATGTCCTATGATTTTGCCTTCGTCTGTTGTGGCGCCGGCAGGAGTTGTGGATGTAGTTATCGTGGTGGCAGATGGGGGTAGGAGGAGGACAAACGCAAGGTCTCCGTTTGTTGATGAGGTGACCATGGCTTCGAGATAGGTTGCCGTTCGGGACACAGAATCGTGGGGTTGAGACCTGCGCTCAGAGGGACTAATTTAGTTGAGATATGATGTTGAAAATTTAGAGACGACCTACCAGTATCTCATTACTTCCTCATTGCTGTACAGCTTATGAATAGCGGCGAGGTCCCCTTTGCGGGCTTCACGTAATATGAGACGTGGTGTTCTGGTGGATTTGTTTGGAGAAGGTGTGTCAGCCATCGTGCACAGTGTGACTGCGCTGTCTCGTCGTCAGTAAGTAGATGTGTGCGAAAGGAGACAGGCCAGTGAAGGGTTGCTTGTTTGCACTTCAGAACTTTGCTCTTCAGCATACAGGACAGAGGTATAAAGAGGATTAACTCCGTGCTGTTATCTCACGAGTATGCATCGCGATAATGGAGAGACCAAAGGGATCTGGCTCTTATACCGATGGCGTTATGACCATCCAATCTTCAAGCTATACGTCCAATATTACCCTCCTAAATACAGGCATTCATGGGACGCAGATTTCTACATCGATGTTTTCCGAAGCTCGAATAGATTTGCCAGATACCCTCGAATGTCCCCGCCACTGAGGCAGGCGACCTCGGGATAGCCATACAGTGCTAGCCAACCTCAGCTCGCGCCTGCATTGCCTCGGAGGCTGGAACAATCTGTTTCCCTCGCCGAAACCAAAGAGATTTGCTTAGCAAGCAATGGCTTCGCTGCCCGCGAGAGCCATCAACATCAAGTAGGCCTTAGTGAAATACGTGCACAACCAAGAAAGAAAGTCAACTAGAATCTGGAAGGTCACTGAGAACAGCTGGGAGAATAACTCGCGGGAAACTTCGAGACCCCTTTGTTGAAAGCAATACTAAGGCCGTTAATTGACAACTTGGATTGATCGCATGCTCTCTAGTCTATTGATCGCATGCTCTCTATCAATTGCTACCAGTGACTCGCAATGGATCCATTCCCAACACGCTCAGTCTAGCATTATGGGATGCCTGCTAGATCCGTCACCCCTCGATCTTCTCGGACTCGGCCCACAGACTACCCTCATCCAACCAAACCTCTCATGCATAATTTGACCAGGACCTTTGCCTACCCGCGCGGCAGTTTTGCCCTTAGGCCGGATCTTATGATCGAAGATCTTAAATCTGGCACGGGTGCCATTCGAGACTTCCTTCAGACCGCGAAGGCTTCGCCTTATTTGGGTGAGGCTATCAAGACGCGTTAGCAGCCCTGTATAGTGTCTTCGAAGCGTTTTTTGAACTTACCGACTCTGGAAGGAGTGGGTGTTCTTGAAGTCACTCCCACGCGCGTGAAATTTTAGTAAAGCTAAAATTTGAAGTCAGCGGCGGTAGACTAACAAAGACACACGCTTGTATCGATTGGCAGAAGTTCTACGTACCTGGGCGGAGTCTCTCCCAGTGTGCTTGATCCTCCAGACATAACTGAGAAGGGGCGTTTTCCGAGAATTCCTCGGCCTGTACAACAGCTCTTTCTTAGCTCGGGTCCCAGTATATCACTATGGATCTGGATACTTACGTCCAGGGCTATCTCCTTCGAACCATATCTCTGCTCGAGAGATGGATCCGTTGGTTTGGACCACTTGGTCCGCTTCTTGCATTGCTTTACAGCCTCGGATGGATTTGGCGCGGCACCTTGTGTTGCCAATGGGGTAAGGTTGTTGTCCATGGTCGATAGTTTAGAGTTGTTGTTATGATAATCGCCGGGAGCGGGAAATAGACGCGTGTGTGTGTGTGAATAAAACGGGAAGAGGAGTGACGAGGCAGCACAGGATGGTATGTCGCTTCGGCGGCTAATGTAGTGAATTCGATCACTGCTATGAAGAGGATGGGGGTGAAAGTGATGGTATAGCGGCTATGGCGGTAGTGGTGGTAAGTATCACGGCTGTTGTGAAGAAATTGGAAGTGAGAGTAATGAAATGGCGGCTATGGCAGTGAATACCACAGCTGCTATGAATGAAGTGGAAGTAAGAGTACAGCGGCTATGGCGGTAATAATAAATGGTTTCACGGCTGATGTGAAAGAACTGGAAGTGAGGGTAAAGTAAAGATATGGCGGCTATGGCGGTAGTGTTAAATATCACAGCTGCTGTGAATGAAGTGGAAGTGAAAGTATAGCGGCTATAGCGGTAATGGTGGTGATTGTCACGGCTGCTGTGAATGAAAGGGAAGTGGGAGTGATAGGTAGCGTCTATGGCGGCAGTGATGATGAGTATCAAAGCAGCTGTGAATGACACGGAGGTGAAAGTGATGGTGAAGCGTCTATGGCGGCAGCTGTGATAACTACTAAAGCTGCTATGAATAAATAGAAGTCATGATACCGCCGTGGCTATTGCGGTAGTGGTCATTAAGAGTGACATCCAAGAAGTGAATGCCTCTTCCTTCCTCCTAGAGAGAGATCAACAAGTACCAAATGCTGCCAAGCTTAACACTTTTCATCATCTACAGCCTTGAAATTGAATTTTGCCATTGTTTAGAAGACGTGAATAAGACCTATGAGCCTGCTACTGTTGTTGCAGGTCACGAAACAAGGTCGCGGGACAACACTGGATTGGCTTGAGAAAGGTTGTAAGATACAGAGGTGGCTTCGGCGGCATTTTGTGAAGAATTAGTTTAAGGAAAAGTGGGCTGATGTGGGATTGCTAAAAGGGCATCGGGAGTGTTTGAATATTAAGGAAGGTTAAATTTTTAAAAAAAAAAAAAAAAAGGAGTCTGCAATGGGGAGCAGCAAAATGCGGGGTCTCACTCCGAGAGCGACCACAAACGCTAGGATCTGACCAAAAGATGCCTTGACAGTATCCGACACCTTCTGAAAGATACCGAAACTCTCACAAACAAATACGGGCTACGAGCGTACAATCCTGCCGATGATACACTCCCACAATCAGGTATCAGCTCCAACGCCCTCAAACGTTTTCGTCTTCGATTGCGTCGACAGTCTCAAGGATCCGGCGTTCTCGATAAGACTAGGCGGGCCATCCACGATGAGACAAAGTTCCAGAAGTTCGTAGACGATATCCGGGACTTGATCGATGGCTTGAATGAAACGGTGCCTGTGTCATCCGAGTTGGAAGAACAGAAAGTACAGGACGATATCGCATCAATGGTCGACGACATCCAAAGCCTCCATTTATTCCAAGAAGCATGTAAAGATGACTATCCCAAGTGGTGGACAGCAGCAAGCGCGGCGATCGATGTATCTGATGTTACTACTCTCGAAAAGCGATTGGCGGACGAACGTCTAGAGCACTATGAGCTTCCAATTCAGGGCGGTTCGGGTGCGGAGGTTGGTGTTCCCATGATACCAACGCATTTTGGCGATCAAAAAGGTAAATGTCATCGGGCAAGCCCGCATGAGTGACGCTGACAGGAATAGTCTACTTGGACACTAAAAAGCCGGGTTTTTTTATGTTGACGGAATCTTGTCGTGCTCAAGGCTCAGAAGCACCTTGTGTTCAATCACGCTTAGGAACGATGTCCTTTCAAAACATTTATAGCATCATTGCCCCAGGCACTGTGCGTACTCATTCCGCTCCCGGGTATCGCATTACAAAACATATCGACCCGCAAAACTTCACCTACGTGGACTTAGAAAAGTACGTTGAGAACTTGGACGCTTTGAAGGTTGACGCAATAACGGAAGGAAAACCTGCGCCCGAAGTAGACGACCGTCATCGCGTCAGAGTGTACATATATTGCCCACCTTGTGCATGTCAGGTTGCGACTGCTTTTGACATATGCAAGTACAGCGACAAGAAGGATTTTGTGGAGTTCTATATTCGAATCGATCATCGCCAAAGGACAAGCTGTTCAGCGTCAGTCTCCAGGATTGAAGGGCTTATCTCAGTCATTGATCACCTTAAGAAGAAAGAGAAGAATTATCATCAATCGCATCGTGATTTCGAAATGGACCGGCTGAAAGCGATCGACCGCGAGTGGCTGGAACGGCAAGTCTACCACTACACGGAGGAGGATCGCTTAGCAACGCTGTCCCCAGCAAACCAGCTTGCACGTATTGCTGAGCTCCACAAGGATGAACAACCATGCGCGGCTATCATTCTGCTTGGAGAGGCAGACTACTGCATCCCGCTCATGGGAGCGCTGCCGTTCCGTCCGTTTGAGCCAGGCGGACTGCCTCGGGAAACCCAGCTCTTCAGGAGCTGGCAAAAGCCCGACCCGCTGCTCAAGCGCTTCTGCTGGGAGAGGGATTACATGGGGACATACTCATCAAAAGCTCCGTTGCCACCTAGAAGGCCAGTACCTGCAGACTCGGATACAACGCAGAGGTTGGAGAGCGCTCAGCGCATTCTCAAACGACCCAGAAGCTCGACCTCAGAGGAAGGCTCTTCACCTCTTGTAATCTGAGTGCGTCTGAATCGACGTCCGCTGAGAGGCAACAAGCGGTGGCACCTCAGCTTTTCTGGTCCTAGCACATCACAGATTTCCTTGGGTTTACATATAGAGTATTTTAATCACGCCAACTTTCCTCTGCTCTGATGCTATTGCCCCCTTCTGGCACTCCGCCGTCTTCGATACATTCAAGCATGGAGATATCGATGCCCGAGTCTGCTTCCGATACCAGTATCTGCCCGTCTTCGAACCCGTCTTATATCTTCTCTTCCCCTAGTAACGGTCGCCGCGCGGATCATCTCGCTCGTGAAATCCTGCACTTTGTGAAGTAAATTTCCTGGAGATGGCACTTAAATACATGCTTCCAAAATCAGCAAAATTTATGAGATATAGTTGCGGATGGGAAGGAATTTATTTTTGAGAGACACCTATTGCGAAGTATAGGAATATCCTTGCCCTAAGTATCTCTGAGGTTTACGATCTTCAATGGTTTGATTGATTGATTGATTACATCATACTACCCTAAAGTCTTACCTTAGTAGCCGACTATGCGAGTTACGTAATCTATCTGATCCTTTCGACTAATCATATGATCTCAAATAAATAAGGCTATATAAGTTACCGTCATAGTTCTATATCTTGCTATACTTGATCCTTAGAAAGAGATACACTCTATATCGCTAAGGCCCTCCCGTCTTAATTATATTCTTCTTTTTAATCGCTTATCCTAGTAAATTCTTATTATTAATTTTTATTAAAGACTTAATATTATCTAATAAGTCTAATATTTCTTATAAAGTCCGCCGCTATAGAGGCGTAATATAATTTTATTAATATATCTTTATAAGTAATAATCTTCTCTTTCATCTTTCTTCTTTCTTCGACTTATTATATTCCTCGCTTCTTACTAAATAGCCTATATTTGTAAAGAATATATCGAGTCGTCTACTTCGCTTTATACTCGTATTCTTTATCCTCTATATTCGATATCTATCGATTATAAAGAAAAGCCTTAAGACTTATTTTCTTAATTCTTATTTACGTTATTAGCGACGTCTTAGCGCGCTTAACTCTCGAATATAGAAGTTATATTTATTTCGACGATGTTAATTAGATTCTTCTAAGAATACCACCTCGCTTCTTATTAATCTATTCGATAATTTATTATTCTATTACGTAATCTCTAATAGCTATCTTAATTATTAATATTATTCTTATTTATATAATTAATAATTAGACTATTTCGTTAGTATTTATCTTTACTCTTTTATTATAAATTACTTACTCTCGCTAACTAGTAATCTTCTTCGCCTCTCTATTCGTCTATTTATTATTATCGATATTAATATATATCGAAATTTAGTATAATTCTATTACTACTTCGAGATACTTTAGCGAATTAATAATCTATACTATTTATATTATATAAATCTATCTTAAATACTTATTCGAATCTTCGATAGTCTAAATTAATATTTAATTATTTATATTTATTATAACTCTATTAAGTTATAGTCTTATTTAATATATAACTATTATTATTAAAGCTTAAAGAATATTGTATAGCTTCGTCGAGTATATTATATATTAGTCGCTTAAGTTTAAATAGATATTAAAAGTAGAATTAATATCTAACGATATAGCTAACGCTTTCATCTTTTTATTAATTTCGCTATCGTCTATATATATTATTATATAACTTTTATTAATTAATCTTTTAGCTAGTTCTTTAGCGACTTTCTTAATCTTATAAATTATCGTTTTAAAAGGTTTTTAATTAAGGGAGCGACGCTGAAAGAGCGTAGTTTCTTAATCTTATTAGTGTCGTTATATTATTCTTTAAATCTATTAATATATCGCTTTAGTGAACTTAGTTTCCTATTCTTCTTAGATTTTCTTTTAAACTTTTATCGCTTAAATTATAACTTAATAATCTCGCTATATATTAAATTAATAGCGATTTATAAGATAACTTTCGAGATAATCTTATTTAGTTATTATTTAACTAATAGAAAATACGCTTCTATATCGAGTGCTAAAATAAATATAACCTTAAATACTTTAATTATCTTTCTTTCTATTTAAGATTAAATTCTTTATAGCGATAAGAAATAAGTTTTATTATAGTTAATAGTATTTTTAAGCTAGTACTATACTAAGTAGTAATACGTTATTTATAAGATAATTATCGCCTAATAGAGCTATCTTATACTCTTATAATTATTACTCTATATTAATTCGATAATTCTCGCTAGTATATTAATGCTTTTAGTAGTTTTAGATTAAATCTTCTTATTATAATAATTTTATAGAAGTTTAAAATTAATTTCGACTTCTAGATAGCGGATAAAGCGTCTCGCCTTAATATATTATCTCTTATTAAGTTATAGAGGATAATTTAAGCTAAATCTCTATTTTCTATTAAGATATAGTAATTAATATTTATTAGAATTAAACTTTAATTTATATTATAACGCTTACTTTATATAAACTTCGTTATAGATTTTACGAAGTACGTTATAGTTTTTCTTAATGAAATTTTCTACTATTAAAAGATTTATATCGTCTATAAAGTCGATAATTACTATTTCTAAGTTAACGCGATTATTATATTTATTAATAAAATTTAAATTATAGAAGAGATAAAGTATAGACGATAGCGGTAATTCTTAAGAAATTTCGATTGCTATAAGAGTCTTTAATATAAAGTATTCGCTTATTTTTAGTATTATTATTCTATTAGATAAAAATAATTCTATCTAATTAACTACTCTTATATTAATTTTTCACTTTTAAAGATTATAAAGTAGTCGAGAATAAGAGACTTTATTATATATATTTGAAACATCTAGTAGTAATATCGTAGTTACTTTATTAGAGTTCTAGACTTAATATATTCTTTCTAGAAGATAGTAAATATTGTATTTATATGATTATAATCTATAACGTTCTATATATATAGTCGATAGAAGTTTATATATCTTCGTAAGATACGCTATTCTTCTAGTAAGAATAAACTTTATTATCTTTTTTATAGTATTAAGTAGAGCTATTAGTCGATATCCTTTAGAAATTAAGTAATTTTTATTCGACTTCGAAAGGATAATTATTATTAATATTCTAAAGTGCTCTAGATAGTAGTTATTTATTATATATATATTAAATATTTTATATAGATAAGAAAGTAATGACTTTAGGATCTTCTTAAGAATTAGATTAGAATCGCGTCTCTTCTCAATACTCTCTTTAACGATATTTGCGTTATGATCTTTCTTATTTTATTTATAATAATTATATCTATTAGATAGACTTATAAGTATATTATATTAATACTAATATTATCTAACTTCGTCTATATCGATAGTAGAAAGAACGTTTTTATAAGAAGATCTATCTTTAGACCTAGTTCGTTATATTTTTATTTATCTTTATTAAATAGCGAAGGGAGATACGTCTATATTATAAGTTATTTTCTAGCTTACTTAGTCTTTTTTTATATTATTTATAACGACTTATATATCTCTACTATAAACTCTCTAAACGCCTTTCTAATAGTTCTCTTAATTAGATTATTTTTGAAGTTCTTAGCGACTTTATACTTATTTTATACTTTCTTCGAGAGCGTTATTCTTTAGCTTCTTTTTAGCGATTTATAACGTCTTTATACTTTCTTATATTCTAATATAAATCTCGATTTAGACTATAGCGATAATTTAATAATTAAAGTAAATTCCTCTATAGCCGCTTAAATAGAGTTAATAATAATTATTACTTAATAATCGATATTATTATTAATAAGATTTTTACTATTTTCTAGAGAATTAACTAGATACTCTTTCGATACTATAGCTTAAGCGAGTATCTCTCTTAAAATCTTAACGTCTAGTTTATTAAAGTTTCGGCGTATTATTAATATTAACTCTATTATAGTTAGCTTAAGCTTTATAAGAATTAAGAGATAGTTAGATTTACTTTTAAAGTCGTTTTCGATATTATAGTTAATAATATTTGCTATTAATATTAGAGTAACGAATAGTAAGTCTATTATTATTTAATAGTTTTCTTTATATATTATTATTTTTATTAGCAATATTTATTTTATAGCGAATTCTTTCGCTATAAGTATTAGTTTTTCTACTCTCTTATCGATATAAGTATTTAATTCTCTCTATATTATATAATATAGGTTAAAGTCGTCTAATATAATCTATTCGTTATCTTTAGACTTTATAAGCGTCTTATATAGTTCGTTAAATTTATCTATTTATTAGTTATCGAGGTTATAGATATTATATATATATATAATTCTATTATTTTCGAACTTGATATTAAGAGTATAGAGGTTCGATAAATAATATAATAGATATTATTACTTTAATAATATTCTCTTATTAATATAAAAGTATATTCGTATATTATTATAATAGAGGTAGATTAAGTTAAATCTATTCTTTAAAGAATAATATAACGTATTTATATTAATATTTCTCTAGAGCTTTTAAATTACTACTATATCGATATTATAGATCTTTTTATTATCGAAGAGTTCTATTATAATTATTCTAAATTTTCTTATATTATATTATAGTATTAATAGCTAACTAAGATATACTATTATTTCTCGATATTATTATTAGTATTACTTACTCACTCCGCCTAGTCTATAAAGTCTATATTCTCTTTCTAAGTATTCTTCTTTTCTTAATCGTCGATAAATTAAATATATCTCTTTTTATTCCTATTAACGAAAACCGTAATTCTCTTATTACTACTTTTTTAATTTAGAGACTATCTATTATCCTCGAGATTATTAATTTCCTCTATCGCTATATTATTTTTATATTATTTAGCTTCGTCTACTACTTTAAAAGACGATTTATTTCTAGATAAAGCTCTTATTAATAATATAAAAGTATATCTTCTTCTACTCGACTAAAGATTCGATATAATAGTTCTTTCGAGGTTCGGCCCTCTAATTCCTTTCTTATTAACTATTCTATCTCTATCTATTAATTTATCGCGTATAAATATTAGTCTTAAAAAAAAATTCTTATTTTATTTATAATTAGATATATTCTAAAAGTAGTTACTTAATTAATCGCTTATTTAATAATTAGTCGATATTTTCTTCGTTATTATAAATCGTAAAGGAGTTTATTATCTCGCTATTCTTATTCTCGCTATCTCCCTCTTCTTTACTATATATATTTTATTTTAAGCCTTATATAGTCCCTCGTAAACCGAATATTTATAAGTATTAATCGTATATTCTTTATAATAATACTCTTCTAAGTATTTCTCGTATATTAAATAATTCTTTTTAGGATATATAGTCGATAGGTGATTATATTTCTAGTATATAAAGTATTACTTTAATTTATACTGCTTATTATAAATATAATAGTTATATAGTTTTAAATCGATAATTAGACCTTCTTTTAGTACTCTATTTTCTTTCTCTAGAGATATTAATTCGATAATTAATAAACTCTTATTATAATTCTCTTTATTCGCGTCGAATTAATTTAGCTATACTATATCGAGGCTTAGCGTATTAATATTCTTATTCTAAACTCTTTTAATTATCGTAGCCATATCTTTAATATTAAATATATTAATCTTTACTTTATAAAGTAGAAGATTATATATTTTAGTAATTACTCTCGCGCTACTACTTATCTTTAGAGTTTAATTCTTACTTTTTCTTAGTTTATTCGCCTTCTTCTTATTTGTAATTATAATATATATATCGCTACTCGCTAGCCTTCTAGTCGTTTTAATAGATTTTCTTATAGTATTCGTACTTTTTATATATCTATTAATTATCGTAATTATCTCACTCGATATCTTTCTCTTTAATACTTTACTTATTATCTCATCTTATAACTTTATAATAATCTCATTTAACTTATTATATAGTATTTAATCTTATTTTAATATTACTAATAATATAATAGAGATTTCTTCGATAATAAAGAAGAATATCGAGGATTAGTTTAGTACGCTAGTATAGCTAGTTATCGATATATTACTTTTTAGACTAGCTATCTAATACTTAATATATATAATCTTTTTCTTTATATTATTATCTCGATTACTTAAATTAATAACTAGTTTATATACTTTATTTAAGACTATTTAGATTTTAAATTTATTATTTATTCTTTTTATAAATACTATTACCGCCTTAAGAATAATAACTACTTCGTTTATTAATAATTTCTAGCCTTTATTTATTATTTTTAATATAATATTTATTAACAACTTTAATATAAATGCGTACTTCTTAAAATTATAGCTATTATAATTTCATTAAGATTAACTAGTCTTATTCGATATAATTATAGAGATATAGACGTTTTCTAAAGTTAATTAAAGAGATACTAGTCTTACTAAGTACTTTAAATATATATATCTACTTTCTATAACTTAATAATATAATATAAGCGTTATACGAAAGATTAATATTTAATAATTATTAAAATCTTAAAGGCAATTACGGGAATTGCAAAACCTTAAACGAAATTAGCGTACGACTTTTCCTCGAAACTCTTAGAGTTAATATATTCTCTTCTCTTAACATTAATCGATTGATAACTCGAAGCGAGATCTTGGTAATAATTGGAAAGCTGCTTTCTTAATACTTAAGAGTTGAAATCTTAAATGGCTTCTACGCTAAGAGGCTAGTGACCAATCAGACCATCGAATCTCACCATTCTTAGTCTAAAATACACCTTATTTCTTCATTTTCGATCTAAAAGCGGGTGCACACGGGTACGTCCAAAAGAGGAAGCTGGAAAAGAACTTCAAAATCCTCAAATCTACCTTTTTTGATTCCTTTTCTTTTATTAAAAATATAATAATAAAATAAGTACGTAGAGTTATAGAGTTAACTATGCGCTTTTAAACAGCATAGCGTAGACGAAATTTGATAAAGTATCCGTAAAGATATACTAAAAACTAAGATTTTTACTTGAATTATCGAGCTTGCGAGAAGAGCCTCTCCGGCAGAAGCCCTCGGAGAGCCCTCGGAGAGCCCCCGGAGGGTTAGGGGGGTTTCAGGCGGTCTCCCCCTGATCAGTGAAATATAACATCTCTCTCTCGATTCTCAGGGTTAGATCTCTTAAAATCCCTTAAACCCTTCGGAGCTCTTTAAGGGCTCTCCGAGAGCTTATAGAGTATCGGAGGGGCTGTCAAAGCAAGCTCGAAATTTGATTGTTTTAGTGATATTTGATTGATTTCGAGCTTGCTTTGACAGCCCCTCCGATATAAGCTCTCGGAGAGCCCTTAAAGAGCCCCCGAAGGGTCCGAGGGGTTTTAGGAGGTCTCTCTAAGAATCTAATATAGTTAAAAACCAGTACTCGGCAAGCTTTTCACTACTGAGAAGCCCGCGCCTTAGCACATATTAAGGAGTTGTCTTGTCGAAGGCTTGGCCACTGTATGCATACATGCTCTGTAGATCAATGTTACGCCACAACGTTGCATTTCCCTTTCAACCAGAGTCCAGAGTGGGATAATTTTGCAGTCCATCGAGAAAGACGATTTGATGCCGAAGGCTTCCGCAGTCGGCATATCGAAAAATACTGCTGCACTGGTTGGACTGCGATGGACTGCGCCTCACCATTACTTTCAACAAACAAGTCAAGCATGTTTCTTCTTTTTGGCCCCCAGTTGTTGCGATGGGTGGCCCGTCTTAGTTGCATCAAGTCCAGATGGCAGGATCTACAAAGCCACGAGCCCCATATGGAGGTCTTCGGCGGCGCGTACATGTTTCATGCACGAATCTCCGACTTGGCTTGTACACCTTCTGCAATCCTTCCTAATCCTGGGAGGAAAATGGCCAACCATTGTGCTACCTGAGCCGCCCATTGCGCCGCTCCCAACATTTATGGTTCCTGACCATTGAGTATGTTGAACTCAAGTGAGACGCTCTGCATACCCTTATGCAGAATGTATGCGCCCGATCCAATAGCATCTTTGGCTGAGGGATGGAGACCAGCCCTTGCACATGGTTAATAATTCATGTTTGGGGGGGAAGGAGGAGACTGGTGGCAGGATTATATGTTCCGGATTCCTTCACCAGGTTAAAAAACGAACAACTCATTCAACGTCGCATGTGCAAGGCTGTGAGGAGTCGATCCCATTCAAACTCCAGCATTGCTCTTGCGTTTGAACTTGAATCCTGTCAAGATGGCGAGTACGACCACGGGTATGACTCCAGAGCAGGCTCAGGCTGCGCTCCGCACACTGCTCGAAGGGCCAGCGATGAGCCCTCCGGCAGGAGTGATCCCTAATTTCCACAATCCACCCAACCTCAACGTGTTTGTCACCTTGACGATAACTCTTTGCGTCGCTTTCGGTACTCTGGCTGTGCTTTTGCGCATGTACACTAAGGTGTTTATTCTTCGAGCGCTAGCATGGGAAGATTGTAGGTTTCCCTCATCGTTGTGAAATTGCAGCCGTTACCTTACTGATGCCGTTCAGATGTCATCGTCCTAGCATGGGTAAAGCGGTCCGCTTGAAACTGGATCGGTCTTCTGCTGACTTTATCAGCTGCTTCAGATTGGGGAGACTATCCCTTCCGGGATCGTGACTCGGTATGGGGGGGGGACCCATATGTGGAACGTCCAGCTACAAACCTTTTTCAGGATGCTTTACGTGAGATTGATCACGAGAGGAAGCCAAAATGGTGGAACCCGGCACTGACAGCATGTTTAGTGGATCAACATCTCAGCCGTCGTCTACGGCTTTGTGGTCTTCTTCATCAAACTTTCCATCCTGCTCCAATACCTTCGCATCTTCGCACCCACCAGAAAAGGCAACATGTTCATCTATGTTGGGGTTCACCTCTGCATCTGGACCAATTTGGTATTCTATCTCACCGAGACCGTGTTTGAAATCGCTATATGTACTCCACGCGAGAAGATTTGGAACCCGCTGATGACAACCGGGCATTGTTTCAGCGTCGACGTGACTTTCCAGGCCACTGGGGTCTTCAACGTCATCTCCGATTTCGCAATACTAATACTGCCCATGCCCTGCGTCTGGAGGCTACGGTTACCGCTGAAGAAGAAGATACTCATGACGACCATCTTTGCGACAGGTCTTTTGTAAGTAGTCCTTCATATCACAACCTGGCTCGGAGATGTGAATGTCGCCAGAGTCTCGCAACTTTGTCACGAACACCTGCGTTCTGCGGTATTTCCATGAGTTTTGACTAACATTCATTGCCTTAGCGCATGCATAACCTCCATCTTACGGACGTACTATACCTGGAAGATCGTCCAGTCGCCTGACATAAGCTATAACATGGTCCCCATGGGCATGTGGACTTACGCCGAGCTCTCCACCGGGATCGTCATCAGCTGCCTCCCAGTCATACCAAAATTTTTCCAACATATCGGTCCCAAAGTATCCAGCGCCCTTACACTCAGGTCCAAATCCACAAAGGAGTCAGGTCACGAATCGGCATCCGCGACACCCTCGGACAAAGTCCGAGCCGAAAAGCTCAAGCTACCCAGTTTCAAACACACGTTTGCTTCGGTCGTTTCGAGCACGGAGAAGGATGATGACCATGAGATGTATAGCCAACAGTCTCTTCCCAAGGGGGAGTATGTCCAGCTTCATGAGGAAACGGCTATACCGAGGCGCGATGCTACTAGGGAACTGATTCGGATGCCGACGGCGAAACTTGCCGCGACGCGAGATGATTTGGAGAGAGGATATGGGAGGTTCTAGTTCGCCTGGAGCAATACCTTGAATAGATGTCAATTCCTGAGGATTGCCGATCACGAATCTGTATTGAAGCTGGTGGGGCGTTCTGGTGAGGCGAAGTCAGGATTAAGGGGATGCTTGTGGAGCGAAATGGAGCTTTCAGAGTCATATGTGAGTGGCCCGCGCAGACTTGAGAGAGGGCTGCGGCGTATGGCTTTTGGCAAACAAAGTCCGAGCATATCTTGAGCTGAAATACTTTTCCCGATGGGTCTCTGCTTTAAAGGTACGCGCCGCAGGGCTACGTACTGTGGCGCATTGATAGGCTCACGATGTAAAGACTAAGCCATCATTCTGCGCAAAGGCAGAGGACACGTGGCACAGTCCGCATGATCGATCACACCTAACCAGACTTTTCGGCCTCATCTGAAGCAACCCCAACATCCCAGGGAGCCAGCAGGTGCAAACGCAGCGCAGGACCAAGCAAGCATGCATGCATCGCTGACTCAACTCTGATGGCTTGAACATTCCGTGACGTGACAGACCATCCGTTCCCGGCCCGCTCAGCACCCTATGCATAGAAAAACGCCGAAAGATCTGCATCTTTCTTTTCCCTGGAATTCTACACCTCCAGCCAACTTGGCACTCTTCATCAGCGTACTCTTATCCCGAAACTTGCTCCAATGCTGTTGCATCTACAGGCTCGTTGAGAGCATTATTACCATCTCTACATAACTCATTGTTGAAAACAATGATATGAGAAAAGTCATCTGAATGAGGCACGAATCATCATCGCACCTAGATAGCATCCGAATACGACGCTTTCGCGCCGTCCTTTCATGCACATGCGAATCTGAAGGCTGCGCTAACATGCTGACTGCATGTGGCCCGCATGATCCTTCCTTCCTTCCTCCCAAAACTCGAATGGTGCAGGAACTGGCGTTGATAGAGCCAGAGTTGTTGTGTGGAGCGTGACTTCCATAGATCTTTTTATTCTCTGGGATTGGTCGATGCAGGATGAAGAATGGATTGTGAGGGTCGCTGATGCTGTTGCGTCGTGTGGAGGATGTCGAGAGTCGTTTCTAGGTTCCGGTCGAAGGTGCGTTGATGACTACTCTGTGTCTGTTTTTTGAATCTGATGTCGAAAGCTGATTTTAATGTAGTGTCTGCGAAGTGCAGCCTTGGGCGGCTGATATAGAGAGTGTGCAGAGAAGATGGTGTGGAGCAGAGTCAGGAACAGGAACGATTTGCGAAAGTACAACATTAGCCGAAAGGTCTTGGCAATCTCGGTAGCTGCTGCCCTCAAGGCAGGGGCCTCTACCTGCGGAGCTCCCACTTGCCCAGTCATTCATTCATCAACAACGATTTTTCTCGCTCCCTTATCGATAGAGCATTCTACGCACTCGTACCATCAATGGGCTTTGTCAATCCTCGAAAAACTATAGAACACCTTACACTTTAGCACATGATGCGAAGGGGGGAGTGGCAAACTTCGTGGCGAATACGAGAAGTGCTGGCAAAAGATTGATAAGATCAATACATGTGTTGGAATGCCTCCGGCCGTCACATTGCAGTGGCAACCTTTCCACTCATGCCATGATATGCGACCTGGTAGGTTCCTCCAAGCGGGGCTTTTCCCCGCATCCAGTGAGTATCTGACACTTGCACCAACGACCTTGAATTCAGCCGAAGCTAACAATTCTCGTTTGGCAATCATGCTTGACAAGCAAGTTAACAAACACAACTTTGCTTGGGCGAGAATAGATCCGCATTCTTGGATTGCGCACGTCCACCGGACCTCGCCAAGTCGAATTGATTGTAGTTTGCGCAAACATCTGGCGAGTTTTACGGCTCGTGTATAAGTACTCTTGAAGTCCTGAGGTTTGACCGCGGACGCTTTCAACGATGGCCACTTCCAAAGGCTTTGTGATGGTACCTAAAACAATGTGGTCATTGAGGATGACCCTACCGCTCACTTCTCCAATCAGATGCAGGACTTTCACTATCGTGCTCATCGATTACATTTCATCTCCCAGTCACATGCGAAATCCTCTTGCCCGTAATGCACGTTACCGTGCCTCGGTCTGTATGATAGGTCGGGATTTCCTCTGCGCCTGAGTCTAGCGGCGATTCTCCTTCCTGAGTAGCGTCTCCTGGCGCTCTGGTATTCCAATCATCGAATACGGAGATAGAGTAGCATTTGCTTCCCTCTGGCTCCTCTTGGACCAGTCTAAATATAATCACTTCGAGCGGAGAAGGGTCTGATTGAGGGATAACAGCTCACGAGACTAGCAGTAGCTTTTGGGAGTGCTTTCAATGCTCTTCTTATAAACATTGCAGCCGTGTTCGAGGGAACTCTTTGGTCGATTTTATGCTACCCTTGCTGTCTATGTTCTGGTGCACCAGGACTCTGACAATCTGTCTGTTGGTATGTGTGACGATGCTCATAGGTCTCTGATACTAACAATGCCAGACTCGAGCATGTTCGCATCAGAATCGGATCTCATGGCGCTTTGTCTAAGTCCCACCAGTGGCTTCGCCGCCTTCCCCCGAGAATTACGAGATGTTGTCTTCTCGTGCATCGGTTCTGCTGCGGGGGTAGAAATTGACAGCCACGACAACTATTATCTACTTCCGTACGAGCGGTAGGGATCAAAGCTTTACCCACTGTATCGAAATGCTTCACAAATGGGCGCCCAGATCCTACATCGCCAGAGGAGCCTGCGAAGTGCTGTGGTCCAATAACACGTTCACTCATGGCTGGTGCTTTACACTCCGAAATCATCATCGATCCACGCGCACACACTTCGCTTGATGATACGCAAAGATGCAAAACCGTGGTCAAGAAATCTGTGGGAACGCCGATAGATTTGAGAGATTGCGTGCAGAAGATTGAACTATACACCTGCCCTAACCCTGGCAGTCTCGCCAAACCTACAGAACGCGACTCGGAGAGCTTGTTGAAGCTCCAGCATGAAATATCCCAGCTTTGCCATCTTGCCCATCTACGCCAAGTGAAGCTGGCCATATGGATTCCTCAGGAATGCGACGCCTACTTCGAGGCCATGACTGTTGTAGAGAGCATCTCCGATGCTTGCAAAAAGCTCAGTGAACGACTCGGCGCCGGCTTGACCGTCACCCTTCCCAGGGCTTGGCCATATGATGTCTTCGAGTTCGAATACATAGATGAGCTGGATATTAGCTGGATGTGGACTCCGCCCAGCCAGACGCATAGGCAGTGCGTTCGAGATGGTACCGCGAGAGGACATGAGAAGATGAGGGTACTCATTGCCGACGGAGTCCACGCAACCGGAGAGAGCACTCTGCTGGATGAATTACGCTATGCTGCCTTGAACCTGCCTCAAAGAAAAGAAGAGATTGCGAACATGGATGTCTGGGAGGCTTGGAATGGTGTTAACGAGACTGAATGGAAGTGGATCAAGGAAACTTGGCAGAGATATGATGCATATTTGTGAGACGCACTGAAATCTATGTGCTTCGGGGGAAGCCCCGTGCGGGTTAAAGGATGCATTTTATGCGACTCCATTCAATATTTGCTGTGCGTTTGTTGCTCGTCCTTGAATCCAACATCTCAGGGCTGAGGGAAATTATGTATTTCGGTATATGCGTTTGTCAGTGAGTCTTTTCCAACAATCGACTCGAACATCTGCTACGAATTCCAAAGCATTTGAACACTTGCTGGGTGCAGTGAAAGTCAATAATACTAGTTTTTACTAATCCAAACAGCCTGTCGTCATCTCCTTTCCGTGTTCATTTTTCATCACTCCTCTTCTGGCCCCCTAGGCAATACAAGCAACTACCATCAGTCCGTCCCCCCTCCCTCCCTCCCTCCCTCCATTCGCCCGTCGACTTCATTCTTCTACCCGGCAGCTCTTCCTCTCCGCCTCCTAGGTAATACAGGTCCTGCCCCCACGCCAGACTGGCCCGCGAGGGGCCACCGATCCCACCACACCAACTGCTATCCAACCACTGCATGGACGGACCCCCAAACCCTGATACCAGGCACTTTCGTGTCCGCAACGATTTGCTGTCCATGTCTTATCTCGCACGATGGAGGAGGGTGTCTACCGGACCTGTTCGAGCGCGGTCGTATGCCATTTCTGTGCGTGTTGGCATCGGGTGTGTCGAGGCCATCTGCGATGGTGAGATGACGCGTGCGGAGGTCGGCGGGATCGAAGCCAAGGGTCTACGGCATATTGCGCCCCTGAGCGGGCGTTTGGAGAAATGGTTGCATCGGATTGAGCATGCGGTTTATTGGCTTTGCGGCTGAATGTACAGAGCGCGCGTAGGGACATGGTGTGGGCTAAAACGTGCGGACATTAGGATGAATAAATGGGATTGGGAAGCCTGTGGGTTATCAATATCGCGCCTACGGGGTTGATGTGTGATGTTGGGACTGCAGAGGTGGGTCATGCGGTAGTATTGTACGATCGAGCGTCGGCTGAAGTCGTGGCTAGGATGAAAGGCATCGGCGGATGGGGTTTGGTGCCGTGCATCTATCCCGAGCACATATCGTAGTTCTTTCTCACGCGATACGGCTATGAGTCAGGATGCAGACTGAGTGCGGTTCAATCTCCGTCAATGCATCGCTGCACCATTTTCTGAAGACGAAGACGGTGTCGCTCTCTAGGTAAAATTCTTTGCCCATGTTTGCTGACTTATCAACGCAAGATGTATAAATGAAATAAGGTCAGGATCACAAGTATCGCCCGAGTCTAGAGATCTAACTTACTTTACGAGAATGCCAGAGTTACGTGCCTAGGGTTGAAGTAAGGCTGGTTAATACCAGATTCGCAGCCTTTTCTGCTTCTTGGAGGACTTAGATTGAAGGCATAGGTATGGAAGATGGAAGGCTAGTTTATGAGGCTGTTAATTAGTGCTATTAGGATGGAGAGTGTGTACGGCAGTGTGGGACTTGGGATGTAGAAATGATAGGGGACGGATGTGTGCGCTTGATCCGTTCTATGAAGCAGTTGAAGGGCTAGGCGCAACCACGGACAGAAGGAGCATAATTGGGATACGGAGATGTATCTGCGGTAGAACCGAATTCGTGGTTTACACATTTATCGTTGTATTGCCTGTTAAGGTGGCGTGGCAAGCAGTTTGAGATAGTATACGGATGCTGTAGAAATCGAGGGTTCATACGATGGTGATTGGTGGCTACAGAGCATCACATACGCATCAGGCTTGGACAGTGGTCTATTCTAAAGCTTGACCTTTCGTTCCCGTTTCAGCTGGCCTTTCTCCCGCGGCTACCTCCTCGATCGCTTCCTTGATAATCTGGCATCCCTTCGCCATATCCTCCTTCGTGATGTTGAGCGGTGGTATAAATCTGAGGGTGTCGTAGATCGAGGTCGTGAGCACCAGCATGTCCTTCTCCATACATTTCGCCTGTATCTTCGATGCGTATCCATGGCCCGGCGTACATTCCAGCGCCAACATCAATCCCAAGCCCCTCACGTCGAAGATCATCTTGCTGGTTTTGGAATCAGACTTTGCTGCGTCGAGCATGCCCTTTAGCTCCGCCCCTCGAGCAGCAACATTTTCCAAAATCTTCTCGTCTTGAAAGGCTTTAGCGACGGCGACTCCGGCTGCACATGAGACTGCATTTCCAGCGTAAGTGCCTCCCATCGATCCCGGCTTCTGCATATCCATCAATTCCTTTCTCGAAACGATCGCAGAGAGTGGGAAGCCGTTTGCAATCCCTTTTGCCATGACTAAGATGTCTGGCCTGACACCCCAATGCTCGATCGCGAACATTTTCCCCGTTCTACCGAAGCCGCACTGCACCTCGTCTGCAATCAAGAGGATGTTGTTCTTGTCGCAAATTTCCCGAACCTTGGCAAGGTATTCCGCAGGAGGTGGAACGTAGCCGCCTTCGCCCAGGACTGGCTCAATGACGATAGCAGCAGTGTCAGATGGCGCAGTCTCACGTTTAAGGAGCAGCTCGAGCTGGAGTACGGGGTCCATGCAACAACTCTCAAAGCCGTACTTCCCATCCGAATGGGTGGCGACTGAGCATTGCGCGCAGTAGGGGAAGGGAACGGAGAACACGCCAGGCATCAATGGAGCATAGTTTTCGCCGTAGACAGTCTTGGAGCGCGTCATTGCCATGGTTCCGAAAGTTCGTCCGTGATACGAACCCTGCATGACGATGATATTCTGTTTCTTGGTTGCGTGCCGAGCCAACTTGACCGCCGCTTCGACAGCCTCCGCTCCCGAGTTCCAGAAGAAGAAGGTGTCTAGCGACTCGTGAGGCATTAGAGGTAGAAGCGATTTTATCAGTTCGAGGTAGGGCTTCTGAAAGGCTATGTTGATCTGTCCGTGGACGAGCTTGCCGACTTGTGACTGAGCTGCCTTTGTCACGGCTGGATGGCAATGGCCTAGGTTGGCGACTCCGATACCACAGGTGAAATCGAGCATCCTGCGGCCTCCGACCATGGTGACATAGCTGCCAGAGCCGCTCTCAATGACCTCGCTCGCGAGTCTCCCGATGCCCCTGGCTACATGCCTGGTGCCGAATTGAGCTAGCGCGGAGGCACTCATGATGGAGAGAGTTAGCACAGGAAAGAGAAGTCAATTAGTGAGCCTTCGCGCGTCAAGGTCAGTCGACGAGTGACGTAAGAATCTAATCTAGCCGTCTGTGTATAGCTACCTTATGGCAGTGTTGATCAAGTGCATTGGCTTTGGAAACTCTTTGACTTGTATCTAATTTCTGAGGCTCATCGTGTTGAAGTCGGCGAACGGACAATACAGTGTTTGTGTTTATGGAAGCTGGCTTGTAGTTCCTTGGAAATTTACGAGCTTCTTAGCGGTGCGGGGCTCATCCGCCGTGATACCGCTAAGGTAAGATTACCATGGATCGCTAGCGTTATGGCTAGTAACAGAACCCCGCAAGATGCCAAGCCCAGTCACGTACTCGTAATAGGGGCTGAAATGGTTTCATACTTCTACTTGACTGGATACACATTTATTAAAATCTTCGAGTCCTTGGGAATATAAAACCAAATATACTTCAGTACAGGCCTACAGTACCGAGTATCAACTCTACAGTATCAGTCTCCATTTCTTTCCTCCTTCCATCTCTGGCCTTGTTCTTCCTCTTACTCTTCAGCTTCGTACCCTTCGACGCTGACTATCGTACGGGCCATGTTCGGCTTGATCTCAACAATGATGAAAGCGTCGGCTAAGGCCGAGTACTTTCCACCAATTCCAATTTGCTAAAGTAAGAAGTCACGTCAGCTTCCCATGCCCTGGTCTCATACCCCAACGTTCACAAACGATAGGCTAGACTCGCCACTCTCACCACTTGCTCTGTCGGCTTTCCAACACCAAAAAGCTGAATTAGATATGGCACTTTGTCGTGTGTCGTGCCGTAGAGGATGATTGCTGGGACTTCGACGGTGCTGTTCTCATAAAATTGCAGGGTATGCAAGGCCAGCTTGAACGGTTGCGTTGATGGCGCCTGTTATCCTGCCGCCCGTGATGGGTTCCACTATCATGAATTTCAGTAGCGTCGATCAAAGTCAAGAAACATTGCACGTACGAACACGCACTCCGCCTCGGACCGGAAGTGGCAATGGTGATATGGGTTTTGCTATATCGATACTGGCGGAGAAGAGACGAACTAAGGGAGGAGGAGCAGCCGATGATGGAGCGCTGGCTGAAGACGTTGTTGTGAAGCAAGCGAGAAGTGGGATGAGCTTCATGATGAACATTGTGAGTCGGTCTCTTCGAGACAGGTCTTGTATGACAGCTGCTGTATGGCTGATGTTAAGTTGAGATGGGAGATGCTGTGTTGTAAATCTGTTTCCTCTGGCAGGGGTACGATACTTATATTTTTCTCTCGTCGGTGCCGCTCATGCGCTAGAACAAAACCCAACCATCTTGTTGAGGGTCCGAATCCCCACCAAAGTCTCCCTGACCAGCAGGAAAGCGCCATTGCAGTCTTCAATCAACATGGGTCCAACGTACATGCGCGCACAGAACTCTCTTGACCCGTAAGCAATCTCGCGTGTTGGCAACCGGAAAGGGCTTAGCGCTTGGATCGTAATGCAACCAAGACCGAGGCGGAAAAGTAGCTTCATCCATCTGCTTCAAAAAAGGAGAGGGGTTTCAAAGCCAGTCATGCCTATGAGTCTGGCTCGGGTTACAAGGTTGTTAGACTTACCGAAGTAATCGGAGCAGAAGACTAAGCCGCATCTTTGTCAACTTCGTTGACACGCTGGCGATACGTGAAATACACGGCCGAAGGTCCGAGAGACATGTACCATGAAAGAGGCAAGGTGCAGTTGAGATAAACACGTGGAGGAGTTGGATGAATAGGAGTAAAAAAGGTTCCTGAATATACTCCTAATTGTGATGACTGCGGGCTGCCCAGAAAACATACGCTTTTCTCTGCTTCGACCTATCTGTACATTCCTGTCATCACTTTTCTTAGCCCGCACCTCATAAATGCACACATCATTATGCTCGACCTGCTTTGGACCGAAAGAAGCTGTTTAATACCCAAGCTGTGGGAGCGCACCCCACTCCTCACTGGTTTCAAATATGCCATATATCTCCCTGCTAGGTGGGAATAGGTCGAAAAAATCAAGTCTGCGCCGAGTATCGTCGCCCCTGGTGTCTTGCAAAGTAGTGGATGGCTATTTTGCTCCTAGAAGAATGCGCCGTGACGCGACCTCGTGCATAGAAAGAGCGGCTTTCTCTTCTGGTCTCTCAATCCCACGATCGATATTCATGTCGTCCCATCGTCCCCTGGTGCCTCCACGTTACCCAGCGATTTGGCCACGACGTACTGGGAGTCATTCCTTGGCTGGTTTCCTGCATCCTTCAACCCCTTCTCGGTCTTGGCCTGCATCTTGCGTACGAGCATTGCTTCCACTAAATCCTCCCCTGAATCTGCCCTTTGCCCCTCTGGGTCTGCCGTATCTGCCAGCTCTTGCGCCTTTGCTTCTTCCTTGTTGGCAAGCATCATGGCCCGGCTCTGGTTCTGAATATTCTCAAATACACTGGCTTCCGTGAGACCGTACACCCTCCGAGTACATCTCTGTGACTTCCTGGGTTTCGACGGCGCCTTCTTGACAACGGTGGCCTGTTCCTCTAGCTGATTTTGTACAACTGGTCTCTGCCGTATGTTGCCGGCTTTGGGGAACTGTGGGAATGAATGTTCGCGTACTGGTGCTATGAAGTTGTCTTGCACACTCGCGAGTGGGCGTAGCCGGCATCGCGGTCATACTCAACCGCCAGCTGGCCCTTGCGTGACACCAACGCATTCCCAGTGATACCATTGAACAGGGCAACAGTTGTTGTCGCAGGCTGTTCGTTCTCCACTTCCTTTCCCGCCGCAGGTACATAGAACGCGAGAGCTCATCCCTGTCTCGTGACTTAGTCCGAGTAAGAGCGGCCCTTATAAGCCTTTGCGACGCTGAGTTATCGGTGCTTGTACTAGTCTTGGTGTAAGAGTGTCGGTGTGGGAAGACTTTGTTGGAGTCGAAGACTTTGGGATGGGATTGTTTGGGATCGAGTTGGGTGAGATGATGAGACGTGAGGGGGCTGTTGAAGTTTGAAAATGAGAGGAGGAGTAGGTATGTGGTTGGAGGAAGATGGGTTGGATTGACTGGGGGGTGAATTGTTGGATGCTCCTCCACATGACGCGACGCGATGCGATTTTCCTAGTTCTTCCCCCTCTTTCCTTGCCCCTCAACTCAACCCATCTCGTCGTTCGAAGAGGTTGAGGTGGTGATGTGTGATGGCGGATGTGTTTTCGAGCATAAACCCGATCCGTAGATGCAAACGGCGACGTGCTGACGCTCAATGTGTTGAGCGGAGAGTAGGCTACCAAAAGTCCTATGTCTGTTCCCTAGTCACGATATCTTAAGTCACGACATTAACACTTATACATAGGCGTGGTAGGTAGATCAAGATAGAAGTAAACATTCTCCATGGTAGTAAACCTTTCTCAATATTGCGAAGCGAGTATAGGGATACAATTTCAGAGAGGAATTTTGTACCACTGAGTAGGAAGAAAGTGGGAGAAGAAAGAGGAAGAAGGTAAAAGGTTGCACAATCATCAATCATTGACAGCTATAGATCCAGAAGATAAAGCGGCAATGAAACCGAGCTTTGTGCATAATTTGAGGGAGAGGGTCTTTGGAACTACGGTTTGCGTTGTCCACTTTCGCGGACTCAGACTTCAACACAGACAGGATTCTCAAGCCGCACACATGAAAAGACCATGGTTCTTTGAGTCTATTGATATCTGTGTAACCCTCCCTTACTTAAAGTAGTTCCAATACTCCGCCCTGCACTTCTTTCTTGGCGCTCTTGACCGCTCCGGCAGAACGTCGGCCAAACGTGCCACACATTTGCCTTCCTTCGGTAACCGTGGTCCTGTTGGATCTCGAGTTTCATCTTCAGCCCATCTGAAGCTGGCTGTGAGGCATATAGAATCCTATATCACAGCTCAGATGCACCTTCGTGGTTTTGCTCTCGTGTAATTGTTACCGCAGCCATGTAGGGAGCTCCACCCGTCCACAGTTTCCTGCTTCGCCCAGTCCCTGCAGCACTGTCAAGAATGATCTGGAATGTACGAGGCTGATAAAGTAGGGAAGCTAGCCATACTCTCTGGGATGTAACTTGAAGAACAATACTTCCCGAACGGTCATCTTGGGAAAGTTATGAGCAAGTCAATGATCTTTCGCTCTGGCATTGCCAACCTCCGACTGGCAACAAATGATCGTTTGCCTCGTCCATACTATTTCCTTCCATACGCATAGCGTAATCCTGCATTTTTCCTGCGTCTGCATCGTGATAGGGTTAGCCCCTGGGTCTAGCACGTGGCACAACACTCCCCTGTTTCGACCGCAGTTCTTGGCAACAAGGGTTCTTATGAAAGTCGAATCTCTACAAGTCTTTGACCTTGGGAAGGTATCTGAAATATATGGGAAGTTTATCTTCTGCTGTCACGACGTTCGGACCGACGCTCGGTCCTTGCGAAAATCATCTGTACTCGAAGGGATCTGACAATGTCATTCGCCTGTACCTTGTTAGCCCTTTGGTTCTACCAAACATGTTTCGTAGGCCTGTTGGTCGATTGTGCAGTCCTAGAAGAAAGACAACCTCTTCCGATATCTCTGACCTCTTTTCCCAATTCATCATACCAAGCCAGTACATGAACCCCCGTCGCTTTTCAACAACCCAAGGGTCTTTGCTGATTTACTTCAGATATGACTGCGGGCATTACTAAGGTTACCAAAGTCGTCGCAGTTACATCTTTCGTAGATTCAATGGGGTTGTCTTCATCATCAGCTGTGTCAGATCAGTCGCACGGAGTTGATGTCATCACCAAAGTTGTCAGAGTCGGACCTACTACGGTTAATACCGCAAACTGCCAACCATTGCTCTGCAGTCTCAATGTGGCGGTCAGTGATAAACTCTCATCCGCGAACCCGCGCATTCTCTAAATTTAATCTTAGTCGGTCTCGGTGTTTTATTGGCCCCAGCAGTCCGCAAACACAGCGTGTCTCTCCACAATATCCAGTCCACCATCAGCGCTGCCCCCAGCGGGATTAAACCCGTAAGTCAATTTCTTGGCCTGTTGCAGAAAGTGCCCAAGTAACACACTGACCGCCCTTGAAAGGCAATCTTCAAGTATATACGCCATCTTCTATTCATTAAGCCTTAGCAATGGCTGCGGTAGCCTTAGCACGACCTACGATTCAATCACGATGTCCTTCACCCCCGGCGCCCTATCGACCGTGAACCCTTTCGGAGACTCTGCCGAGGTTTTCAATTTTGCCGATCTGCCCTGTCCGCCACCAGGTCTATATGTGGAGCCCGGACAATTGTACCAGCCTCAATTTGCACCACCGCGAGCATTTTTCAGTAGCCTACGGGCCGCGGACCCGGCTGCCTTACAGGGCTGTTCCGATGGGGTGTGGGCGGACGGCTGGACTGATCCTCCAATAGCTTTCATCACGGCTGGCGCCCTCACAGGGCCTGGGTTGGCGGGCGGAGGTCGTCCTCCCCGTCGGATAAGGAATATACCAGCGAATGCACATGTAACAGCGAGGACTCCGACTAAGACTGCCGACGCCCCATAGACAGTGTTCTTTGAGCATCTGGACGTCTCGATCTTCCTTTTCAGACTAGCATTGCAATATGAGGAGTCCTCAAACCATGGTCGTGCGATTACGCTGAGGTTTGTACCTCGAGAGAAAGGCAGAGGGATAGATGTGATGATGTTTTTCTGTCTGTGGTTGCAGGAAGTTTCAGGGCTTTGAGGATCTCAATTTTAGTCTTGTTCCTGTCGTATTTGAAGTATCAGAGAGCTAGGAAAGTATTAGAGGTGTTAAACCAACAGCGTGACAACAAGCAACCTCAGTTTATGACTTTCTGTCAACGGCTCCGGTGGCTTGGTGTAGAGCTCGGCTGAGGCGTGGATCACCGTGCAAGACATTCCGAAATTGCTGCCCCCGTATTCCTCTTCTTTTCAACACCCATCGAGCTAGCTTCCTGCTTTCAGTGCAGAATAAGGGAAGGCTAGAGAGGCTAGCCATCTAGATAATCTCAATGGTAATGAATGTGGTAATAATGCGATGCCGCCTCCCTCGACTTCGTGAGCTGCGACTTACACGGGCTCAGCAATTATCGTCAAAAAATAGGAAAATTTGGCGTACTTCAGCGCTTGATATACCCGGGCCATTGGAGGCCAGTCTGTAACCCTAGTTCCGGGAGCCTTCACTCCGTACGAGTAGAGCCTTAGGAGCTACGCCACAGCATCGCTTATACAGATGCGAAACGGAAGCTAGTTGCGCTTGTAGCTGCCGTCGTTGTTTCACCGGAACAGCTGTTTCAAATTGCCTGATGCGACGTCAATCTAGAGAATATCTGCCTAGATGGGTAGAGTAATTCTATAAAAGTCATGCGTCGACGAAATATCCCTCCTTATAACTACCACCGAACCCTGGTTGAACGCAATGGCCCAGTATGCTGCAATTAATTTCCGATCCTGCCATGATGTCGACATCCCGGTACAAGGTGTGTGGTCCGACACTTGCCGGTCTTCGCCAAACGACAGCTCAGCGCAAAACGTGTTTCTCTCTTGTTCTTCGCTTCATACTGCCACCTTGGCAGACTAACGGTAGAAGCGCAAGGGGCTCACTGTCTCCTGGGCTCATAATATAAGAGTGCTCTGTGCGCTATTGTCGTCGTCTCCTTCGTACCTCCTCCTTTCAGTCACATTACATTGCATTTGTGGCCACCGTCTCGCACCCAGCTCACCTCATTCGCTCACCATCATGCGGACCCTTACTGTTATCCTCTTCACACTCGCTACCCTCCTTCTCCCTATAGCGGCGGTGCCAGCGGGTGTTCTAGCCAGCCGTCAGGAGGGTCTGAACAGCCCTAACGTACGTATCCTCTACCAATCTCTCTTCTCCGCTAACCCCCCGACAGTTACCCGTCTGTGCCGGCACCAGTTCCCCAGCCGGCACAGGTGTTTCCATGCAGACATACTGCATCGACACAATTGGCGCCAGGTGCGCTCTCGTATTGGTCTTCCCTAGTTCCACCGGTAGCGGAAATCCGGGCAATTGCGGCAATGCATGCTCATGCTCCCAGTCCGTACGTGTTTTCGGACCTTTAAGTCTCCTCTTTTGAAACAACCTATAGTGTTTGAGTCAAGTATCGAGAACGGTCGCTCTGTAGACACGTTTCAAGACTTTTGGCACCCTTTCGGAGAGGCGATGCTGACCTCGAAAAGAAATGCCCGGCCACGTCTGTCTTTTGTTCCTCATGTGCAGGGACTCCCAGTTGGGGCTGTACCGCTGGGGTGAATGATGGATGCAGTTGTACATCCTCCCAGACCGATACCGACTCCCAGGATATAGACAACGTGGACGGTGAGGACTCCACGTCTGATACGGAATCAGAACCCTGTCCCGGGGTCCCCGCTTGCAGCAGTCTTGAATGTGAGGGAAATGGCTTTGGGCGCTGTACCCTCGGACGCTATAATGATTGCCCTTGTGTCGCGTCACAGATTCAACGGGCGTCGCTGTGATGTTGAACATGGTAGCTTCAGTGTTCAAGCTGGTGAATATCGATGGACTTATACTTTGTACCGCATATTGCAATAAAAGCTCGTATAGCGCGTTAGTGAATACACTTTTTTATACAACACACGCGATGCCATTCAAACAAGGGTCTCATTCATTCCTCGAGTAGATGGAATTGATACAAACTAACATCTAGCTATTTTTTAGATCGAGGCTCAGATGCAGTCCTTGGTAATTGCTCACCACATTATTTCTCATGAGCGTCAGCGGCCATCTTGACTGACTTTTTGGCACCCAAGACCTCGCTCGCATAAGCTTGATCGAAGCGCCTCCTTTCCGCATCCTGAATTCTCGCATAGAATTCGGCAAGCCACACTTGCAAAGCTTCCAGCATCTGGTTGGCGTGCACGTCCATAAGCTCCTTGTAAACTTTGGCAAGCCGCTTACTAAATGCGTCGACATGAGCCTTCAAGCGTTGCAGAGTAACCCAGTCGTCAGTATTGATGGATGCTACCAAGAGTGAATGAGTCTCTCCGACTAGAAGTTGGAGGGCACAACGGCTTTGCAGGACATAAGTGCTTGAGCGACTAATGTTTGATAAGCAGCATGTACGTCTACGAGGTCAGGGTGGCCAGAGATAATAGCGACAATGTTGACTCTTGGATGCCTGGGAGCTGTTCGCAGGATCTATCGCTTGTAGCCATGAAAGGAGGGTGGCGAGGTGGAAAAGTATGCGAGGGTTCAATATGACGCAGATACGTAGGGCGAAAGGAAGTGTAGCGGAGGAAGATGTAACGGAGATGAGCTAAGATGGGACGGGTATGCTTCGATGAATTGCGTTCAATTAGCCCGAGCTCTACACACAGGCAAGCGCAACGACCGAAGGCGAGGAGCATGCCAAAAGCCTCCCGGCTCTGGATTCCCCAGATCTACATCGTTCTCTCTGCTTCTCTTCACTTGGTCTGGTAGCAAGATGTTTTAGCCAGGGTTGATCAAACCCTGGAGGTTGAGATGTACTCATCACGTTGGAGAGGGAAAGTCTTGGAGCAGCCTCTGTCTTTGTCCTTGCTGATGGTTGACTGTATTTGGATGCTCTTGAACCATCTCCGACATATCGGCGTTTGTGAAACTCCGTCCGCCGGGTCTAAGCCTAATCACGCGTAGCATACCCGAATAGTGTCATCGTAGCTCCCGCGTAGCTCCCGCGTAGCGTGATTTTGAAAGACTTAAAAACACACACATCCAAATGTTTTCAACCTTCTTGAAGACAGACACAGATCGCCAGGATGGTGACACACCTGGTTGGGAATCCAGTCTGGTATATAAATCATATACATACCAGACAGAATCTCGTCGTTTCTTCTACTTCTTTCTTCTTCTCGCTTCTGAACCATACCTACCTGCTTGCCAACAGCTGAGAGCGCGTCTCAGATGCCGAGTCATGAGGAGGGTGGTGTTGAGTCCTTGATTGGGCTCTTATATATGGCTTGAATGGCCAGACCTATATAGCTTCCACCTATCGTTGGTTATCGTTTTATCTTTCTTATAACGCACACTCGGACGACCATGGTGAAGCACTCACATTCTCGAAGCCTTGCCTGCGCAGAACTGATCTATTCCAGAGGCACCTTCTGGCTTCAGCTACCCGAGCCCCTGACTACGCCTTGTCAAACACCGGAAACAGCGGATAGGCCACTCCATTATATACCGCAGCGGCATTGACTGGAGTGCTGGCTCCGGCTACCCCAGCCTCTCCTTGGCTTGACTGTCCCTGCCTCGATCGAGTTGCTCGCCCCTCCTCCGCGCTGAACATTCTCATGCCTTATGCCAGGTCCGTCTTAGATGTTTGGTAGCTGCTGTGCTGAAGGCTTGCCAATGTGGGAAAGATGGGGTCGTTGCGATTTGAGACTTCGTGGAAGAAGGGGTCGAAGAGGGGACCAAATGTTGGGCTATCGATCAAGACGTTGCCGGTGAGGCTCCAAACCCTCAGAGAAGCTCTGGATGTAAGCATCCTCGCCTGGCGGCCATGAAGCCAACACGCTCTGGACCTGACAAAGGAAGCCAGAGGCCGTAGCCAGCTGGCTGTAGCGGGGGTTGAGGGCATTGCAGAGTACAGCAGACTGACGGCCAGCATAGCAACATTCCGGACCAGACCCTGGCCGCTCACAAATCCGCTCAACACGTTTCCAAGCTCTTGACATCATCTTGGCGCCGTTCGAGGTTCGTCTGCAGTGGTGAGAGGAGGTGGGAGGGGATGACCCGGCGGAGGTGGAGGAAGTCGTTAATGGAGCTACAGAACGAGCGTGTTAGCCATCTCGTGCCACCAGACCATGAGCTAAAGCAGTTCGACTGGCCTAGCAAACCTACCACTGGCGCTTCTGCTGCCGTCATCGTCGGAGCCAAAGGTTGGCCACACCTGTTCTTGCTGTTTCCACCTCGAACTCTGGCGTTTCCTGTGAGCCTACCGTCTCTCGACCCGAATCCCTTGGACAGCCAAGACCGTCTGTTGGCTCCCGGAGCAGAGTACGTCCACGGTAGACCTCGCGCCAACATGGTCAACCTTCGAAGTAGGGAACGGGACTTCGGGTCAAGATTTACCGGTGCCGAAGTACGCTAGGGCGCCAAGACTTCACAGGATGTCCTTGTGTTGCTGTTGTCTTTGAATCGACACCTTGGCCATCATCACTGTCACCTGTTGCAACACCTTTGCACTCTTGCTCGGCCTTCTCAACTGCACGTCTCTTTGCTCCACCGCTTCCTCTGCAGACGAACCAGTCATCGTGCAGCTTTCTTTGCATCCCTTCACACTCGGCTCCCTCTTCAACCCCGCCGCTTGCAAAGTGCTCTACAGCTCTGTGACGCGACCTGAACCTCCCTCGGCCGATTTCAACTCCTTCGCGCGCGCGAACAACCTCTGCTTCATCAAGGTAGCTTGCTTCTGGGCCACTTGAGGACACGCTTAGCCAAAGTCAACGGCAGTCCCATCAACTCTGCCCTTTGCACTCTTTCAAGGAGCCTCTACTCCCACGCTACCACAGCCATGAGCAAACGAAAGTTCATGAAGGATAGCGATGAAGATGCACAAGATCAAGACTACCAGGACCATCAAGACTCGGATGAAGACTGCGAGCCATCCTCGGGCGAGATTTTTCAAGGACGTCCTTACGTGCTATCACTTCGTGTGACGCGATCTAGATCAACCTTGAATGCATCCGACCCGCAAAACCGAGATGACGAAGAGGTCCAGGGACAAATCCGTGATGGTGGGGATGACACGACTCGTGAAGACAACACCTCCGAGGCTACGCTCCAAAATGCTCCTCACCACCCCCAAGTAAGTGTGAAAGCTCAGCATCGATCGTGCGGTGTCCTCATCAACACTTTTGTTGCTTCTCGATCCCACATCACTGACTCTGAGGCGCAGGTGTCGAATGATCTCAGCAACGGTCCGGACGAGGCTCACGTCGCACGGCTGCGTAGATGTGGCAAAACCAAATACTGCGGAGTCAAATCACCACGCATCGCAGAACCGAAGAAGCTCAAACGAGAAACAGGACGTTTCTTTTGCGTCATCTGTGGTTCTAACTTCACCCGAGCTGCAAGCGTCAACTACCACTTCCCAGGTTGTGTGGAGAGGTATGGGAATCCGCTGGGCAATTGTTGGAACGACCATCCCTCATGCGCACCCAGAAGAGCACGCAAAGACGCTCTCGCCGATGATCCCTCTCCTCCCGTCCAAGCGTCCGCTTCAAAGAAACGATGCATCCAAACTCTCTCATCAGGTCCATCAACTGCTAACCCGAGTGGTGGGAATGACATGCACCAACCCCGGCAGACATCACATGCAAGTGCTCTACCAATGGGACCACGCGTGACTCGATCCCGGACAACACAGAGGACGTCGGAGACTCAGCCTAATTCGGACGTTCATGGTACCAGGACGTCATCCAAATCGATGCAGAGAGCTTCGAAGCCTATCAAACCTCGGCCCAAGCCAACACAGTCGTTGCCTGATAAGAAGCAGCACACCTCCAATCCAAGTGGCAAGCGAAAGCCGAGAACCCAGAGCAAGAAGGCATCTGATAGCGGGGAGAAAACCAATGTTCAAAGGTTCGGAATCGACGGGAGCCTTCCTCCACTTTCAGATCTCGATGCGATATTCCATGATCTCGTTTCGAATGCGTTGAAGGAGACAACTCTGGAGCATGCGATGGAAACTCTCCCTGAAAAGCAGATCCATATTGCTACAATGTGCTCCGGAACCGAAAGCCCATTGCTCGCTTTGGAAAAGATTCAGAAGGACCTAGAGCTTCGTGGGAAGCCTACGTTGAACATAAAGCACCTTTTCAGTGCGGAGATTGTTCCGTTCAAACAGGCCTACATCGAGCGAAACTTTCATCCCGATAGGCTTTTCCGCGACATTCGGGAAATGGCTGAAGGAGGACAGGCGACCACCGCGTATGGTGCTCTAACTGATGTCCCCTCGGATGTGGATATTCTCGTAGCCGGATTCTCGTGCGTTGACTTCTCGAGGCTCAACAAGAATACTAAGAAATTGACGGACACCGGTGAGTCTGGTGACACATTCCGAGCAATTCTTGGATACGCGAAGCAATATAGGCCAGCCATTATTATTCTCGAGAACGTGGATGGCGCGCCTTGGGACCTGATTCAAGCTATCTGGCAGAATGATCGCGAGTCCGTTCAGGAGCACTGCAAGAAAGTCGACGGTGGAATAGACCCGAATGAACTCGAGCTTGACACGTTCTGGGACGAGGATGATCCTGCATACTCCGCCGACTATCAGAGAGTCGACGCGAAGCATTACTACATTCCTCAAACCCGCACCCGAAGATACATGATATGCCTCGATCGCCTTCGATTCCCATCACCAGACCAAGCAGACGAAGCAGTACAGAAGTGGAAGCAGTACATGGTGGCACTTCGACGAACGGCAAGCGTATCCTTTGAAGCTTTCCTTCTACCCGAGGATGATCCACGCCTTCAATACGCTAAAGATGAAATGTCCAAGACTGGGAAGCCCAGGCGAGAAAGGGACTGGGAGGTATGCCGTGGCCGTCACGAAGAGTACCGAACCATAGAGAATCTTGGGATCTCAAGACCCATCCTCAACTGGACCAATGACGGCTCCGCCAAAGCTTCAAGTTACTTGTGGACTGATTGGACCTTGTCGCAAGTCGAGCGCGTGTGGGATTCGATTGAGATATGCTATCTACGCAATGCCGCTAGAGGATTCGACTCGTTCTTCAAGACGTAAGGCTTCCCTTCTGATTTACTTCTTGAAACATTGTGCTAAATCGAGACTTATAGACGCGTCTGGGAGCTGTCTCAGAACATCGACCGTTTCACAGACGGCGCTCGCCCCGGCGTCATCAACTGTCTTACACCGACTGGTCAACCGTTCTTATCAGTACGCGGTGGCCCAATCACTGGGCTTGAAGCCATCTCACTTCAAGGCCTGCCAATCGACGTGTTACTACTGACACGCGAGAGCCAGAGAGAATTGATAGACCTTGCGGGCAATGCGATGACTTCCACAGTGGTTGGGGCGGCTCTTCTGAGCGCCTTGGCTGTAAGTCATACCATTCTGACGAGGACGAAGGAGCCAGTCAACCAGACGCTTCATGATTTAGGCCACAACCTGGAGGGGATGAGAGACAGCGAACTTGGGCAAAAGCAAGCCCTGGGGTTTGATGGTTCTAGTGACTCATCACTTGAAGAGCTCTGCAAGATGGCCAAAGCGAGTGTTCGTCTATGTCACTGTGAAGGTCAAAGTCTTACAGCCCCGGCCTTAATTCGCATATGTAAATGCTGCCATCATCATTGCTGCGAGAAGTGTGGTAACATGCCCAAGCACGATTACGAGCTTCTTGGGGGAAATGGAGCACCTGTGCGTACGGAACCTCAAGAATTTCGAAGGCGATTGAGGTACGCTATACCAACCAGGCTTGAGATTGACGGTTTCTCCTCCGAGACATTAGAAGTATTCGCACAGCTTTTCCCGGACGGCTCAAAGCAAGACTGGAGACTGTTCAGCGAGGCCATCCTACTCGCGTCCAAGCAGGAATACCGCTACGAATCTGCCAGGCGCTCGCACTGCTGGACAATTACCTACAGTGCTACGCATTCCCGACTGGAACTTGTCTTCGACCAAGAAGAAGTGTATTGGCTGTTGTACGGCAAACCAGGTCAAACAGAGACCGGGAACAGTCGTGTGAGAACACTGCTCGACCATCCCCTTGCACGACTGACAGTTCGTGGTACGACTATGCGAGGTGAATCCACGAAGGCAGAAAGCATGCTCAAAGGCTCTTGGGAAATTTGCTTACCAATAGCTCACACCTTTCCAATCACTGTTACCCCCCAAGGAGAACTGACAGACTCCTGGGAGAAGAAGCTCGGCCTGCAGGGTGAAAAGTTCATTGACAAACAAGTATACACATCCTTGCACGTTGCTCGCACGTCAGTTCCTGCAGCAGAATTAGCTTTGGATCATGATATTTGCGGAGATTACGATCTTTTGGACAATTGCGGAACAGCTTGCAGCAGCCTTCACAAGAAGAGATCGACCACGGATGGTCACGACGCACCCCCCCTCTTTCTTTTCCTCGATGCGGATCGAATGGGACTACCTAATCATGATAGCTTTGTCTTTTCTACTGAGATTCAGCGGCTAGAATACGGTGAAAGTCGTTACATTACAGCCAAGGTCGAGAGTGAATGGCGACCACCTTGCAAGGGCTCTGATCCACGAACAGACTGTGCCGTCCCCACACAAGCAGAATGCACCGTCTCCAGCCGATGGAGTCCTTGCCCGATCTTTCTGCGACCTCACAAAGAGTTGGAAGAAGCGTCCTCGAGGTTCCCCAACAGCGAAATATCGATTCCGGTCTTTGGTACAGATCAGCATCTATCACAATCGTCTGCTGACGATGTATATGGTTGCTTGCATGAAACTGCGACGACTGCGTTGTTATCTTGCGAGATACCGGGACAAGTGGTTGACAGCGTTGGCTGGCGGGTAGGACATTGGACGACCATAGATCAAAACTCTGGGCGCGAGATTGCTGCGGCATTTGCATGGCTATTCGCACGAGTGAAAGACCTTGGAGATTTCGAAGGAGGCTGGAGGTCCCTTGGTCCCTGTCCAAGTGGCTATCGAAAATGTCTCACCTGTGCTCCGGAGCCCCCAAGAATAATGTGGACGTGCTCAAGAAGTGCCAATGAAGACAAGATCATACCTTACGAAGATGGGCGAGAGGCTGGCAATTTCGAGCGAAAAATCAAAGCTCGACCAGCTCCCTTTTTGGTGCAAACCTACATCGATGACGATGAAAAGCGTACAGGTCGTCTCTTGGTGGGCTTAAACCTACCAACCTTGGTCCACCGGGCTTTGGCTAGACTTGGCAACATTGCAGACAGCGACGACATCGAGATGGATTGGCGTCTTGACACCGGATTTGAAGCGCCAACCCGTTACAAGCTCAAAGAACTCACTCTGCCGAACAACGAGCTTGCTTCCCAGGCTGAGTATGACTTTCCAACTGGCGAACAGCTTCGGCCTGAACAGAAGCGGTCTCTTCAGTGGATGATTGGCCAAGAGGCCGATGAGATGGTGTTCTACGAAGAAGAAATTGAAGAAGCAACCTTGTCACAGCTAAGCTGGAGGGCAGAAGCACGTGTAAGACGTGTCCGGACTGTTCGAGGAGGCATTCTGGCCGACGAGGTTGGGTACGGCAAGACCGCAACGACTCTTGCACTGATTCACGCACAAGAAGAGAGTGCGAAAGAGTACGCAAGTAACAAAAACGCCGGTTGCATCTCTGTCAAAGCGACCTTGATCCTAGTACCACCCCACCTAGTCCACCAGTGGAAAGGGCAAGCCCACAAGTTCCTGGGGATAAGTTCAAACGACGACAAGATCCTGGTCATTGAGGACCTGACTGACCTAGCAAGAATTTCGGTCCAGCGGATCAAACAAGCTACCATTGTCCTCACTTCCTGGAGAGTTTTAAGTAGTCCAGCATATATGACCCGGATGTCGCATTTTGCGGCGCTGCCAGAAGGTCCGTCCAGCGGAGACCGTGAAACTGATGTCTGGCTCACCCGAGCATGTGGTAACATCAAGAAGCATATGGGCGAACTCGTCAGCGAGCAACACAGTCCCATAGACTTTGCCGCAGTCCTGAAGCTAAGATTGAAAGCAGCTCATACTGACAAGGATATAATCCGCGATGTCCCTACACAGCGGCTTAAAGGCGCCAAATACACCACTTGGAATCCAGCGGAATGCGTAACACCAAAGGACCCTTCCCCCAAGGAGCAAGATCTGGAGAAATTCTTCAAGCACATGACGAGAGAGGGTTGCACTGACCTGAATTCTATGACTGGTATCTTGTTGCACATGTTCGATTTCCATCGAATTGTTGTTGACGAATACACGTACGTCGACAAAAGTCAGCAGGCCGGGAAGCTCTCTAAATTCATTACCACCATCAACGCGCGTTCTAGATGGGTGCTCTCTGGGACTCCCAGCATTCAGGACTTTGGAGATGTGCGCATCCTTGCCAGCTTCTTAGCATACAACCTTGGGGTTGTGGATGATGCCGCAGGGGTCCTCAAAGGGGCCGCAATACGGCATATCAGGGACGATAGAACTGGTAGGTTGCTTTGTCCTGCCTTCATTCAGACTATTAACGACCCGCAGCCGCCGAGCAATTCCGGGCATATGGCTATTCACATACCGCTGCATGGCACATAAGTAGGCAAGCCCACGCGCAGAGATTCCTCGACAAGTTCGCTAGTAAGGTAGGCCTTCTTTATGCTCAAGACCTATCCACACTCGCGCTTACAATCCTAGAACGTCGCCGAGATCGGACTCATCAGATGCATGACGGATCTTCGCCCACATTGCCTTGGAGCAGCTGAGACCATAGTTAATGCTGAGCTTCAGCAACAACTACAATCCACAGAAATGAAGATTGTCCTACGTGGTAAGAGCAAGAATGACAATGATAGACTTCGGCGATACCAAGATCTACTCCAAGACTGCCAGACAGCGTCAGAATGCCTTTTGAGGGCCTGCTCATACTTCGAATTGGTGGACACACGATCTGCGGAGAGCGAGCCATCCGGAGATGCAATGGACGTCGACGTTGAGGATGAAGATGACTTTCTTGATGAAGAATACGAGAAATTCTCATTTCCTACAACAGAACTGTTCGGGGCCTGCGAAACAATGATCAGTATCCGTGAGAAACAGATGAAAGCACTGGTTGCGGAGTTGGAGTACAACCTGTTACACGCCGCATGGCTGGAGCAGCAATGTGGGCGCGCAACAGCACCGGAGTACCAAGGCTCGCATTACCGTCAATGGAAGTCAGAAATAGAGATTATTGGTCTCAGAGACCCTACAGCCACTTCTGACCTTCGCCACTACCTCATCGCAGCTCTCGAAAAGGTCGATGCCAATACCGAAGAGATATACTACCGCGATCCCCCAACCGCTGAAGACCTGAAAAGGGAGAAGAAAGCCGCAGACGAGCTCAAAAAGCAGGCAAAAGACAAGCGAACAGCGGACAGAAGACTCAAGAAAGCCGGCGAAGGCAATCAGAGCCGAAAGGCATCAAGAATGTCCAAAGCTACCGCTTGTCCAGATGAAGATCCAGATGAAGACTTCGCAGAAATGGTTGTCGGCGATAGCGAATCCATCCAAGCAGGTGACATGGATCCCAACATGGCTCCCAATCCCGCAGATCCCAAGCCAAACAAGATTCGCAAAGACGACTTCAAGAAGTATGCTAGCGTGCTTCGAGGCCTCACGGGTCATCTAAGGAGTCTGGTAGCAGAGTTGACCTCTAGGACGAGGTCCCTCCGCTTCGCCCGCGGCGCAGAGGAGCTCTCACAGTGGTATACTGATCTCAGCAAGCCACCTACATGCAGAGCTTGCGGCAAAGTTGTACTTGATCATAACAGTATCAGCATCAACATTCGCTGCGGTCACTCCACCTGCCAAGACTGCATCCAGACGACGCACCTCGCTATATGCGCTGTCGATGGCTGTTGTGAGGGATCCGACCCATATCGCCTGAGAAAGGGCGTGGACCTTGTTGGCGATGGGGAGACCTGGACACGCGGCTCAAGGCTGGGTCACATCATCGAATTGATCAACAGTTTACCAAAGGACGAACAAGTCCTACTGTTTGTTCAATTCGAGGATGTGATGCTCAAAATGGCCTCAGGATTGGAGGAGGCTAACATCTCTTGCTATGCGTTGAGTCAGAAAGCCGGCCATCAGATCGTCGACATGATGAATGATTTCCAAGATAACCAGGGGAAGAATAAGAAGAAAGTTCTGCTCCTCAACCCCTCAAATGAAACCGCGTCCGGAATGTGAGTCATACCACTCATCTCTGCCGCTAACCCTGCTAATATGATACTCTACAGCAACCTCACCAACGCAAATCACATCATCTTCGCGTCTCCCCTCCTCACTAAAACGCAACAGTCGTACAACGCTTCAATGACACAGTGCATTGGACGAGCGAAGAGATACGGTCAGCAAAAGACCGTGCACGTTTATAGATTCTTCGCCCTCAGAACTATCGACGTCGACATCTTGCAAGAGCGCGAAGTGAAGACATTGGTGAAGAAGAAGGACCTCAAGGGTAAAAGGGCCGAGCGGCGCGGAATTGATAGGGGGCAACCAAGCGGGGAGTCAAGTGGAGAGTGGTTGTTGGTAACAGAGAATGCGTTTGATGACACCCTGGAGGCTGGCTGGGGGTCCGGTTACGACTTTAAGTCGGACCCAACCGCGGACGAGTAGAGGATCCTGAAGCGTATATATCTTCCTTGGTGCTCATAGATGCTCATCTTCTCCTAAATGACACTTTTTCGTGACGGTATCCGATCCTTTACCTGTCTGCATGGTGAATAGGCTGTTTTCAGCATGCATTCACATACCTCTCTGTATGTTGCTTTCGACCCATACTCGTCCTCCTCTCCTTCCGCCTCCACTGGCCTTCGCAACTCTAAGCTCCCCCTTTCTGCCAACTTTCGGCACAGTCCGTGCTCTTAGCTCCGCGCCAGACGTTTTGCTACTCATCTCTGCATAACCACTAGCCTCTCTCACCCTTGCATCAACGAAAGGGACCGAATTCTGCCCTCCCAGCCCGATTCGAGCCCCTTCACATCTATGCCGGAGTTGTGGTGCAGCTCAGCTCCAATTCCGACGATACCAATCTTGACTCCGACTGGGTATCCTTCTATGCAAGTGAGGTTGAAGTGCCTAGGCACCTTACCGTACAAGCGTAACCAATGTATGATCGTGCTCTACTCAGACTACCGCTTCTTTACTTAGCAGAATGTGATTACTCCATATAGCCAGGACTCGGTTTGCACTCCCCAGTGGTAGGTCGCCCACAAAGTATTAAGGGTGCCACACCGAGCGTCGAGGGGCCCTTTTCCTCTTTCATCATGTAACTCTTACTGTCTCACACCTACCTTCGTCGGAAAGAAGTTTAAGCAAAGAGGAGATAAAATCTCAAGTGGCTACGTAGAGTAAACCTCAAACCTATAGATCTATATCAAGATCGCTGACGTATTGGAGGAGCCAGGTCTTCAGCGGAGCAGTATAAAGCCAAAAAAGCGGGCGAGGCGAGATCTCAACTACTTGCCCTAGTTCACAAGAGGGTGATTCTTGAAGCGAATTGGCTGAACCTTGTTGAGTAGGACAAAGTGAAAAGGAGAACTTGCAGCTCTACAACATGACCAGCCCGCCGGTCCATAGCCTCAAGGTCTCCTCCCAATACTCACGTAAACCGGGTAGCCCTCATACACCTTCCCATTCCCACCCTCTACTCCCAACTTCCATACATCCCTCCACGCAATCCTCGCATCCTCCTGCCTGCCCTCCTGCGCAAATCTCACATACAGCTCTCTCGTCTGCTTATCGAATACATCGTCCCTGACGCTCTCCTTGTCCTCATACCACGTCTCGGGAATGTAACTCTTGGTCCTCCACGACTTCTCGACCACCAATCCCGCGTCCTCATACATTCTCTCTAGACTATGCATGCTCTGGACCCACTCCCGATCATAAGGCGCTGCCATTCCAAGCTTCGTACTTAGCACTGACATAAACAGGTACTGCATCGTAAGATCCTCGGTCGGAACATCAACAATCAGCCTCCCACCCTCCCTCAGCATTCCCGCCCACCTCCTTATCACGCTCGTCGGATCATCGAGCAACACAAACGCCGAGCAGCACGAAATAACATCAAAACCACCCCTTTCCGCAACTACACGCCGGACAGCATCAACCTCACCAAGTTCCTCGGTAATGTTGGCTTCGACCCATTCCACCCGTGCTGCTCCTTCGGGTATCTTCTTCTCGCGCGCAAGATTCAACATTGCCGTAGTGAGGTCGACACCCACGACGACGCCGTCGCGGCCAACGGCTGCCGCCATTGGTAACGCCACGAGTCCCGTACCACATGCGAGGTCGAGAACTGCGGAGCCCGGCGCAGGCGCTGACCACCGTACGAAGTCTTGCCCAAGTTTCACGTGCCAGCCTCCGTTTGAGGTGTCATAGTTCGATGCACGGTCACTGTATAGCGTTTCTGCGGATAGTTTGTCGGTTTCGTTGTTGGCGGAGGAGGATGAAGGCATGGTGAAGGGATGGGTGGATGCTTTAGGGTTGAGCCACTAAGTGACTTGGGTGGTATCTTATGTTGTGTTTTGATTGTGTAAGAATGATGTCATGTATCGGAGATTTAATGCCTCAGTTTCTTCGAGGTCTGTAGGCTAATCTCTGTTGGGTCTAGCTTGTTCGTATCTGTCCTGCAGGTATATGTAGGCGGATATGCTCTCAGGTATTTATACTACACGAGACTGCTTGGAAAAACTCAGGTTTGGCTTCTCTTCGGTTTCATTGGTAGTTGTAGATCAGATGCCGATCACGAGAATGCGCTTTCCGTTGCTCTCCGGATCCTTCGCTCATGGCTTGAAATGAAGCAAGTTGATTATCTGCTTTCCAACACCCCCTTTTCGTTGTCTCTCTGATTCGGGCATCTGACAAGAGGAACCTCTTTCGCGTTACGGTCGTACAGGTCAAACGAGGGGGCTACTCCCTACGTGCTGTGGGGCTTCCTTTCCCGCTCGCCGCAAAGCTTCACGCTAGTTTACTTGTAGGGTTCTCGGACCTAGTACGTTTAGGTCTGCCTGGTCGCCAGAAGAGTTGGTAATTGCGCTACAAACAGAGGTCACAATCCCTGAAGATGCTAGGATGCCAGCGAGAGTGCCTGCGGCCTCCTACGAGTGAGGCGATCACGCGAAGCGGGAAGATATGACAAGGCAAAAATAGATGTCCCCACATGGGAAAGCGGAATGCAGCCACCTAGTACATTGAAGTACAGGCCCATGTAACGTGCTTCAGATATTTTCGAGGCCCGAACTTCGCAGCATGCATACATGCGAGCTTATTCATCCGGCTGCATTTGAGTGCTGGCTCATCGCGGGTGGTCAGTAGCCGCATCTGTGTGGTAATTGGTCCGTAACTTAGCTCCGCGAGCTGCAGCATCCGCATGGGGCTTCTTGCAGCTCAACCGGACGCGGTTTTTTGGCCGGTAGATTTGCCTTGAGTCTTTAACGATTTGTCGTCACCCAAAGCTTTCTAATCACAACTCACGCCGTTGACCATGTTGCGCAGTAATTTTTGGGCTGTACGGTTGACTGGCTCATCGGCTGCATGCAACCTCAGATACTTTCGACCTCTACTGACTATCTTGCAGCCTCTCAGGCGCACAGACCCTAGAGTATCAATCGTCTCGTATGTTGTCAAGCTGCTTTTCTCGCCTTATTCTGTGGCAAAAGTTCATTACCATCGCGTTGTGAGGCTGCGAAGGGTTACTTACCACGGAGAAGCTGAGAGCAGGGTTTTTCGTTAGTGTACCAGACTCGGTGATAGTCCGCCATATGAGTTCAGTTTACCAATGCTCAACGTCCCTCCCACTTATTCTTCGCTCATCTGGTTGTTCATCTTTAGCATCTTCAACTGCCTGGGCACTTTGCTATCTAGCAAACGATCGGAAGTCACAATTCCACCAAGTCTCGTTCTTAATTCACCAACCGTCACCAGATGTGAACAGTGCTTCTTTCGTCGACATATGCCATCTCGACCTTAATGCTACAGTCAGCCATTCTTTCAACACGGCCTGGTCGCAAGCCATTGAACACCCTGTCTAACCATTAGCCGACGCTGGAGGCGCCTTCCTTCCGTGAATGTACACCCTCCTCATTCTTCTTGTCCGCATACCCGTGGTTGTCATGCGCATCGTACGCTGGCAGACCGTGCAGGTCTGATGACTAGTGGCCACCCTTTTTGAGATCACAATCACTATGCAAGCTTTTGTTTCAATAGGATTTGAAACTCAAGCGATGCTGATGTGGAATCCACTGCTTCTGGTCATTGAACCTGGCAATATGGCGCAGGTGCTCTGTCTTTTCGCCGAAGAATTCAGCCTCTCACTCTGTTGGGCCCTGCTTTCTTGTGCTGACCCACCCGAGAATGGCGATAGAGCTAACGAACTGAATAGTCTCAATCCCGAAGTTATTGAAGTTGAGGTCGCTGCTCGAGAAACATAGCGTCTCCGACTGTTCCGAAGATCCCTGTTTACTGGTAAACCTTTCTACATCGCGATCGTCGCACTCTTGCTTCTCATCACAGTCTTTATCCTTTAAATCCTTGGTCTCGCTCACGTAAGTATGTTAGCAAATTTGGCTTCGCCTTCAGTCTCGTGGTGCAGTCCATACGTCCACCCTATTGCCGTCGCCATACTCGACGGCAAATGCAATATCTACCTAGTAAACCAGCATAAAAGCCGGCGTTGCGGGCACCACTCTTGCTATAATCCTAAAGACCATCGACGAAGTCCTTCTGGCTACAGTGAACAGTGGGACTCAAAAGTGGGGCGTCGGAATGCGGAGGCTATGATTTCCTTAGGGTTACTGCGGGGGAAGTTTATCTGTGCTTGACATTGATGACTGATATCGTCTGTAGCACATCATTACCCCCTGGTATCTCGGTAGTTGTGTGGGTGATACTATTGTGGGAGGTATATATGTGTATCGGGTTGTGTTGGACACAGCAGCATTGAGGGGTCTGCTAGTCTGGAATGACGGCGTCTTCAATAGGTGGAGGTGTCCATACCGTCGGAGTTGACATGCTTGAACATGATGATCAATACTGTATAGAGGGGTGAGGTGAGGCATCTCCAACAACTCACGTTGGATAGTATCGGCGTACTGCATAGCCCACCGAGCCAAAGTCGACTGGTCGAACTTGATTTCCCTCTGGGTATGGGCATTACGCGATAAGGGCTAATCTGAGATGTGCAACGTTTGAGAAAGTCAGCGATACGATGAGCGTTTTTCTGCTATCCTGCTGCGGAGTGTTTGGAATATACCGAAGTCCGGCGCTGTAGGCTGGACCAAGACTAAGGTAGACTAGCTGAAGACCACGTGAGCTCTACACTAGACCCACTGAGCTACAGTCGCTGTAATTCCTCAGATCTCCATGCAAAGACTCAGGGAATCTCTGCTAGTGATGGTAGGTCGTGGAAGTAGTGGCGTTATGATGTGTCTTCCGGAAACCGATAAATTGGCAGTCCTGAAATTCGATATACATTCGGATGTGTCAAAATTGCTGACTGCAAGAAGAGAACATAAACAGTCAAAAGTTAACAATCATAACCCAGAGTTGCCTTAGCTCAATTTTGCTGACACGCATTGCTACGAATTCCCCACGTATAACATGAACCTGTTGTGAACCCATAAAATCTCATCTGACAATGGTCAGCGAAGCAGTTTCGGGCACTTCGATCCCAGGTGCAGATGCAACATGCTTCAGTGTTATGAAGATACTGCCATCTTCGCCTGTAAGGCATTAGCGTTCGGGTCCTTACAGTATCTCTAGCATGCTGGTTGCACTACCAAGGCCCGTCACACTCCCTCCCTGAAGATTTTTCACACAAACTGACATCAAAGCAGCAACAGCTTGCCATATCGCATAATTGGAGGAGCGAACCGGTGTTTTGCTGGTCGAGTAAATCATCAGAGAACATGAGACTATTCCATGATTTAGTATCAATACTGGCCATGGGGTATCTTGTCGGATCATATCTTACTAGATCTCATTTGACACGGGAGATCCATCTCAGTCTGGGGATCAGAAGCTGGGCCGAATAGTTGGATTTTGTCTTCAGCTGGCATGCGGAATGCGATGAAACCACAATGTTTCAAACTGTCTGCCGGCATAGCTCCCCGGCACTGTGGCTTCAAAGGGTATTTTCCAAGGATCAGCGCAAGGTTTCCATCTCCTGCCTAGTGTTAGCGAGTTAGATCATATTAAAGCGGCATTCTCCTGAGATCCAGGCAGCCACGAAGGATTTATTGCCTGCTTGGGACTTACCGATATTGCTAGCAACGCCACCTTGAAATTGTTTTCCGCACTGTGCCAAGAGATGAATCGCGGCATTGCGGGCTTGATCCATCGTCGCGTGTGCAGTTGCTTTACCCTCCATGAGAACCGTTTCATAATAGCAATTTGCCTGTTCTATTTTGTGTCTCAGCTAGGGTAGCTTTGCAGCCGTAAGTCAACTACAAACAACACTTACTACCATACTGTCTGAATGGGAGACCAAGAACGTTGCCTTTCATGTCACGGTCACCAACAAATGTGATGTCGTATGAGCCTGTCATGTAAGGCAGGGCGGTTTCACAGTCACGGAGTATTTCATCGTCGATAAAACCGTACTTGTACCTCTCGCACTGAATGTCGAAATTACTTTGACCTGAGACATTCGGAGACAGGGAAGAAACGTTGGCCAATGACAAGAGACTGTACGAGTTGGTCTCGGGACCATTAGTTGAGCGGGTGAGCAACTGCCCTCCTGTACCTTGCAAAGGTTTGGCATATGGGGTACCCCCAGAGCACGTAATGAGTGCCAACACACCCAAGTAGAGCATCATCGAGCTAGGGTACATGGATGCAGAGCTTGAGGAATAGACCTAGAAGATGCTCATGAGACACAGAAGTGTGGAAGAACACCGATTGAAAATCTTCTGGTGTCGGAAAACTGCGGATTGCGCTATCTTGCGCTGTCTTAC